GAGCCCCTCTGTGGGCCGGGAGCCGGACTCGGGCCGAGAGCCCGAGAGCCGGCTGAGCCCATAGAGCAAATATTTTTAATTGAGATAGATCGAAACACGCAAAGCAGGCAGAATGTGAGGAGAAAATGACTTGAAAATGTAGCTAAAACATAGTAGAGCCAAGAGAATAAGAATAGAAATGAGTGTTGTATACATAGAACTGCAGCCGGTACTTAGAGACGAGAGTATCCCAAAGATCGGTACCTGCTTGAATCCATAACTGTCAAAAACCAAAGATGTGTGTTTAATTCAAAATGAAGTGTTTAAACTGGTTGTCGGTAATTTCTAAGAATGAGAAAAACTGTTAATGTAATGGGAGAAGATGTACAGGACAGATCTCAGGCTGACCTGGGGAGTTTAAAATAATGTAAATATCATGTCATGTCTGCAGAGGCGTCAGTGAGAAACACTGCTGCTCCTATGAAGTGCAGTCCTTTGCTGCCCCCACAGACAAAACAGAGCTAATGCAAACCAATCACACTCCTGTTGTGTGTGTGTGTGTGTGTGTGTGTGTGTGTGTATGTGTGTGTGTGTGTCCCTCTCACTCCTATGTAATTTACACATCAGTGCAACAATGAATCATTATGGGTTTTGTCTCGTTTCCTCGCGTGGGAACAGAACATTGGGTTCTGCTTACCTAAGCAGACCCTCAAATGCAATTAACCACTATGTGAAACAATCAATCCTAATACACTCTGTCACATTACTCACACGTAGCCTCTGCACACTTGCTGTGTCTCTTTTCACCTCCAGCTGTTAAGTGATGAACCCTCCAGGGGGGGTTCTTAACTATCTGTACTCACATGGTGTGGTTTTCTTTAGATGAATGAGTGAGACATAGTGATACTGAAACCAAATAAAACAGGCTGAGACACTGTTAACATTTGTTCTTGGCTGTTGGTGTGGGTCTTGTGCACCCGTGCTCAAAGTCTCTGGTAGCAAAAGGATGAAGGGCCGAGTGAGGATAACATGTAACGCTCGAGGAGAACCAGAGAAAAATGACAACAATATGTCCATGAGCTCTGACACAACTGAGCAGCGATAACAAAAGTACTACAATCCCAAACTTAAATCAGTATATGAGTACAACAATGAAGAAATTCTTCATCACATCCCCATACGTAGCCCCTCCACCTTCCTCACATAGCACTCGAGGCCTCATAATAAAGCTGCATTGATTTAAAGAGCCACTATTCCCTCATGATATTGAACAGATCCTCCCCTCCTGGTCAGCGAACTTATAAATGAATGCTTGAAACGCACGTTGCACCACATTTACTGCAGCGTAGAAGAATATCACCGGCTGGTGAGTAAAACAACTTTTAAAGGTCGGTTTGTTTTTGTAAACTGGTTTTACTTTGCAAAGTTTGCTTTTAATCAAAGTATTCTGGTCAATACATGAAGAGCAGGACAGCCTAATTGTTTAATTCCAGTCGGTCATCTTCATTAAAGCTGCAGTAGTTTGATTGTATTTACAAAAAATTATTGCAATACGTTTGTCTTATTAAGATTCATTTCAGCTGAGAAAATTGGCTCATTCCATTTTGCAAGCATTTGTGGGAACAAAAGGGGAAGACGAACTGAGACGGTTGGCGTCTTTAAAACCAGCCTGTCACAAATGTTTTAGACTTTCATTTACATTCTTTATGTGTGTAATGACTACATTCAATGACAAAACATAGCAGTTGATGTGTTTATAGCTGTAAAAGTAATTTCCGTTTAAGAGTAAGAGCATGTACATTGAGATTTAAATATACAAAAGCTGCAAAGACAGATATACTGAACTGATTGATCGAATACAAATTAAACAAGAAAAGAAAAACTACATATGTGAATATAAAATATTGATATATTCAAAATAATATACAAGAAATTATTTTTGCCACAAAATGAGCCACAAGTAACATACTTTACACAGTGATTTATCATTGTTCTCAGTTAGAAACTGCTACAGAAGTGTTATAACTCCAATGTTTGATGCAACATGTAGGCAAAATATTAAGCAATATGCAGCTGATCCAAATAACTTTTTCACAATTTAAAGATTTTTAATTAAACAAGAATACTGTACCTGTATTTACCACTTAAACATATTCTTCAAAATACTGTTCAAAATTCTATTTTGTTTATTTCTTTTTCAGTAGATACGCCTGAAGAAAAACACAATTGATTGAGGCTGCCATCTCTGGAGACGAGCGTCTTTCACAAAGAGCTTCACTCCTCTGTCAGTGTGATTAGTCCCACAGGACTGCAAGTGGCCTGAGGTGAAGCCAGCGGCTCAGAGAGGTGAGAAACATCAGCCACTGAGGGACCAAGGGGGAGAAAGGTCCGCATTAAAGCAGAACAGTCCCCCTGGAAGGAGCTCAGGTGTGCTGCATTTAAAGACTCACGATTTCAGAGTGTGCAATTTCAACCTGACTCAGAGCTGCTGGAAGTAGTCCTGAAGCCCAGAACAAAACCTGACATTTTCTAAAACCTGCAGGAAGAGCTTCCATATGTGGTCCTCTCGTAGGCGCCAAAGACAGACAATAAGCTCAAGGTCAATTTTGTCAGTCCAGCCTTCATTACATTAATTTCCCAGGAATTCACTTCTTTTTTTTTTAGAAATTTGTTTCAAAAATGGCAAAATATCAGACAGCGAGTTTTTAGAGCTCCAGGAAATTAACAGATTTCCACAGGTGTAACAAACAGCAGCCCTAAGCAGCTGCCTGTGTGCAGTAAATGACCTTTGCTGTTTTAATTTAGGAGCTGCTGCCCTTTTATTCGGCAGTGAAAGGGCGGCGCTTTGAGAACAAGTCTCTTAAGTGAGTTATATGTCCCTGCATACAGGGAGTCACGTATCCCGGAGGAGAGTCCACACAGACACAATAACAAGATAACAGCCCGAGGAGAAGCCCTGGCAATGTTTGTGACATATTTTCAGTCTCCGGGAACTGTCTCTGCAGCTACTTTATCTCTACTGGGGGTAAAAACTCATCTCAGCAGATCAGAAACAAAGAGTCTAATGAACAAGTTTGGCCTTTAGCTGTTGTACTGAGCTGGAAAACACCATTAAAAGAAGTCATATCGATAAACACCTGGTTTTCATGAAAATTATCGTTTGCTTTTTGCTGTGAGACGGACGGTGACTGTTTGGAAAATACCACCTATGGTAAAACCCTGATCATCACTATTCTTCCTCTTCTTCCAGGTTTTTGTACTCGTGGAAACATGGATGGAAACGTGTCATCATTTAACTCAACCTCTACTCCAACCCAACTCCCTCTCAACACCACAGTTTACATCAATGCCACAGTGAAACCTTTCAGCGTGTTCGATGGGTGCGACCATCAGCAAGAGGCTGTTCTCTTTGACTTGATCCTGCAGTGCGTCAATGTATTCGTGGGAATCCCTGCCAACTTGCTTGTCATTGCAATTCTCATCCACAATCGCAAAGAACCCTCCACTTCAGACATATTTTTGGGCTGCTTGGCCTTCATGGATGTCTACTTTGGCACCATGACCCCTATCAGCTTTCTTAACCTTTATGTCTGGCAAAGCAAAAGGGTGTGGTCGTCCATTAAGTTCTCCTATGGCGTGAAAGATACCAGCGGCCCGTTGTTTCTGTCCTGCATCTGCCTTGATCGCTTTGTGGCTGTTCTCTTTCCGATTGCATTTGGGCAGCTGAAACACGTCAAGTACAGGGTAAGCCTCTCTGTCCTGGTGTTCCTCCTCACCTTTGCCTACTCAGCAGCCAAGATGGTGGGAGGCCTCCCAAACTTTGAGAAGGTATTCACTGGTGAGGTCCTGGCCACATTTACTTGGATGGTTTTGTGTAATCTTAGCATCCTGTGGGCCCTGAAGAAGTCCCACAGTGCAGGGAAAGATGAAATGCATCCCATGAAGAAGAGGGCCTTCAAGATGGTGCTCTCCATCCTTGGTATCATCGTCTTCAACTACCTGCCGCCGGTTGCGCTGTTCCCGTTTGAAGACCACTACGACCCTGACGTGTTCCGCTGCTACGTGCAGCCGGTGGGTTTTGCCTTTCTTAACGTCAGTAGCACCATCCAGCCACTTGTCTATTTGTCTCGTCTGGAGAAGGTGCCTTTTCTTCCAGATGCCTGCATTAAGAAATTTTCTATCTGTTACAGTGCAGAGAACAAAAAGACTCCACGTCCACAAAATCTACCCACTTAGATTTTCCATGAGAACATCATGTACATGTGTAACTTTATGGATGCTGAATGTAACATATCTTAGGAAGAAAGTAGACACTGAATACAATTCAACTGTTTATTGACGTTTTTGTGACTGATCATTTTTATCTTTATTATTTTTCCAAGGATGTGTTATAGTTTACCGTATGTTTGTTTGGAATGAAAGAAAGAAATGTAAAACTAAAAAAATCAGTAATGAGTCCACAGATGGAAAATGTTTATAGTTTATGCATTTTTTAATAACTTAATATTGTTCTGGGGGATTCATTTGTACAAACAGCATCAGATACACATTGTTCAGTTGCTTTCATGAAGTGATTCAAACTATTTGTTTGAGTTTGGCGCCATCATGTGTACAAATAGCTCAATAAACGTTTTGCTTCCAGTAAATGGGTGAGTACCTTGGACCAATTTATCATCACGGCTCAAAGAAGAAAATGTTTACTAAAATTCATCGCTACCCTAACCCAGACCACTTTAATTTATATTATTTTAAACGCAAATGCAAGTGTTCTCCCGCCTTTTCCACAACAGTGAGCAATTAATGTTTACAACACCTTCACCATACATCTAAAAAACAAACAAAAAACAAAAGAGCCATGCCAATTAATAACTGAAAAGCTAAACTGATAACTTACACTGCATACAATAACTTGTTTAACATCTGAGTTTAGACATTCAAGTCTGGTTTTGTATTAGATAAATTAATTTGATATTAAAATGCCCATTTATGAGCTTTAGGAGTACTGACTTTATGCTAAGCTGATCAACTCCTGCTTATATTAATTATACATATATAAAAGTAGTAACAATCCTCTCATCTATATCTTGGCAAAAAAAATGAGCAAACAATATGCATCTGAAGCAACAAAATTAATTGGATGAAGAATAAATACTCAAATTAATTTAGCTTAGAAAGAAGAAGTCTCTCTGCTGTCTTAAAGATGTAACTGAATGACACTTGAATTGATTCATTACTTATAAATCATCTTTTTGTCACATAGTCAACGTGTACAGATCTAGAGACTGAAATCAGTGTTAACCTTCTGTTTTGATTGTTATGAAAGAAACAACCATAAGTTAATTTAACATATATTAAAGAAGCACAGCAAGTTCGCACCATGCCTGTTTACTCAAACTACCAACAAAAAAAAAAACAGCCTCTCTAGCAATGCATCCTGGGAAGTTAACCCTCATGTTAGAAAAGATCATGTTTTTAAAGTTCTAAAGTGATCTGAGCAAAACAATATGAGCAAAACTCATATATTTACATGAAGTAAACTGGAAAAGATGAGTTGATTTGACTGAATTACTTTATGGAATGTTACAGTGAACATTTCGTGTCTTTTTGTTTTTTTTAGAAGAAGTAACATTCCAGCAGGTCAGACCACCAAACCCAGTTTGACATTTTTTGACATGTATTTCATGCACGTAAAGAGCTCTAAGAAAGCATTTTCTCTCCAAGTTAATAATAAATCCCTTATCAACTCATTGCCTCAACATTGTGACAAGTACCTTCTCTGGCATAATTCTCAGTGGACAACTGCTCTGTGTATAGAAATATGGAAGCAAAGGTTCTGTGAAAGTGTTTGTAAATGTGTATATGAGCGTGTTGTCAGTCGGGTCAAGAAAGGACACCATTCCCTTGTTGTAATCCAGTTGCACTGTGACCTGTTTGGGCGTTCTTGAGACCGTCAGCGGGGTGGGTGGAGAGGTCATGGCCCTGAGTTCTCCGTCCCGGAAACATAAAGTCCAGAAGCCATTTTCAGGTCGAGCGGCAATCTCAGCGTTCCTGGATACAGACAAAGAGGCCACGCCCAGGAGCCAGTCATGATTGCTTCCTGTTTCCACGTCCCAGTGGTGGCTTCCTGAGCCCAGTGCGGTCATGCCCACCACTTCAGCGCTCATGTGGAAGCGCTCGGGGTTGTCAGGGCAACAGCTGGGCTGCTTTGAGTAGTGTAGGGAAGTGAGGTCGTCGGACAGGATGAGGCAGGGGTGTGCTGTGTTTGGGTCTAAAGTCACAGGAGCTAAAACACAGGAAATTAGTCAAAAAGAAAAATGTGTATGTAAAACAGGGTTTGCATATTCCTCTCTTTCAACCTCAGAAAAATCTAATAATTAAATGTACTCACTATAGTCAACATGGTCCAGTATTTTCTCCCATATTCGATACTTGAGGTTGCAGAGGTGTTTGGTAACATCAATCATCAGCCCAGACATGTTGTCTGAACCGAGCACCATGCTTTCACTCCTGCAATAACGACAGATGTCTTACACTGGAGTTAAGTCAACAGGGAATGCATCAGGTTTGTCATGATATTGCTAACCTACCTGTCCTGAGTGGCTTTAAAATTCTGGAAAAGAAAACACAGCATCATTGTGAGAGGGTTTTGCAAAAAAGTAACATAACATGTGCAAATTGGTCAGTACAAACCTTCAGTAAAACTATATCTTCTTCCTTCAGTTGTTCCTGGATGATTGTGATGGTGTCTTTGAGGGAAAGCACCTCTGCTGAAAGTTCTTTAACCTTGTCCTTCATTCCTGCGATCTTCTCTTCTTCTTCTTTTTTCAAAGCAGCTAACCGGGCTAATTCTTCTTGGTAAAGGACTTGATGCAGCTGCTCAAACTGGCTCTTAATCATTTTCTGTGTTTCCAGCGTCTGACTCTGGAGGGACATTATCACAATGTTGTTTATTTGATCAGATATTTTATTTCTGAACAATACGAGTCATCTGATCCAGGTTACCTTGATGTACTTTAACATGTCAGCAGAGGTCTTGTGGATTCTTTTGAGGCTGTCCAGTTTATCTTGCAAGCTCTTAAGGGACAAAGCAAGTTCATCCTGGAAGTCAAGCAAGACTCAGTCAGCAGAGATTACATAGTTAAATGCAATGTTTTGGGTACTTTGGAAATGTTACACTTGCCTCTATCTTTAAAAGTGTGCTCACGATCAGGACAGACTTGTGGAGCAGCATTCTGCTTTAAGGTGTTACCTTAAGTACGAGTAGTCTGTACTTCAGTCAGTTGTTGTTGTTTTTTGTCCTTACCTTGCAATCCAGAAGTGCCTCTTCTACAGGTGAGCATTCATGAGTCTTGTGCAGTTTAGAAGACTGACACACCACACAGATGGGCTGTTTGTCAACCAGACAGAAGAGTTTTAACTTTTCCCCATGTAGATTACAGTTCGTCTTGTCTTCCACCTGCACCAAACTCTGCTTCCTGACCTGCAGATGAGCCTCACAGACATTTTTAAGGGCCAAATTGGACGGAGGATTGGACTTGGAGGCTTTCTTCCTGCAGACTGGACACTCTCGTAAGCCCGTTTCCCAACAACGCTTCAGACAGATCCTGCAGAAGCTGTGGCTACATGCCAGCAGAACAGGATCTGTGAAGATGTCACAGCATACTGGGCATGTAAGATCCTCCTCTGGGATTGACATGATCAGTAGCTTGTCGTGTATAACAAAGTAAATCCACAGTTCGAAATAGCCTGAAAGTTCAAGTCTTTAAAAGGTGAGTAAAACCAAAGTTAAGCATGTGTCCTGAAAGCCCCAGAGTGCACTAGCTGCTTATCCATTGTTCTTCGCATGAAGTAGCTAATGCTCTTGGCTTTCCTGTCCATGACTTCTGTGGGAGTAACTTAAATCATGCAGCAGTGTGAAAGAACAGTGTATGTAGCACAGCTGGGAAGCAGGAAATAAAGCCCTATTGGCCAGTTGGAGGACTGAAACTGGTTGGTAATTTGCCGCATGCCTGGAATGTAATCAGTCAGGATATGAATGTGAATGTTTCCGTGTTGTCAAAAGCACAAGAACATACATCAGCAAACTTGTTAACCTACTCATGTAGTTCTAATCTGCTTAGCAACTCTCTGGTAAAAAAATATTGCATGGAAGTGAATTTAGTGACTGTAACATTGTTGCCCAACACCTCATTTGTGTTCACAGGATGACTTTTTTCTCTTAGATAAGCTGAGTTTTGACCCAAACCGGCTAAACTAGCTCTAAGCTGCCAGAAATATTTTCTCACTGACAAGATTTTACTGCACTGACAGCAGGTCACCCATTGAAACCTATAAAAGAGTGTGCTAATATCCAAGATTACTGTTTTTGTATGACTACGTCTGTTTTTGTGTCTTCTGTGCAATTCAAGGCAGACAGAATACAAAACAGTTGGCAGCCAAAAATAGATGAAGTGTTCAATCTGAAGTCTGAAGAGAACACATGTGAATTAAGGTTGCTATTCTCAGGGACAAGCTGTGAAAGTAGCATCATTTTAGCCTCATCCTTGATTCTCAGTGTGAACATTTAATGATGTGCAGTAAAGTACGTGCACTTTATGGGTAATAAAGGTAGCAAATATTAATGTTCAAACACATCACTGGCTTTACTAGCAGTTAAACGGACAGTCAAGATCACCTGGAACTAACATGAACTGAACTTCAAAACCAACACCTTAGCTGACTTGGTAATGGTTGTCTTTTTGTGGCACATTTTTGTTCTGTCATGGACTTAACTGACGTAAATGCCGGTATACATTAGTTTTCGCTGTTGTGCAAAAAGTAGTTAGGCTACAAAAAAGAAGGATTAAGACAAAGTTCCCCTCCCTCCTTGGATCAGAGGAAAATGGGGTCATAAGAGATCATGCAGAGGATCAGATCCATTTGGTTTTTGCATGGCTGCACATGACTTTTTCCTGTCGCAACATACAGACTATAAAACAGCTTTGATACTTTGGTCTAACATCAACCCTTTAGTCTTTAAACTCAAGTTGATACTTTTTAGATGTGAAAGTTTTGTCCTGTCAAAGCATGCATGACAGATTTTGTATGTCCACCGTGGTAATGATGAACTCTGTGCTGGCTACACTGTAAAAGCTGCCCAACAATGACCTTGCTGGTTAAAGTGTGTGGCAATAACGTTTCTTTCTGATGTGCATGTGTCCAATGCGTGGGGTCACTCAGTCCGTGAGAATAATGAGAACCCCATTGATGACTGATGCAGCTCCCCGCATCCTATCCGCCATTTCCACGGGCTTTAGTTCCTCCCTCTCTCCTCCGGTCTTTGGTTGCCATGGCGATGACGTCAAGTTGCACCACCGATTCAGCCCAGTAGACGGTCTGAGAGGCGGCGCAACAAATCCCGGACGACCGACCGCAGGAGCCATCATCCTGTGAATCTCTGCAGCTCGGATCCGCTCGATCAGCTTCTTGCCCATCTGTTCCAAAATGCGCGAAATTGTGCATTTGCAGGCCGGCCAGTGTGGAAACCAGATCGGAGCCAAGGTATTTTGATGTCTTTTCTCTCTCTGATCTACTTTTTCTGTTGGGTTTTGCACTCCGGTGAGACTTGGGAAGGTTTCCGTGCCTCGGTGTCGCCGAGAGGAGTCATCTAATCCGTCCTGCAGGAATTCTCTAGAAGAAAGTCAATGTGGCGTCGTTTCTTGATTAAAGTTCCGTGCATTGCCTCAAAAATCCAACTTGTTTGCTCATTAAAATGCTTTGCAGCGTTTACACAGGAGTCAAGATTCATTCATTGGCTGAATTATGCAACAGAGAGAAAGATTCATGCAAAAACACAAAAAAAACGTTTCACTTTAATAACTGCATGCAAAATTTGCTTTTAATATTTCTGCATTTTTGTCCACTGTTCAGGAAATGATGTGAACTGCTGTAGTAGTGTAACCTTGTTGGTAGCAGCTTCCCCTCCCCCTCCACATTTCTGACCTATTTTTACCTTTGATTCTTCTCAAGTCAATTGCTGTTGAGAAAATATATATATATATATCTTTGTCAAATTGCAAATTAGTTGGTTAAACACTGGCATGATTTTCTCTTGAGTATTTTTAAGCCGGTTGGCCAGACCACCAAAGACACTGTTACTTATCAGATTATTGCCATCTGCTCGATTACTCCTGAGGCAGCATCTCAGACTAATAGACTGCTCTTTTGACCTGCATTCAGGGGAATTACAAAGTCTGGCAGCTGGTTTTCAAAATAGCTTTCTACAAAATGCTGAACAGCCTAAATATCTGTAGCTATTTATAGACAGCCATTACATAGATATGTGATGCACTGATGCATGTATGTATATTTAAAAAAATGTATGTAAGCCACTTTTTAAATCTGTTTTATTCCCTCTTTGGGCTAAATTAACTTTGATTTCTCCCTTCCTCTCCTACCACACCTATTTCACAGTTCTGGGAGGTGATCAGTGATGAGCATGGTATTGATCCTACCGGTACCTACCATGGAGACAGCGATCTCCAGCTAGACAGGATCAGCGTCTACTACAATGAGGCCACAGGTAAGCTGCAGATTCAGCTGTAATTCACACAATGCATTATTTGCATACCCATCATGCTCTGAAAATGTACAAGAAATACAGCTGTTTGTCCATGTTTGCCTGGTGTTAGGTGGGAAGTATGTGCCCAGAGCCATCTTGGTGGATCTGGAGCCCGGAACGATGGATTCAGTCAGGTCCGGTCCCTTCGGGCAGATCTTCAGACCTGACAACTTTGTCTTTGGTAGGCTGTGTGAACTTTGTAAAGATGCACTCATCTGGATTCAAATCAAATGCACTGATTTTCTGTCTTTCCCGTTTATCCTACATCAATAAATTGTGATTTTCTTGACCTCAGGCCAGAGTGGAGCTGGAAACAACTGGGCAAAGGGCCACTACACTGAGGGAGCTGAGCTGGTGGACTCTGTCCTGGATGTAGTGAGAAAAGAGGCCGAGAGCTGCGACTGCCTGCAGGGCTTCCAGCTCACTCACTCCCTGGGTGGCGGTACCGGCTCTGGCATGGGCACCCTGCTTATCAGCAAGATTCGCGAGGAGTATCCTGATCGCATCATGAACACCTTCAGCGTGGTGCCTTCTCCCAAAGTGTCTGACACCGTGGTGGAGCCCTACAACGCCACCCTCTCTGTCCATCAGCTGGTGGAGAACACAGATGAGACCTACTGCATTGACAATGAAGCGCTCTATGATATCTGCTTCCGCACACTCAAACTCACCACCCCGACCTATGGAGATCTCAACCATTTGGTGTCTGCCACCATGAGCGGGGTGACCACCTGTCTACGTTTCCCCGGCCAGCTCAACGCTGATCTCCGTAAACTAGCTGTCAACATGGTGCCCTTCCCCCGTCTGCACTTCTTCATGCCTGGGTTTGCCCCCCTCACCAGCAGGGGCAGCCAGCAGTATCGCGCACTGTCTGTGCCTGAGCTGACTCAGCAGATGTTTGACGCCAAGAACATGATGGCCGCCTGCGACCCACGTCATGGCCGCTACCTCACTGTGGCCGCCGTCTTCAGGGGACGCATGTCCATGAAGGAGGTGGATGAGCAGATGTTGAATGTGCAGAACAAAAACAGCAGCTACTTCGTTGAATGGATCCCAAACAATGTGAAGACCGCCGTCTGTGACATCCCACCACGTGGCCTCAAAATGGCTGCCACCTTTATCGGCAACAGCACAGCCATCCAGGAGCTGTTCAAGCGCATCTCCGAGCAGTTCACTGCCATGTTCCGCCGTAAGGCCTTCCTCCACTGGTACACAGGCGAAGGCATGGATGAGATGGAGTTCACCGAGGCAGAAAGCAACATGAACGACCTGGTGTCTGAGTACCAGCAGTACCAGGACGCCACTGCTGAGGAGGGCGAGTTTGAGGAAGAGGGAGAAGAGGAAGTTGCATAAAACCTCGCTGCCAAACCCATCCCCCAACTCCATCCCTTTACATCCCTCTCATTGTGAATTGAATGGTCAGCCACACTCAGAACAACTGTCACCATCCAGATTGCTGTTGCTCTAGTGTTAGACGTTGATGTTAGCTGGTGCTAGTGAAGTTTTTGGTTCAAATGTTTTTGTATGTTGTGAATGCACTGAATTATTGACATCCTTTCATTCGTCCTGTCATTTTCATTGCCGAATTTAAAGAAGGCGATTTTAACTGTGAAGCCTTGAAACTGGAGAATGATTAAAATCTAATTCAAAGGCCACTTTATGCCTCTGTGTTTTCACTGATTCATATTATGTGTGAGATGACAGTTTTTGTAGACCTTACAGCACTTCAATTACAGTCAGTAACAGTCTGTTCTGCAACATGCTGACATGTGGTCACAACATGATTATGGGATCTGTGACACATTGCTTTGAATACACATTATTTTCTGATTTAAATGCTGAATAGTTTTTAACTTTGCACCTTCCATGACTATTAAATTAAACTATCTGAAGAAGGGAACTCATTGAACATTTGAGCTTTGAATACAAAACAATATGACAAATATTTGTAGTCATGTTTCCAGCTTCACCAGTGATGAAATGTGGTTTCTGAAGTCCACTCATGTGCAGTTTGGATTATTACGCATACATTAGCAATCATGATTGAGCAATATTCAGCAAAATAGCAACAAAAGAATGAATATAGCTCAGTTTTTATCAGTTGAAAGACAGCCAGTCAGGAAACAGGCTGTGCTGTCATGTAAGTAAGTAAAAGCCGGTTCAGCAAGAACATTTTGTCTACGTGAAACTAACCCAGCTCCTATTGATAAGGAAGAAACTATGTTAGCAGTTTTTATATAAAATTCCTGAGCAAATGCCATTGAGAATGTAGTTTCTTCAAATTTGTGAAAGCCTGTTGGGTGTATTTAATCAGCTAAATTAAAGATCGGCTTGTTTTGTCAGAGCAGTGCTATCAGTAAAAAGTTATTCTATTTCAATCATCACAGAAAAAAAAATTTTTTTGATCCTCGCCTAAGTTTTTTGTTGAGATCAAGTGTTTGTCGATGTCAATGAATGTTTTGTCCTAAACTTCTACACCAGTTTACTGTCCTGTACAGTCAGTGTGAACACATACTTTGAAAATACTTTTTCAAATCCAGTGTTTTCCCCTCATTTTTTAATTCATCCAAAGGTTATTTGACATCAAAGTTTAAAGTCAATGTGATGGGAGGAGTGTCTATGTGTGGGACCCTTCCTTTACGCTGCCTCATCGTATGTCACATAAAAAACTCATTGAAGGTCCAAACTCAGCTCCATGAGAGTAAACTGAAAATTCATCAAAATGCTATTGCTGGAATCATATGGCCGTACAGTGAATGTGGATAAGGGTAAGGATATCTCTACATTCAGAATCTACAGAGACCCAGAACATGTGTCTATGTACTGAACACCTTAATGTGAAACATGTTGGTCATTTGTCTTGTAGTTTTTAAATACATCAAATCTTAGAAGACATGGAGACGTGGAAAGAAAAGAAGAGACTGTCTCTATGTTGTTTTCGTTACCGATAACAGCATGGAAACTAACAATGACTCCACTGTTCCAGTGACTTTTTAAATACACTCAGCGGCGGATCCTTTCACGCTCTTCTTATCTCCGCAGCTGTTTTATCGTCTTAAGACTCAGTGTACAAATACATGCAGTTGTTATAGACTTACTTAGATTTTCCTCAATCCTGCCTAGAGTTTTTAGGCCTCAACTGGTGTACTGTTGCTCACAAGGGCATTTCATATTGAGATTCATTAGATGTACAGCTTCTTCATACCCATTTCTTACTTTGACTAGGACTGCATCCTGTAAATAATCAGTAAACATCATGCATTTTGAATAAAGTTCATGAATTAGAACAGGATGAATAGCTGCCTACTCCCCCATTTTCAAACTCCTTCTGGGCACTACTGGGACTTCAAAATGCTTCATAAAGTTTAATTACACAAATATTATAGAATATTTATTTGACAAAAGCATAAATAAACATGCCGTGACGCTGTAAAACATATCTTCTAGATTACAATAAATCACGTGCTTCATGGATGATCTGATGAAATGTTTAAATAATGTGGCTTGAAATTTGTAGAATTACTTACAGAATACTTAAAGTGTAAACAGCTGCTTGCTTTTGCTTGGTATGATTCCCAAGTAGAACCTCTTTTTTAAGATCAAGGCGCAAGTTCCTTAAAATCAAGAGTATTTGCACTATGACAAGATGTTTAATTACATCCGTAGGACACATAAATATATATTTTAAAAAACATCTGTGCATTCATATTCTTCTCAAATGGGATGGACTGAAAAAGAGTTTGAGGTAAAAGATCAGCGTAGTTTTTGCCAATGAAAAAGTGATTTCATAACAGACTACAATTGAATAAAATACAGCTACATTGTGAATTGTGTATTAAGGCAACTGAGAAAATAAAGCATCTCTAAACTAAAGTTGTTAGTGCTGATAAAATACTGCGGCTCCTGTTTTACTTGTGTAGAATCAATATTCAGACCTCTTTGAATTCTTCAAAGTTAAATCCACAAGGCGATGGATCCGTACCATGCAGAAGTGATTCAGTGCTTGTTGAAATGGAGCGGAAAGTAAATGCATTGCGCTATGGAGTTTCAATGATCAGTCTTTGTTCTCTCTGGAACCCGGAGGAACTTTTCTTTCACTGATTAGCTCAAAGGCGAGAGCTTGGTCACACAGGAACGCTGCCATGCAGGCAGCCCTCTGTCTTTTCAGGATTTTTGAAGAAACAAAAAGCCCCAAAATCTCATATGAGTCTTTCCTCTTTCGGTAACTTCAGTGCATCCGGTGCGGCCACGCTGCGTGCACCAGATTGCTCCTCAGCACTGGGTCTGTACGTCCCTTCAGTCTGCCTCTTCTTCTTCACCACACAGAACAGCCAGGCGAGAACAGCCAAGACTATGGCCAGAACACCCAGGGTGACTGTAGGGGCCACGATAGCTGCAATATTGGGTCCCGTCTAAAGGAAACAATACAGGACAGTTAGGACAATGTCTGCTGACAAAGGATATGTTCTGTTATTTACTGGTTATTAGAAAGGTTTGTCACTCACTGCATTGTTAGGGCGTGTGACACTTGCAGCAGTGGTACTATTCCCTGTAAAAGAACAGACACATCAGCAACACTGCAGTATCAATAAAAAACTCTTTTCAAGCTAATTCTCACTGCTTGCTTAAATATACTTTATACATACAGGTATGTGTCTCCTATCTGCTTAGCTAAAATTCTCAGTTAATAACAATCAGCTGCTTTAACTATTTCTTGTAGAGCATGTAAACTTGGATATGTAAGTAACCAGTTTACTGCACTGAGTAAAGTATTTACTACATAACTACACATATTCAACTTATTTTACAACCTGGTTTCTGTAAGTCATCTGGTTGAATTTAAAGGAATAATCTGACATTAAAAAAAATAAATAAAACATGAGTAAGATGGACAGCTTCGATTGCAACTAGGGGAGACATAGGAAGTTTCTGGTCTGGACAAAGAAGAAGTCCTGGACATGACCTACTACAACACAGTGAAATGTTGTTTTCTCACTTCAGTTTTACTACAGTTTAAACATTTCTCCTGGTTTCCAGTTTCATTGCTAAGCTAAGCTTCTCATCAAGCAAAAGCAACAGCAAGCAAGAATACTTCTCAAAATGACAAACTAGTGCTTGCATGTAAGCAGAGTCTGAATAAAGGCACACGGAGGGATCTTTTAAATTGAGTTGATGAATAAATTGCTAAATGTGTGTGTGAATCATAATAGAGATGTGACTGTCATTCTCCAGTAATAAATAACAGTCATGAGATCAATGACCATGAGACAAAAACACAATAATGTGATTCACTTTTTAAAAGTCATGCAGTTTTATTTTGTCTGTCTTTGTAAACAGGCTAAATAGAAAGAAAAAACAGAAAGCACAGGACAGAAGAAGTGACTTTTAACCTCATGCACATGTTCCAGGCTACAGACTCTTAAAAACCTTCCAGGTATCCCACCAGTCCAGTGTTTTTTTCATTTCATCCATGACCAGCCATGTGACTACTCTGTTATATCATGAAACTACATAGTAACTACTTGACCAGGAGAACTAATAAGAGGGAGAAGCTCAGGAATGCAGAGGACTGAATCAGCCACTGGTTTGAAAAACGGGAAAAAAACGAATTTTGAGCATTGAGAGAATCACATAAATATAAAGGTAAGTTTTGAAAACTAAAACCCTCCCCTACCATGCTCTGAGTCAATCATTTACTTGGACAAATAGTAAACTTCCAAGGGCAAAAGTACAACCTGATAACAAAAAGCAAGGAGTTACTGAAGAGGGGAAACGCAAAAGAAAGCAGAATAGATTGTGACATTGAATTCTATACACAATTACTGATAATCAACTAAGACCTTTCAGTCACCGGGCAGACTGTTTATCAATTTTTGTTGCTTAGTCCAATAATGTTCTTACAAAATGCTGACAAGCCTGTGCACGTCTAACATTCTTCCACAGCTTTTTTATTTGTCATTGTAGGATTCAGTGTTGAGCATTTGTGTGTATTTGTGTGTAAGTGTGCTCAGAAGGATGGCTTATTTGTTTAGGAGTGTTTCGGAAGGCGACTAACTCACCCCACACAGGATTATTGCTCAGTATCAGCAGTAAAACGCTCCCAACCACAGCTCCAGGTACGGCTGGCACATCCGGACACGCTGCCATCTCAAGCCAGCAAGGCCAAGGGAGGGCAGACTGGGGCCTTGGGGCATCAGCTTGGGTCCATTTCATTGGGTCGAGCGGTCACTGTGAGGATTTGTTACACTCCCATATGAGTTGATGACACATGATTGTCTGCAATGTAAAGAGAAAATCCTTTTGAGCTCACTCTGATAATGTTTCAGACGCCTTTAATCTACGTCTGTCTGCTCACACCACAACCACTGAGTCACAGCCAACCTGATGTTGAATCACCATTAAACCTGCCCAGTCTACAGGAAAATAATCAGCTATTAATAGTGCGAGTGTCACAGTTGGAAAACAACATTAATGTCAAGCCTTCTTACTTTTGCTATAACTGTTGCTATAAGACAGTTTATACATTTTACGCACATTTACTCAACACATACCCTTGATCCGGTCGTTTTCAGATGGTCGAAGCAAAACGGGAAACATGGAACAGGTTGATTCCTCACGAACGAGCCGCTTCCGCCTCACCTTGTCAAAAACAGAAACAAAAATAAAGTCCGATGAACATCACAGGAAACACCTCGAGCGAAGTGAAACGCTCGCCAAAGTACTTGACTGACTCCTCTGGAGCTACATCCCCGGCCGGCTGCACTACCTGTTGGTGTTTTATGTAAAGCAGTTTTTTTTTCCCCCTCGTCTACTCCTCAGATCGCCATTGGTCACATGGTTCAGTTTCGTGTTACAATACCTGAGCACAGTTATCTACCTGCAGCAGGGCGCACAGATCCTCCTTTGTACAAACTCGATGAAGAAAAGCGCAGTTTAGTGAAACACAGCAGCCCCGATTCCTCCTCTTTTTTTCTTTAAAAAAAATTAAAAATCCTCAAGATAGACTCACAACTTTTGATCACATGTATGTCATGTTGTGTCTCCCCCCCAGATTCGGACAATAACCGAACTGGTTTTGTCTATGATGTCAGTTTTCTCCCACTTGCTCCAGCCTGCACACTGTTTCCCTGCTCTTACCTTAGCAACCTGGCGCATGAAGGTGGCACCGAATAGCGCCTCCATCAGGTTTCATGTTTCGTCGTCATGAGAAAGGATATCAACATTCCTGAGATATTTTAAGGATGAATTCGGAGGCCAGCTGGTCCAGTGGGCTCTAATCCTCACCTAATCTCCTCCTCTCGGACTCAGAGGGGCAAAGAAAAAGTAGGCTGCTTCAGGCCTAATCTGTGCTGCTCAGATTTTTTATTTTTATGTGGACAGTGTATGAAAGCACTGAGGCGTTTAGTGAGAAGGGCCTGTGGAAAAATCACTCTTATATTGCAGCAGTGAGTCACACTGAGGAAGTGCCAGTTTGTTTGTGTGCTGTCAATGTTCCTCTGATATGAAATTTGGAAATCAGCATTTGCTGTGTGACTTGCTGCGTTTTGTTTATCAGAGTGAGCAAATTAGGTGTCAAGGTTAGTAGTGACAAAACCCTTCCTGAAAAAGTCATGGCATCAGCTAAGATATATCAGATTATAATGTAACAATTTTATTGTAAATAGGCATGACACATGGTAAAATCATTTGAACCTTATTCATCTTAAAAACACAAGTTTCTCTGATGCCTTCAAAATGAGTTTACTGAGCTTAGGTTGAATTATTTCAATGTCATTTTATGAGTTTTGACCTGCTGAGTTATAAAAATCAAGCTCATCGCAAAATCTTTGAAAATGACTTGGTTGGGACTGAATTCAATACTAACCTTCATCAGTTGGAGCACTGTTTTCATTCATATGTAAGAAACAACTGGGATTTACCAAACAATGCACAGCAAGCTTTTATTGTGAATGGGTTCTTCAGGATACAACAGAAGAGCGTTAAGGAGCATTTTAACATTCAAATACTGGGAAGTCTGCAAGCATTTTAGGTTTGCATCTTTAAAAACTCGATTTTAGGAATTGATAAAACTCTGAGCTGTAGATTACATTAACTCAGGATTTTGAGTCAAATCAGACAACAAATGTGTAGAAGTTCTAAAACTGTCTGACAAAAGAGCAGATAATTTAGGTTGAGTTTACCTGAAATTAACAAAACAGTTAAAACAAATTGGTAAATTTCACTAAATTCCTATTTAGTGTTAAACAGTGGAGTTTAGGAGCAATTTTATTGTTAACTCATGAGATGCACACATGGCAGCAGTCCTCTGTCTTGTTGGAGGTTCTGTTTATTCAGCAGATTCTTGTGACTGGAGGTGAAATTTGTTGCCAAGCCTCTCTAAGTTTGACCTGCTGGTCTTTATGTTACATGCATGTTAAGTTTCAAGTAGTGCATTTTTGTTGAAGTGATTGTCATTCTTTCTTTTATTCCTGAAAGAAAGGCTGTGTAAGTTGTCCCATCTAGAATATGACCACGAAAATAAATTTAACCCAAGGCATACAGTCACAGCCCAGGGGTAGTCTTGCAGTAAATATTACATTGTGAAGCTGAAGCATCCATCCATACATCCATTATCTATACACCGCTTAATCCTCACTAGGGTCGCTGAAGTCTGTCCCAGCTGACTCAGGGTGAAGGCAGGGGACACCCTGGACAGATCACCAGGTCACCAGTCCATCACAGGGCTACACTTAGAGACAGACAACCAAGCACACTCACATTCACGCCTATGGACAATTTAGAATCACCAGAGCCAGAGAACCAGAGAGAACCCACGCTGCACGAGGAGAACATGCAAACTCCATGCAGAAAGATCCCAGGTGTCCTAAGTGGGGATCTTCTAGCTGCAAGGCGACAGTGCTGACCACTGAGCACCCTGTAGCCCAAGCTGAAGCATATATTATATATATATTTAAGATTAGATTTAATCATTTCCAAGGTGAAATTGTGATTTGCATAAGGGGACGTTTCTGTCTATCTTCGTCTTCCTTAGGGTGGAGCACTTCAAAGGTTTTGTTTTATTGTATCATTCCCTGACCAAGGAATTTATTGTGAACATTGGCTGCAGTCCAATAAAAACAGAAAGAAAATGGCAGCAGCATGTGGACTGACTTATTCTGGTAGAGGTTGAAAATAATTCTTCCAGTTTGATTTGCTTTGGTCAGTCAGGAAATAAATATAGTGTTAATGGATAAAATAAGCACAGAAACTGGTTTCTGTAGGCCCGGGCGTCTCTTTTTGCGCCGCTAGGGGTCAGTAGAGGCACTTTGCGTTTGTTGTGGCGGAGCGGGCCTCTTTTCCTCGCAGCTTGCCGTAGGCGCGGTGAAACCTGGGTAGGACGGGGAAAGCGGCGGGAGAGCGGCAGTCTAATCTCAAATTTAATTAATCCTTTTTATGCTGAGCATATATTAAGTAAGTAGTGTGGATTTAATCGTGTAACTAAGGCTTACGTTGGGTGAAACCTAAGGTGTGTGGCTCCTAGCGCTGCTGTTCAGAGCTTGTGTTGTAGTGTTGCTTTTAAAGCATTCCCCGGGAAACCGGTTTGAACGTTTGTTTTTGCTCGTCTCTCTCTTTTTAGCGCTCCAGCAACAATGGCGAAGGTACAGGTGCTGAATGTGGCTGTCCTGGATAACCCGAGTCCTTTTGGAAATCCCTTTCAGTTTGAAATAACGTTCGAGTGTATGGAGGATCTCCCTGAAGGTGGGTACCGTCGCTGAATCGCTGTCATTGTCGCTGGGTTCAGGCCAGACTCTGGTGAGAGTTCAGGCTGTAAAATGGCTAACGAACGGCTAGCATAATATTAGCGACATTAGCTAACTTCAGGGAGAGGGTCTTGCTTGCTAAAACATTGGAGTTACTTTAAAAGCAACAGTAAAGTACCATAACACAACTTGGTTGGGTGTTTTTTTCCATGTTGGGCACATCTCAGAGTCATCCAAGTATACTCAGATCAAATTTTTCAAAAAAAGTGTAAATATGCTAATGCTATTCCTGGTAATAATGCACCCGACTCATACCGAACACGTTAGTCATTCAGTCTTCTGTGCTGAATAGTCTGTAGCATACAAATATAAATAATAATCCAGAGTGAATTGTACATATTGATCTGTGTACATTGTTAGTGGGCATGTCAACGGTTTTGCTTTTCACATTAAATTAAACATTCAGTTTTGTGTCTGCATTTTTTTGCATATGACAATAGATGTATTTCTTTGTACTCCACCTGTCTATTACTACACATGTTTGCACGTAATTCAACGAAACTGAGAAAAGCACTTACTTACTTTGGCCAACTTTGGCATTTTTACTTTGTTTTAGTCATTCAGATGCATACATCTGTCATAATTAATATTTGTTGAATTGTGATTTGATCATCTGATTCTTTGATTAGTTTTTTATTTTATTTTCAGCATTACAAATATAACTTTATATTTTCCAGTCAAACATAACTTTGTTTTACTCCTTTTTTTTTTTTATAGACCTGGAATGGAAGATCATCTATGTGGGCTCAGCAGAGAGTGAAGAGTATGATCAAATCCTCGACTCCGTCTTGGTTGGTCCTGTACCTGCTGGGAGACATATGTTTGTGTTTCAGGTGTGTTTGATTAAATAAAACTCACTAAAACAATACTTCACATTGCTTTTGCCACATGTTATATGTTGAGAACTGTTTCAGATGAAAGGCAGATACATTGCACTTAATGTAGGACTCTGCTTTGAAAGGATCCTTTTTAACTGCTCTTTGACAGCATAGCCATGTCAAGACTGAGCTTATTTGTATTTTCACTTCGTTTGGCCAGTCGGCCACAGAGACACACTGAAAGTGTTGTATTGTCAATTATGGTCCTATTCTCTGTCTTGTCATACTTGTTGTATGTGTTTCTATTTTTGCACATCTCTGTGTTGTATTTCTGTTGCAGGCTGATGCCCCAAACACTGGATTGATTCCTGAAAGTGATGCTGTTGGTGTAACTGTAGTGCTGATTACCTGCACATACCGCGGCCAAGAGTTCATTCGCATTGGTTACTATGTGAACAATGAATACACAGATCCAGAACTTCGTGAAAATCCTCCAATCAAGCCAGACTACACACAGGTTAGAAAGTGTTTGATTTATGGATGATCTGAATTCCAATGCCAACGTAACTGCCTAATCTTTACATTACCGGTTTGCAAGATTTTGGGCTACTGGCTGCAACACAAACCTAAAGCAGAATATTTCCACCCCTGTGCTTAACAGTAGGCAAGATGTGCTGTTCATGAAATGCTGCTTCTTTTTTTTTTTTTTTTTTTTTTTTCGTAAGACGGGATAAATGGTTGTGGCCATAGAGCTCAATACCAATCTGTCCACAACACTTGTTTCCAAAACAGGTCTGGCTTGTCCACTTGTTGCTTTGTATCCCTGACATTGACCTTTATGACAAGATTGCAGGTATTGTGCTAACAGGTGTCTTCACTTTCCTCACTTGTGTCTCTTCCTCGCGTCTGATCTCCTCCCTTGGAAGATAATAGATGCAAGGAAGAGACGCATGGATGGAGGAGATGAGGCTGCCAAATAAGAAAGCCTTTCATCCAAAGCTTTAGTCTTAAGTGACAGTGCAACATTTTTATGTTACGCCACTTGATAAAAACTAATCTATGTAGCGTATATAACACCTGAGTTTTCTTGCTCGTAGCTCCTTCCAAAGCCTCCTTGCTTGTTGTCTCAAGGTACATTTAAGTAATGGTAGGAACGTCCATGGTGAAGGAGGAATAGTTTTTGGGACATTGATGGAGAGAGGGTGCAAGGAAGCGCCCTCTTTTTGTGCACCAGCACTGCACAATGGAACTGTATACCAAATCCAGGTCCTCTGCAGTCATGTGGGGCTATGCTTTTTCTTTCTGTCCAGCATTTGAAGTAACAGACTTTTTTCATGCAGCGACTGTGTTTACGTCTTTTCTCTTCAAAAATCAATAAATTGTGTAATTTGTCCAGGGAGGCCTAAACTTTTGAATATAGCTGTATTCTCAGAGCTGGAATATAAAATGTTCTGTGTCACTGAAGATCAGGTTCAAAGGAGTTTTGCTGTACACAAAGTCCAGTCCCCCCACCCCCCTAAAAAAAGTCTTTAAAAATACGTTTTGTAGACATTCATCAAATTTTAATTAAAATACCTTACACATTACAGGACTCCAGCATTTTAATAACATGTTTTAATTTTGTTGATCATTAAAATAGAAAGGTAGAAATTTAGTAGCATGTCCACCTGGAATTAAAGATGATCGTTCTACTGAGCCTGCAGTTTGGAACAATAAATGCTGTGATTGTATAATTATCACATTCCCTTGGTTATGTAAGTTAAAAAAGCAGAAATTTTCCCATTCCGTAGGCTGTGTTGTTCGTTCAGATGGTAACTTCAGTAATAAGCCCCTGTGAGTTTTCCTGTAATGACAAAGGATTTTGATTGTAGGTGTCACATTTTTAACGTGGCTGACATTTGGAATGAAACCTTTCACTCACAGGTGCAAAAAAAAATATTGGAATGAGGGATTGCACTGGTTCCAGCTGTAAAGCTGTAGGTTATTATATAGTTGTGTATATGATTATTGTTGAATGAATACTAATTGGTATCTTTGTAGCATTGGCTTCATCCTATCTTGCCCTGATTCCTGAGACCACCAGATCTGCCAGATAGTGGCAGTGTGCATGTTGGTAAATATTAGCTGCATCTAACAGAGAAAGCATATTATTTAGGGAAATGTTAAACGTTTTCAAATGTTTTTAAACGGATGTTTCCATTATGGTTGTAAAATGCTTATGTAGACATTTTATGTTTTACTTTATGACAGTTATTATACACATCTCTCCTTAATAGACAAGTTTGATTTACATTTTAACAACATTTTACTGCAATTTAAAAAAAAAAATCTTCTACGAATTCCACTTTGATGTTGTAATAACATGCAGAAAAAGTTTTAGATTAGATGTAGCTATTGGATGTATGGTGCAAAATAGTTCTATATAGGAAGCTTATGAGGGGTATCGCTAATTTACTGTATATGTGATTTACAAGCACAAAGTATTTATCACAATGTGCTCTTTTTTTCAGCTCCAGAGAAATATTTTAGCATCAAACCCGCGTGTTACCAGATTCCATATAAACTGGGAAGGCTGCGCAGAGCGAATGGAAGACTCTGAAAACGTGGATCCTTCTTCAAACTCCATGCTCCCGCCATCCTGTCTCCCAGGCAAGGCTCCACCTTTGGGAATATTACCAGATAACTCTATGGACTTCTTATAGAGATCCCCCCTGCCTAAAGGTGATGACTCACGAGATGTTACATTTGAAGAATGCCTATGGACATTCTAGTGTGGAAGAATGGATGTACAGACATCCCTGCCTTACAGCTGCCCTTATTTTCCTGAAACTTCTCAAAAAATGAACTGTCACCTTGGCCTTCAAATGAACATTTGTTCCAAGGACGAGTCTGAACATCCTACTGGAATGATTGTAATTTATAGATGGATAGTCCCTTGCCATGAAAGCAATATTGAAGTATGGAAAGGAAACAGCAACTACAACCGCAACTGCAGCTGAACTGAAACATACGAAAGCTGGTGCATGATTCACCTTCCTTCCTTTTGTTGGTGCAGAACGGATTTGTACCCATTTAAGAGGATTTCAGCACTGAAGCAATAGGCAAGTAAATTGCAATATGTTGCTGTACAGGAATTTGATAATCTGCAATTATATTTGTGTTCACAATGCACTTAGACTTTTTCCCACTTAGATTGAGGAGTTTTGGATGGGCTTTGTATGGGCTATGTTACCTCCTCCATGTTTTTTTTTTTTTTTTAATTCCTGTTTTCAAATTTGTGTTCCAAATAAAACATTGTATTTGTCATGTGTCTGTGTATGAATAGCTGTTCCTCATAAATACTTGAATTATTTGATTGTTTTCAGAATGCATCTGAAATCCTATGGATTTCTCTTGTGTTTGTTAGGTATGCATTACACATGTATTTTTTTCCATGATGCACTTGATCTGTAGCACAAATAGTGTGAGTATCCCCTCATATTTTCACATTTTACTAAAAATAGCCTGTGCTAACGTCACACCCAATCACAGATTGTTCGGGTAAAAGGGGGTGGCTAGGCTACAATACTGACTTGAGAAAATATTGCACTGCAAAAACGATGGTGATTGCAAAATCGCTGCCTTCGCTTTGTTTTCGCAACGAAATTCAGTGTTATAAATGCAAACAGCTGATAATTTGAAGCAAAAAGAAAAACACAGTTACAGTTATGGGCGTATTGGCTACGAGCAAGTCCGGGAGGCGGGACAAAGCCGTTTGACAGACGAATCGTTTCAATGCAAGGATTGGATGTATTGACAGTTGTCCAATCAGCACTCGAATTCGATTTCTGTCACGTAAGTATTCGTGCAGGCAGCCAATCAGAGACAGACGAAGGCGGGACTCTGTGGATGGATGACTGGAGTTTCCCTTGCGGTCTGAAGATTAATGGAAGGGGTCTGTTGATCTGAGGAATCGACTATCAGGTGGTCGGTCCCAGGAAACCACTGCACTTGACGGCTTGTGTAGAAACGAATGGAGCGATATCTGTTTGAATAACAAACAGCGGGGAAAAACGAGTAGCCTGGACACCAGTTTTGTCATCCAGGTTTCCCCTGAAAAGGCCTGCCTATACAGAGATAGCACCTGGTTAGCTCAGGCCAGGATACGACTGCAAGGGACGCTAGAAGCTAACGCTAGCTTCCTCGGAAAACAGCTTTCGACGAACTGTGTCCGGACTGGATTTTGGATAAATCAAACCGTCTCTGGAAATACAGGACAGTCAAGTGACATCCTTATCCGCCGGTGCTCGCTTGGAAATAGACGAGCTAACAGGCTGACATCCGCTGGCTATACAGTTAGCTAACGTGCTAGCCTAGCTAACCTGAAGCGCTAGTGTTAGGTGCAGACTTGGATATACTCGAGTGGCTGGAGTTTCCTCAACTCATAACGGAGACGTATTTGAGTAAATATTTTTACATTCGTTTGTCAATAATGATAGCTGTTAGCTAGTAGCTAGCTGTCAGCTTCATTGAGTTCTACGACTGCATTAGCGGTGTAGCATCACTCAACGACTTGTAAAGGAAAACTCATTCCGAGCCCAGGGAGTCCACCATCAGCCTGCCATCATGGGCAACACGCCCACCGCAAAGAAAGGCAATGAGATGGAGAGTGGTGAGTACCCTTTGCCCGTAGTTGCCGCAGCTAGCCGTATCGTGCCGCCTGCCGCTGGATCGTTTGGCTGTAGTCATTTCCTGTTTCCCACAATGGCAGCGACATAATATGTACAACTTAAGACCTGTGCAGTGCATAACAGCCCAGAGAGCCCCCGTTATTACACAGTTTTCCCATGTTTCAACAGCTTTTCTCATCTTGGAAAGTGGATCAGCTCAATATGCCGAAGTTTCATTGGGATCGTCCACCCCATATCAGATCAATTCATATCCACACCTAAACTTCAGCTAAGTTGTTTTACTGCTAAGCCAGGGTCATCCCAATCGAACAGCAGAGGATGTTATTCATTTTCTTTGCCCATCCTGTGGGAAAGCTCGTGATTAAATGCCCCAGGTTACATTCAGAGGTATCAGTGAGGATGGCAACAAGTAGTCTTATACAACAGTCATAGGTTTGCTTGTGGTTTATGTGTTCTAGATATTTCTTTCTACTGTCATAAGATTATGGAGGGCTGCAACAACATTGCAAGCTCAAACCCTTGTGCAGACTTGTTGTCTAGTGCACTTTTTAATAACGTAGTCACTCCAGGACAAAACATTCCTCTTTGTACATGAAAAGGGTTCGTTTTTTAAAATAAATAAATAAATAGAGATTTGCAGCAAGAGTGGAGATGCACGTACTATTTTAGGATGTTTACATGAAGTAATCAACTGAATGTTAAAGCTCAGTGTCCCCCTGACTGTGTTTGTGAGCAGAAGGGTGTTGGTTGTTATCAGTGGAATAAAAAGCCACCAGGACGTTGTCATATGATGCATGAGGGTGATCCTCTCCGGGCAGAAACTTGGGAGTTAAGAAGTCTCTTGAACAACATGTGATGAGCAGCATTTAGAACAAGGGCACTTGTATGTGTCATTGAGTGCGTGCTTGTGTGCATGTTGCCGAGAGAGAGAGACGCTTTGCTTGTTTGATAATCGTTTTATATGCTGTTGCTCTGCACAACTTTTTCCTTAATGAACTTTGTGAACATACAATTGACTTACTTACAGTCTGATTTTTTAAAAAATAAGGCAAAGAGTCAGAAACACCAAACTAACAAAACTGATTCATTATTTCAAGTATGAACTTGAGTGTTTAGTGAAATTTTGGGGGAAATAATTGTATTTCTTATTATGTTTGTTGACTAAAGTTCACTGGACCTAGAGAAGACTTGGGAGGACACTGTTTTATGTTTCTATCCATAACACCATAAATAACGCTTAAGTGTGCGATGTCTGAACGGGTATCTGTGAAATGAGCGTCAGCTCCTTGTTGCTGGTAGCGAGTAAGTGTGAAGAATGGTCTCCAGTCTCTCTGTAATGTTAACCCATCCTTGGTAGCCTGTGTAACAAGGCCATGACTTTCAGATGTCAGAGCACAAATGTCTGTTTTTTAGTGCTTTAGAAAGAACAGAACTTGGAATGTTACTCGGTTAAAAACAGGCGTAGAGAAGGCGCTGCTGTTGGGAGGGTTGTTCATATGTCATGCTTCACTTCCTTATCAGTCTGATCACTCTGGGCCCACCCTGATCCCCAGAGACAGGTGCAGACCAGGGGTCCAGAGCCCACAACAAGGAGCATAATTTTCCACAGAGCAGAGGAGAGATTAAGGACAACATGGCAGCCTGTTTTGGTTTTGACGGAAAATGGAAAGAGAGTGTTGAGAACTGGTTCAGGTGTGCAGCGTCTATTGTCACCGAACTTTCCAGGCTGCAGAAGACGAGCAGAGAGCCACTGCACTGGTATACAGAGCTCCTTTCTGGCCCACAGGAAGAAGCAGGGCGGACAGACACTGTGAACTGCCACAGGAAGTGAAGGAGCAAGGAAGGTCCAGCCCAGGCTCTGCACAGTTGGTCATCGCCTCTCTGCTCTATAACCTAAACACAGTCGGCCAAGATAGCCTTAAGTTTTGGCCTTTAAGACGCTGTTGGTATTACATTTTGTGGATTTCCCGCTTGGTAAAACATCCGGAAGTACTGCAGTTTGAAGCTCTATCAGCTGGCTTCCTCCAGCCTTGTATGATGTCTGTTATTCACAAGCTGGCAGGAAGGCTGTTTCAACGAGCTGGACCCTGTCTAGGGGACATAGGCAGTGGACAAGGCAGACATGACCAGCCACAGGAGGAGCTAGAGGCTTGCAGCTGGAGTGAGTTTTTATTCTGGAGCTGGAGAGGAGCATGGGTTAGGGGTGGAGCTGGAGTTCACACCGTGTCCCACAAGCTTAACCAGTCACAGGCTGATCTGGATCTCGCCATTTCACAGATAGCCAAGCTGTGTTTTCTTGATAATGTTTGTAACTGAATTCATCTTGTGACCTGGTGAGTTGAGTGTCAGTGGCTGTGGTGGAGTGATCTATCGCACTTCTGGACCTTGGTTGTACTGGTTTATTATTTATGGCCTGTAGCCAAGTCATATGCATGCATATGTCCATGTATACAGATACACGCAAACAGAGCAGTCTGTTGTTTGTCTCTGCTCTGTTACCTATTGTTTACTGGTTACAGAAAAAACAGGGAGGCATTTCTCAGCTCCTGTGGAAGCATCTGCCTGTGCACAGTAGCTGCACAGCAAAACACTATCAGCCTTAAACTACACAGTGCAATAATGAATCTGTTTTGACTCCCACATTCTTTATTGCTGTTATACTTTAAGGTCCTTGTCCTTCTGACAAATAGCACTCTTGTAAGTTTGTGTTGTCTTTTTTTTATGAATTTTTGATAGCTTGTAAGTCTTGTTGCATTCATGTTTGACTGCTTAAAATATACTTCTCTAACTTTACACTGGTTAAACATCTGAGCAAGACCGTGCTCATAACCAGTTTATGACAAGGAATGGTTGTAATGAGTTGTGAGTGTCGTGAATTTGACCATATAATGAGGTGGCACTCTGTCCAAGTGCAACTCCCTCTGTCTATAAATATCAGCGTGGTTCATGTCCTGCCCCTGCTCTGCACACAGCTGGTTTGTGTAACAGGGGCAGGCTTGTGTTTGGATCGCTCATCACTTCCTGTCTCCAGTTAAAGGGGCTTTGTTAAAAGCTTACACTGATTATCGGTAGACCTTACGTTTGAAACGCCAATCAGCTGCCTCAGACCAGCTTACAGCACCGAACTAGCCACTCGGCAAACTGACAGACCGCCAGGGGAATGGTCCTGAGATGTAGCAGCATGTAGAGCAAAACTGACAATGAAGTTCAGTGTTTGGGCAGGGAACAGTAAATTCATTAGGGTTTGATGTGAAATAGACATCGTAGTAAAGTGAATCCTTCTGTCTTCTAAATCTACAGGTACTGCTACTGACATTATTTTTATCACTGTAGCACATACAGGAATGGCATATTATAATACTTGGGTGCAGAAATGAGGGCATCCAGAGGAACAGCAGAAACACTGTAAAATGTATGTGCATTGAACCCTGTATGTATCTCTGCATTAAAATTCATACGCAGAAAGTTTGAACTCATGAGAGCTATAAGGACGAAATAAAAATATGTAATTGTTTGACACTACATGCACACTTTTACCTCCTTGAAGATTATTTGTGTCAGACAGTAGACCTCTGGATAAAATACACTCCTATGCAGGAAAAAGCAAAGCGAGACTCGCACTGTTTCATTGTTCAGCCTTGGGATCATCGTAATAATTCACAATTTTTAATAAGAACAACTACACAATGAAACTGATGGATGCAGGAATTTTCCCCGTTCTCTAAGTGCATTTCAACAGAAGTGAAAAAGGACATGAAAGTTGACTGAAGACTCAGTCTCTCAGTTCCTCTGCTTCTGAATTGGTTGGTAATTTAACTAGCCATTTAAATTCGGGACAGTACAACACAGAGTGACTTTCCATTGGCAGCTTTGTTAGTGAATGCCCACCGCCTGTATTCAGCAGCTGATGACTAAAATTGATTTCTCACCTTTACAAGTTTGCAAACACATCTCTAGTTTACATGCTGCTCTGTTTGCCTTCTTAACTGTTTTGTTATGCACCACATGGGCCTTTATGCTATCTGAACAAGGCCTTGTGTAGCCTGAGACCCGATTTGGCGCGCTTCGCAGTTTAATGTCGGTCAGCTCGCCCTAATATAACCCCTCTGTTCCTGCGTCAGAGTGGGCCAGTGAGGCCCAGGGGAGAGATGGAGGATTGATTTTTTGGAGGATCAATTCAGCACTGGCACTACACCGACTCTCTGGTGCATTTGCGCTGGGAGAAAAAGTTTCACTGTGGTTTGTGCGTTCCTGCTTTGCTGATGTCTCCTGAGAGGGCCACTTTTATGTTTTTGAAAACACCCAGATCGTCTCTGAAAGTTTTTCATCACTGATGTGACATCTGATTGGTTCTGCTAATTAGGGAAAGTTTGAGCTGCATCTAGATGTGTCTAGTTCATCTCGAGGGTCTTTACTTAGGCCTAGTTTTCCATAGGACTTCATCTCTGGGTTGGCTAAATATACCAGCTAGTGTTTTACGCCCCTCCCCCTGGTGATTATGCCCCTGTTTAGATCAATATATAGCCTCTGAGTGTGCATGTGTGTGTGTGTGTGTGTGTGTTTGTGTGTGTGCTTGACATGAGAGGGAACAGCAGAGAGTACTTTGTGTACAGAATAAATATTGATACTAACCAAGCAAGGGTCCAATTGATCTGTGTGTGTGTGTGTAACGGGAGCAGCAGTGCTCTCCATGCTACGTTTGACTGCACACTGGAGGTGGATGTTACTTTTTGAACTTGGTCTCCAGCAAGGTGACAGTTGCAGGAAAGACTGAAGACACTCTCCCGGCAAGGACACTCGACTGGTTTTTTTGTGGATGTGTGGGGCTGCTGATCTGACCAGAGTGCTCTCAGAGGGGGAGGATAGGTCATGAGTCAGTGGCTCTGAGGAAGAGGCCAAGGAAGAAGTACAGGGGAGACTTTGCAGGGCTAATGTGTGACAGGAAGAGCTCCAGAAGGCATGCAGGGAAGAGGGAGTCATCCTCGCGTTCAAGTGAATCAGGGTCGCGCTCGGCAGATGCTGCAGCAGCACCAGAGGTACCCATAGTCCTCCCAGATGGTAAGGAATTTGAGGTTACAGGAAAGTCAGAGTGAGAAGTTTTAGTTTATCACCTGCAACTCCTCCTATGGTTGTCATGGCAGCCCAAGCCTCTTAAATCAAACAAAAACAGAGGCTAAATGAAGACCAAGAGAATTCCTTAAAGGCAGCTGTTGATTTGGCTATTTAGCTCCCTCTACTTCTTTTCACAGCTTCCACAGCGCCTATGTTCCTTCTCTTCACAGTTCCAAGTTGTGCCAGTAATAGCTCCGTTTGTGGCTCTTTCTGCTTAAAGTAGAAGTTAAGCTACTTTCATGGGAAATGTTTTCTCCCTGGTGACCATTCTGCTTCCATTGCTCTCTGTGGAAGCAACAGTGCACTTGACATGTTTATGTGAACTTTGGTCTTTGCAGTCCTTGCTGGCTTTCTCCCATCCTATTGTTGGAGCTGCTGGTCTTTAGAGAATTTGCAGGAAATCACATTAACTAGATGAGGATTAAACTTTTGTGTAGTTTGGAGTGCATGTGTGTTAATATTTGCATGAGAAATTTGTGTGTGGGCAGTTCCCAGTTTGCAGCATTCTCATTGTATAAATGTAACGTTCTGATTCGAACATCACTTCAAGAGGTCATTAGTTTAAATATTCATATCACAGTGCTGATAAATAAATTGTTTTCACTTTTGATAGCTGACTGGCTTTATTTTAACTGTGCCCTAGGCTGTTTTGCATTGATTACCTCGACAGACAGAAATTCCACATTACCCTGAAAGGCTCAGCATGGGATATGTTTCCACTACTTTTTAATAGAGCAGACATTTTTACAGTACCTTTATTATGTTTCTAAGTAATTATCATGATTTCTGCCTTGAACTCAGTCTTACCTTTGTCTGAACTTGTTTATTAATTGTTGTCGAGTCAGTTTATTCATTACCACTTTTTGAAAACAATGAGCATTGACCAAAATGCTGTACAAATAAAAGAACAACAACAACACACAATTAAAACAAGAAAATGGTCAAACAACACAAGATCTCTGCTGATCTGTGTCAGTTAAGGAGAAGAAATTATGCTTTGCATTTGATCGCCAATAATTCTAATAATATAGCAAAAATAAATTCATATTATTGTCCTTTTTTTTTTTTTTTATTGCATTTACGACCTCCACCGTCTTGTGTCCAAGGCTAACAGTAGAAATAGCAGTACACCCTTAATCGCTGTGGCTAGTACACAGATAGTAAGGAGGAATGAGGAATGGCTGGTTATCTGCATGTTTCCACAGAGCCCTGTGATTATCCTCATAAAGATAAAAAATGAACTTCTCTGTATGACAGTATTTGTACCATAATCTGTCCACAGGTATGACTGTTGACCTGTAACTGCATGTATGCTCAGTGTTGCATGCTTATTTATGCACTGCCAAGTCATGAGCTGTTTTCAGGGAGTAGGTTTGTTTTTATAAAGACACGGTAGCTTTATGTTAAAATGCGCTTTCATCCTAAATGTATTTAATTTCCATATCGAATGTATTATTCTACAGTGATGCATTCAAGAGAATCCAAACTTAAGTCTTTTGCAGATGGCTTTCTTTGTTGTAACCCTGAAGGCCACAGTGAAACGTCAGAAAATTCTTATCATGTGCTTACACTTGTTTTCCTTATTGAAACCAACTCGGAATTACTCCGAAATAGACCACTCAGTGACCACGTTCCACATTTGCTAAATGCACAAGCTTGTTTTCAATGTGATACTTTCCAAAACTGCTCAGCTTGTGAGGGGATTGTAATTGAGCAGCAATGGAAACTATTAGGGGCTGGCTGACTATTAGATTAAATACTCAGCATTTTGCAATTATCTGTGCTGTTCTTAAAGTGTTCCCTAATAAAATAATTTCAAAAAGCAATTTTTTTTGGCTCTGATGCAGCCACCGCGCTTCATGTGAACTCATCAGTCTCTGGGCCTGAACAATGTCCCGCCCACAGCGCTATCTGATGGTTACATAAATGTATATCCAGGGTTCCATACTAATGTTTCCACTGGGTGCAAAGGTGCTGCCAACTTTCTCTGTTGGCCTTTCCATTTAGTTACAGTATTGCCTCAACAATTACTCCACCTTGCATGTTGATGCATATTGTCTTTGCATAATCTAGTTTTACATTTTTATAAGATTTGACAGTAACTTTATACTCGCAAAAATATTTGTATCTGAAATTATATACACTTCTTTTTTTTTTTTAACCAGTTTTTGCCCTGAAGTTGTTTTACGGTTGCTGCTATAAGTTGGACACAAGGTTAACCTCTCACTGGCTGAACATCTGCTTATCTATAGATGCAATTTACCAATGTTCCCTGAACGCCTCATATGCAGGCAAAGGTACACCCTGCTTGGCTGCTGCAGTGTCTCACCACAAAGTTACTGGAGCCCTGATATCACTTCCTAATATCTGTCATCGATCTCCTTTACTACAAATAAACAGTTCTGTTAAAAGTCATGTCAGTTTATCACTAGAAGCATAAGAAATGCAATTCAGAATTGCTGGTGAGATTGAGGTTTATGTTTTGAGTTGCGCACTGCCGGACATTTAAGTCAGTGTTTCTTTGGCTTTGCATTTTGGTTTGGTGACTTGCTGGAAATAGCCTATGAAGTCACAGCTCTGCACAAGGTTTTCTTGCAAGATGTGGTGCTGGGATGAAAGCAGTGGACAGAGAGAGCCCAAGATGAGATGATGACAGATTGAATGCAGACTGTCCCAGGCAGTATTTATACTCATGTACACATTGTTACATAACCTGTATCATACCACTATCTCATAAAAGTTTCCACATTTTTTTATTTTTTATTTTTGCAAGCACCAAGGTGTCATCTTCTCTGGGTGTTGGTGTTAAGGTTAGGGTGACCCACTATATAACGTTATGTTAGGTCTATGACGGTCTCTGAACATATGCCTTCTTTCTGTTTGCAGTGAAGGAGTTTCTTGCCAAAGCCAAAGAAGACTTCCTGAAGAAATGGGAGAATCCAGCACAGGTGAGACAGTAAAACATACACATATCTGTTTTAGTTTAATCATTACTGTTTCTTTTTAAAGCCACTTTATTATTATTGCCTAATGTTATCATGCTTTGGCTAAGAGATAAGCTTCTATTTTTGAATGTTGAGACACCTTGTTGCGATAATGAACTTTGCATGGGAGTTCGCTCTGATACAGTGAGAGTCATGGAAATAGTCCTGCCCCTGGACAAATGAATGCCTGTTTATTTCAGAGGGCCAGTGCACCCTCTGCTGGACTCATGTGAAATATATACTTTTGCACTGTGTATTGTATTTTGTATCATAGGTGCACCTCTTAGATACTCTCAAATGAAAGACATCACACGAAAACAACAGGAATTAATTTGTAAAGACTTGCCTTTGACATTAAGATGCCCGTTTGTTTCTCTTTTATTCAGGAAAAATAGTTAAACTAAAGCAGCGCTCGTCATGGTGGGTTGCTAGAAAAACTGTATGTACACTTCCCACTCACTGACGTCTTCTCCTCTCCCTCAGCAAACCGCGGCATTGGACCACTTTGAGCGTCTGAAGACCTTAGGCACTGGTTCATTTGGTCGAGTCATGTTGGTGAAGCACAAAGAGACAGGCCAGCATTTTGCCATGAAAATACTTGACAAACAAAAGGTACAGTACTTTTGAAGGATGACATTCAAGAGAACAAAACTTGGTAAATGAACGTGAATGTCTGACTTTCTAATGGTGATAATGTCTCTTGCAGACACTGTAATACACCAACAGTGTTTGTATGAACATTTTCCTATTTAAACATTAATGAGAGAAGAGAGAGTAGTCAATCTGCTAATAAGAACCAATCTTAGACTCTCTTCAGGATAACTTCAGAGTTCAAATGTCCCATAGTGCCAGAAAGACGTCCTGACTTTACAACATGCTGATGTTAGAAATCATTCCCGATTTAAATTCAATTCTCTATGCTGCTGGAGAAATTTGTCTTTAAATGCTACTGTGGCAGGGCTAAGTCATCAATCATTTGTATTTTTTGGCAAGCCATTTTGTCAACATATTTTGCCTGAATACACCTCCACTCTGATCCTTATAGGTAGTGAAGCTGAAGCAGATAGAACACACACTGAACGAGAAACGTATCCTGCAAGCTGTCAGCTTTCCCTTCCTGGTGCGACTGGAACACTCTTTTAAGGTATTCATCTGCAAAACGATGTTCACCTCATCTTGCTACGCATGTTTTGCATGTTAAAGTAAGACATTACTTGTGTCCCTACAGGATAACAGTAATCTGTATATGATAATGGAGTATGTGCCTGGAGGTGAAATGTTCTCACACTTAAGGAGGATCGGTAGATTCAGGTGAGTTGACTTTTAAGTTAACTCAACCTACATATTCCCATGTGCTGCTGGTTGTATGTAAATACTGACACTCGTGTTTTGCAGTGAACCACATGCCCGCTTCTACGCAGCCCAGATTGTACTGACCTTTGAATACCTTCACTCACTGGATCTCATCTACCGAGATCTGAAGCCGGAGAACCTGCTCATCGACCAGCAAGGTTACATACAGGCAAGGATTACATGTTTGTTTGTCTGCTTTTAACCGTCAACAACAGTATTACACAGAAGTGCTCTTGTAGTATGTAACCAATACTCAGAGCTGTGTTCTCTGTTCCTTAGGTAACAGATTTTGGATTTGCGAAAAGGGTGAAGGGCCGAACCTGGACGCTTTGCGGGACTCCAGAGTACCTGGCGCCAGAGATCATCCTCAGTAAGGTCAGTGTTGAGCTCAGCCCAGGATGACATGTGCTGAGGGGTGTAATATGAAGCAGGTTCTACATATCCAGGCTTTCTTTGTGCAAGCTGGCTCAACAAAACCTAAAGTCGGAGGTAATGGGTATCACAATGATGCTTATCAACTTTCTCTCTTAACCAAGTTTTCATCTTCAGACTGCGCGCGCTCACAGTAAAAGAGGCATTTAAGACCTCATGTGACTCTTCTTCCGCACAAAATGAACCAGTTTTTGTGCCCCGTATTTCAGTCAAAATGAACAGGCTGTTATAATGGAGAGCAATGAAGAGTAGAAATATTGATTACGGTAAATCGCGCTGTTACTGCAAATGTAGTCTGAGTCACTGTATGTAGGCTGCGATTAAAGCCACCGCACATTTCAGGCGACTTTGTCCCCCCCTCCGCTCTCAACCGTTTTCTTCACAACGGTAAACAGCAACAACCTCCGAGCAGCAACCGATCACGCTGAAGATCTCAAATTTTGGATCGTACAGTGAGGCAGCTGTGCTAGGTTTTTGCGGTGAATTATCTATTTTAGTCACAGTGCTTGCCTCCCTTTATGCAAATGTTCCGTTGAAGCAATTCCACCCGTCACTACTTTGTGTGAATATTGAAGCCTCGTTCTTCGCTTAGCTCTGCCCACAACAACTGTGATTGGTTTCAAGAAATACAAACAGGCCAGAGCATTTTTTTTTTTACCCCATAGTAGAGGGATGGTGTGGTGCAGCCAGACCATTATGTACGACAGCATCAGCTGGCAAAGCAACGCTACTGCAAGTGATACAAGAGAGAAATGGTGGAGAACTGTTTAACTATGTAATCATAGTGAAATAGTGTTATTGACTGAATAGTCATGGTGATAAATACTAAAAAGCTAATCGGTTTTCTAATCTGTGTTCTGAGCTGCAGTGCCAGTATGGTAGAAAGGATTTGGCATCAAATCAGCACCAAACATTTAAACTGATGCAACTGGGTGCATGTAGGTTCCTGTGGCAACACAGTGCATACAGCTTCGTTCAGTGGCACAACAGACAGAACGGATTCCCTTGGGTGAGAGTCCTCAGGAATGAAATTGGTGAAAGGGAGACGCTTCTTGCAGCCAATTATAACCTAAACTCAGAACAAAGCTGTGCAGCGCAAGTTACATTGATGATCTAGCTAGGTTGAAAGAGACACCGAAAATTTTAGGCTCTACACACTCCTAGCTAACCTACTAATCTTGCTTCTTAATACACTCATCTCATCTTTAGGCCACAGTAGCGATGTGGGACTTAGCAGATCAACGTGGGACTTCACATAGGAAACCACTGCATCGTCAGCACAAATTCGTTTGAGAACCCTCTTTATTTCCTGTGATTTTTTTTTTTTCCAGGGTTACAATAAAGCAGTGGACTGGTGGGCCCTGGGAGTACTGATATATGAGATGGCTGCTGGTTACCCTCCCTTCTTTGCTGACCAGCCCATTCAGATTTATGAAAAGATTGTATCAGGGAAGGTGAGTTTAGAGAATACTACTCGAATAACCCCTTTACACTTGATCTCAATCAAGGAATGGTTGTTTTTCAAAATATCAGTCAGCAATTTAAACACTGTTTCAAAATGCTTTTATAAAATCCAAAATTCATGCTGGTGGCAATAATTTATCAGTGATGTCACAGAACAAGCCTCTTAATTCGATGAATTGTGATGATTGTGTAAAGATTAAAACTTACAGATAATTTATTAATATGGGAATGTTTGCTTCATTACTCCATTTATCGACTACTTGGGTGTCTGATTGACTAACTTTAATTCGCTTCCCACCCTCAGAAGCACAGCATCAGCAAAATAAGAGAAACATCTAATTTTCTGTTAACTTGTCAGTTCTTTTCCCCTTTGCATTGGAATATCTTCTTCTTGGTGACATTTTGAGTCCTTCATTTTTTCCCCCTTATTAATATGATATCACATGAAATTAATCTTGTGCTTTACATGAGTCATTTTTTTGGATTTATTATAAAATATGTGGTACTCGTAGCATACGTGCTGCTGTGTTACCAGCACACAAGAATCGCTGACTTGACATTTTATTAGGTACAGCCAGTACATCACTGTCATATACTGTAAATTGTACATTCTAGCAAGTCATGTGACTGCAGTTAAAGCTCTATCATTTATGGCCATGCTCAACAATGGTGAGAAGAGCAAAAAAAACTAACAATGAGAACAAAAATCAAAGGAAAATGGACAAATGCAAACAAGTAGACAACCAGCAAATCACATCCAAGTCAAACATGAACCCATGTGTCTGGTGCTCTGTTTGTGTCCACACACATTTCAGAAGTGCTCAAATCTCATCACACAGTTTTCTGTAGTTAGATGCGTAAAGTACAGGAAGGAAGACTTGGGATTGTTCAAGCATATACACTGTAAAGAAAAATATCCCATTAAAAAAAAAAAAAAACTGAAAATCTGTCAGCCAGGGTAGCAGAAAAACATGTTAAACAGTGAAATACTATACTTTTTTTTTTTAAAAAGAAAGAAAAACTGTGAAAATAACAGCAAATATGTGTAAAATAATGATGTCTTTAGCAGGTATGAATACTGTAAAACTGTAATTTAACAGTCGCATATTGTGAGTTACGGGCTTCAAGGTGGCTCAGTGGTTAGCACCGTTGCCTCGCAGCAAGAAGGTCACTGTTTCGCGTCCCGGTGAGGACACCTGGGATCTTTCTGCGTGGAGTTTGCATGTTCTCCCTGTGCAGCGTGGGTTCTCTCCAGGTTCTCCGGCTTCCTCCCACAAAGTCCAAAAACATGTTGAGGTTAATTGGTGATTCTAAATTGTCCGTAGGTGTGAATGTGAGTGTGCTTGGTTGTCTGTCTCTAAGTGTAGCCCTGTGATAGACTGGTGACCTGTCCAGGGTGTCCTCTGCCTTCGCCCTAAGTCAGCTGGGATAGACTCCAGCCCCCCACGACCCCAGTGAGGACTAAGTGGTGTATAGATAATGGATGGATGATCTATAATTTAACAAACAGGGAAAACATGTAATGCAACAATCAAACATTTTACCATTTTTAAATCCTTGATTTGGATATTTTTCTTTCAAATAATGACAAATATCTCTAAAATTACTATTAGATACAGTACTGTGTAAAAGAACAAATTCCTATTTGTGAAAATCCACATTTTAACATGTAAATTAATACTTTTTTCTGTGATTTTGAACGTTGTTGTCCACAGTTGAACAAATCTGTTCAGAAATGTTCCAGGTAGAAACTTAACAAAGAAGAAATTGTTTTCATTTCACAGTGTAGTTCAAATAAAAAGCGAGGAACATATTAGTATTCCATCATATATGTTGTGTGTGGACATGTCGTTCGTGGTCATTTTCAGCGTCACCACTCCCAGCACTGAGGCCTTACACTCATCTACAGCTGCAGACCACAGTCCTGCAGGCTTTCTCCAAACAACAGCATAAAATACAAAAACACTGTGCCTGAGAACACACACTAACATTTCTTTTACTGTTTCCAGGTTCGCTTTCCATCCCACTTCAGCTCAGACCTGAAGGATCTGTTGAGAAATTTGCTGCAGGTGGACCTCACCAAGCGATTTGGCAACCTCAGGAATGGAGTCAATGATATCAAGGGCCACAAGTGGTTTGCCACCACTGACTGGATTGCCATCTACCAGAGGAAGGTTAGCGGCCAGCCACCATGCAGTAGTAATGTTCACAAATAGAGCCTCCGTCCACTTTTGTATCATGAGGGTAGAAGGAAAAGAATTCTGACAAAGGAACAGGTTTTATTTTGATTATTTTTGCCTTTATTGGATATTTGAAAGTGAGGAAGTAGAGAGGAAATCTGGGCTGTAGAAAGGAGGTTACATGCAACACAGGTCTTTGGCTAGGATTGAGAGAGCCCCAAGGAAGGTGGTTTTAATGAGACTTTGGTCAGCGGAGGTGTCTTTACTCTACATCTGTGGCTACGGGTAATTTCACACCATCTGTTCTTCTTCTGCACAGTGGATACTGCGTGGAGGCTAATGAAAAAATGTCTGAAACATGCAAAACATGTGTTTCCCTGCAGTTTTTTTCTTAAAATAGCAGCTAGTTGATTCAGACAGATTATAGCAGTGCTGCAACATGACTTTGAAATCCTAAAGCAGACCAGGAGATGTAATGAGTCCTTCATTTGACATTGGAATACGAATGCAAACACAATCCCATTTTTGTAAACTCAGTTATAAAGTCACCTACAGTTGTCGAAAGATTTCAAATAAATAGTGGATTTTTTTTTAAAAAGCACGTTGCAATGACCCTATTCTCATCTCATCAAGGAAGGCTGTGAAAATTGCTACTCAGACGGTGACACTCGTGTAACAAACGGTGACAGTTAAAGGTTAATTAAACTACAGACTATGAAAACAGCACATAGAGGGAATACTGTACCAACACCGTAAGAGCGAGATCATTCATTTTGTCCCGATCTATGTCAAAAAGCGAAGCTCCTACTCTCGAGCTTTTACTTGAAGTATCAGCATTACTGTCTGCGCGAATACGTGATGCAAATGAATGCAGCAAGTTCATATTTGTTTCTCGCAGTTGATGAAATTCATTCAGAGAAACCTGGGTAATCACCAGCTGAATTTCAAATAGATGAGCTGGCTTCAGGGAAAGCAAATGACCACACACGATCGCACAGCTAGTCCTGCAATGTGACGACAGACAGATGAGTCTTACAAGTATTCAAGCAGGATTTCTTGATTGTTGAATGCGTTTTATTCCCTTCTTAATCTGTTAACATGTACGTCTGTGTCCTCGGACTTACTCCATTGTCATCCTGTAGTTTATGTCCTTGGTGCTCTCTGTTAGACCCCACTGCATCACTCTGATGATTTTTACTGTCCCGTGTGTTCCAGGTGGAAGCTCCCTTTATTCCGAAGTGCAAAGGCCCCGGTGACACGAGCAACTTTGACGACTACGAGGAAGAGGAAATCCGAGTCTCCTTCACAGAGAAGTGTGCAAAGGAGTTTGCCGAGTTCTAGATTCCAACCACGAGTAGCGGACGCACACGCAAGACAGAGAGAGAGAGAGAGAAAGAGAGAGAGAGAGAGACAGGGATTTAGAAAGTAAAAGGGGGTCTGAACACAGGAAGCACTAGGGTGGACTGATAACTTGCTTATTTGTGATGAGTTTTACAATGTAAAATCCCCCCAATGGAAAGGTAGGCAAAGTGAAGACAGATCTAACAGAACCAGCAGTGTTGCCTTTCTGATTGTTTCTCAACTGTTACCTATTCATTTTATTTATCCCTCTTGTGTTCGTGGCAGGGGCTCGACGAGAACAGGCACCGATTGTGACTGTTCAGCTAGACTTGTATCTTTCTGATGGTGTGATGACAGTCTTTGCAGGTTGAGGCATTGGTTTTCTGTTAAGGTACTGAATCTGCTAGGCTCCTTTTTGGGTTTTTTTTTTTTTAATTTTTTTTTGGAATGGGCCCCTCTCTACAAGTTTCTCTAAGAGTGATTGTTGTATCTTGTCACCCCGGTTCCCCCCCCTCCTCCCCCCACCTTCCTCCCCCTTCTCCATCTCTCCATCCTGAATCTGTCCAAGCAATACCAAGTCCAACAGATGTGCCTATCATAATGCCAACTGGTTGGAAAACTGTGTTGAAAGAATTGGTGCAGAGTTTCGGCTGTGGCGGCATCAGCCCTCGTGCCCGTTTGATTGAAAGCTTGAAAACTCTCTGCACCTGCCTTTGTCTGCTCAATGTGGCATGATTATTGGGTAGATGATGCACTCTACTGCTTGCACTTGAAGCAGTGGTGACCTCTTTGATCAGAGTGGAAATGATTTATCACAGTAAACTTCGTCTAGGTCTTACTCCTTCGGGGGACCTGCGAGAAGTAAACATGAGGTCTGAATTTAAGTCTGTCTTTCTCTTAGCTGAATTTATTAGAGCATTTTAAAAAAAAAATCCTATTGGTGATCATTTTGTCCTTTTTATGTCAAATCTCTGTGCTTGTGTGTTATTTAGTGCTCAAGGGTGGGTTTAAAAAGCTGTGATTTAGCAGCAGCTAACATTGTGGTCACACTCCTGACTATTGTTTATTTAATTCATAGAACATTTATACATGTATATTGATATATGATAGAGAACATGAAATATCCATCTTTTTCAAAAAAAAAAAAAAATGTCTCATAGCTGTGAAACTGAATTAAGATTTCATAAATAAACGAATATATGAATTCTGCCAAATTTGCAAACTGAGAACACTGCAGTTTTCTGTATGTAACTATGACGGTGGTGGATTTTAATACGCAAAACAGTAGCAAAACGTTTCGACAACATGTGCATGTTATTTTTGTACAATATCACTTTTAAAGAAAGACGGCAGAGCATTGTGCTTGATTTGTGCTGAGGTACCTGAGATCGTGGATAACATGTTTAATATTAAAAATGGACACTCAAAGCTCTGTTGACGATGGAACACGACCCAGCCACGTGTGTGTGTGTCTGGGCTCAGTTCATTATTCAGCTGTAGGGCAACAGTTTGCAGATAATTGTCACTGAACTTGTGCTTCTCACCTTGACAACTGTTTTCTTTTTTTCCCCCCTTTTCTCTTTCTCTTGTATGTTCCTTACATGTAACACCTTCACATAGATTTGCAGTCCGACCTAATTTTTTATTTTTTTTTGGGGGGGGGGGACTGTTGGGATTGAAGTGTTTTGTTTCCATTTTCCAGCTTTCTATGTAACAAATTAAACTTAAGGAAGCTATCCTAAAGCTGTCCCCTTTTGCCAAGTTTATTTCTGTGGATGCAAGACAATCGCAGACCAAATCTTATTGCTGGTTTGTTGACTGAACACATTGTTTTGTTTTTTTTTTGTTGGTTTCATGAAGGATTTTACACTTTCGCTCAGCCAGCCCCTCCATAAGCCCTATAGGTGCTAGACTTTGTCCATCTCACTGAAAAGCTTCTGTGAATTGTTTGATGTGCTTCAATCTATTTGTCATAAAGTCTTGTAAACATGACATTTTTAGAATGTTCTTTGGCTAAATGATTTCAGTAGGCTCCAGTACTTCTTTTTGGCAGTGTCTTAATGTAATTGAGATCAAACGCAGGATACCTTTTTGAATGTCTTGAACTGTCTGATGGAGATGTTTCAGTGCTGTTTGGAAACATGATGTGTGTATTTTTGTTTTTGTTTGTTTTTTTTAAACAATACACCTTTCTTTGGTGAGCTTGGTTTTTCTTGCATGTGGTAAAGCAGCCCGATAGCAAGACTCCTCCTCCCCCCTCCACACCCACAACCACCACCACCCGGACCTGTTTGAGAAATCATTGTTTCCGCAGCTAACGGTCTTGTTGCTGATTAACCTTTGATTTGTTCGAGCATCACACTAAACAGTGCAGTGGATCACCAACCAACTTGTCCAGTCTTTTTAAAAAATAGTGAAGCACACGCCATACCTTTTCAATATGAATTCATTTGTGCTAATTCTTTGAAACCTTCAAGACACAATGTAACGCTTGGAAGAGAGCACATGTAATATCTTTTTCGCCTTTATGTCCTGACAAATGACTAAATCAGAGTTGGTGGGTAGAAGGCGATGCCACTTGATCCACTTCAGACACTGAAGCCATCACAGTGCTTGTTTTTTTGTTGTTGTTGTTGTTGTTTCTTTGTTTCCCCATACACAAAACTTCTTGTCAGTTGTCTTGAATTCTTTTTTTTCTATCAGCTGAACACTATCAACTGCTCTGTGCTACTTTCAGTTTTTCTCCTGTTTGCCTTCTATCTTCATCAGGTCTCCACACACTCTTTATTCAGACATAACACTTTTTACATCTGAGATGTTTTGCGTTCATATTTTCTAATTGTATTTTCAAAAAAAAAAAAGGACGAAAAAAAGAAAAAAAAAAAGCAAAAACAGAACATTAATCTTTTTTCCTCATGACCTGGGTACAGTGATTGTGTAGTCTATTGTACCTTTTGGGAAACAATACTGTATATCCTTGCCTTTGACAGTCTTAACTATCTTACCCTCTGGAGAACTTGACAGATACCCTTAGAACACAATGAGTATGTTAAAAAAAATATATACATAAAGTAATATTTTGCAAAATGTATCATTCCAATAAAGTTTTACTTGTTAAGACTAACATGTCTGGGTTATATGTAAGCTCTCTTTTCACCTTGTGCAATGTGACAGAATTTGTTTAGTTAAAATTTAAGAAAAAAAATAAAAGTTTCCTGTAACAAATTTAAAGATATTTGCAGCTTCGGGCTGGTGGCGGCTGGATAAGAGGAACATGCGTGTTGGTAGGTGGTGATGCTGGAGTTTCACTGTCCTGTCTGGTTTCAGTGACTGTTTCAGGAGTCTGCCGGGCGTAATGGAATAATGCAGTGTTCAACCTGTCACAGAACGGGATCAGCTACCAGCCAGGAGACAAAAGTTTGGTTCATTTTTAAAGCGAGAGCGAATAAATGTAACCCCTCCAGCAAACACACATCAGAGAATAGATACACTACTTGCAGTTAATTGTGGCATATATTCCAAAAGCTTGCACCTCTTCTGCCTTTTTTTCACCCTTGATGTGACTGCGAGAGATTTTCATCCAACATTTGCTGATGTGTGAAACCCATCCCTCCCTCTATCCAGTGTTTCCTGAGCCACTAGCTGTAACACAACACCAGTCACAATATTTCCACCTCTGAGGGTGTTCTTTTGATCAAATGCAAATCTTTCTTTCCCTCTCCAATTAAGCAATACAGTCAGTTTTTGTGAGCAAAAAGCTCAACTGTTGTTTTCCAAATGAGTGTGATTCTTCTCGACGTTGCTTTGCATACTTAGAGTTGTGATTATAATGAGGTTGAAGGTAAGGTTTTGGTGTGATGATTGTTGCATGTAAATCTGCTTCAAGCTTTTGGAACGGCCCTCAGTTTCCCCTGACGGCGCTAAAAACCTGTAAGTATCTTACACAAAGATCACAACGTGTTGAACAGAACAGCCCTAAAGTATCTCAGCTTGAAGGGATCTGCAACAAAAGAGTGACAATAAAGACTCTCAACTGGAAAAAAAAGAACAGGACTAGAGTGAAATGTGACCTGTGTACATGAAGAGAATCATCATCATCACCCTGTTTGCTGTAGGGGTTGTATTTTCATTTCTAAAATCAACAATATAATTGCTCAAACTTTTGTACATATGAAAGTAAAGAAAACTCATAAGAATATATGAATTCGAGAATGGAAACTGATTAAAGAATGAAGTGATAATTGGCCAATGAGACACATTGACAGAGCTACAAATGACTAAATCAATCCAAGGAAGATGCAATAAAATGTAGATTAAGACAAAAGCTTCATTATATTTCACAAACTATACTTTTGAGTGTCATTAACCACATCAGAGAACAAGATTTACAGCCTTCAGAGTAACTGTGGGGTGTCAGTCCAACCATTAAACGACAGGTCGGTTTAGTACGGAGCCTTTTCTGATTTAGGTGCTATGACATTTTTTGGTAATTGGGAAAAGTTTAAAAATAAACTTTTTTTATTGGGTCCAGTTTAATGCTCTGTTATTGTTGCAATTATTATGTATACTGATTTATTGTCGTGCCGTCTTTATTAAAAGCCGAACTGATTTATCGCCTCCTTCATTAATTCTTTCATAATTTGATGGTGTAATGAAGAAAACGCACACACAGCACAAGTCTTTATCTGCTTCTTTAATTTGATCTTGTGGAAGTTAAGTGGGATAATGGGCCACGTAGGAACTATAACTGCACCTACTTCATTAAATGTTTGTTTGCTTAATATTTAATAGGGAAAATGTACATGAATGAACATCAGTATACAAATAGAATACAGCTTTCTCACAGCCCTAGTGCCTCGGCAGGTAAGATGGAGGAGAAACTGTTTTACTGATAAACAATTGAATTTTTTGAAAAACCATGTCAGGTACACAAGATTTATGCTGAAGTGAACAAATGTGGAGGCTAACTAAATCATACCAGACAATGGGTTTGTTACTATAAAACTAAATGTAACATTTGCAGCATAAGATGACCTGTATCCTCAAATTCTGACACTGAGTTAACTTTAACCGCACCATGGACGTTCAAAAACACATACAGAAATTATTTTGGATTTTTCTTTTTAAATAGTGTCGTTGTTGCCATTCAATTTACAGCTTTGACAAAAGTTATATCTTTACTTTGTTATAACTGATATTTGAATTCATGACAGGAAAATAATGTCAAATGAGAGGGGATGTTTAGCCGACAGCGGCAAAGAATTCAAGCTAGCTTGCTAGCTAGCTCGCTAGCGCTACAGTGAGCTAATGTAGCAGAACGTTTAGTTTAACAGTTTAGCAGCTAGATAGCTAGCTTGCTAGCTCGCGCTATAGCAAGCAAATGTAGCAGAACATTGCTAGCTTAACAGTTTAGCAGCTAGTTAGCCTTTCAGACAGATAGGTTGTTATTGTGCCATTGTTTTCTGTAATAGTTTAGATAATTGACCAGAATTCTAGCGTTAGTAAGGCTAGAGTTGTGAAAATAAAGTCCTCCTTCATTTTCACATATTACAGAAGAAGTTCTTGTTATTATTTGTTCAAAATATGGTGGAAGACATCTTAGCTTTGGTTACCCTGCAGGCTAACAGGTTTTTTTTGTCTATCTATTTATACATTTAATCTAATTCATCTTTTAGTACACCAGTTTTCTACCACTGTCTTATTTTTCAAATCATTAAAAGCTATTCTTCCTCTGGTTTCCTGTGTGTATGTTTTTGTTTTTTATTTTATTTTATTTTTATTTTTCGCTTGTTTGTTTTTTCTTTTTTTCCCCCATTTGTATGAAACAAAGAAAAAAAGTTCTCCACAAATGAAGACTGACTGAAAAACAAAAGCAAACAAATTGCTTGTTTTTTCTTTTAAAGAAAGAAAAAAAAGCTGATATGTCTTATGTAACACGCCGAGCTCAAAGTGAAAAATATTTGTTGGCATTTTTGCTCTTTTCTAACCCTTTAAAGCAAAACGCCGCCTTTTGCACCCGCAGGAGGAAACACGGGACCCACTGTTGGCGCTCGTTTCCGTCCAGGACTGCAGATTCCACCTTAAAACCCCTCTGGAGTGAAACTTTTGGCGCTAACTCCGTCGGTCCACCTTAAGCGCACACGCAAACGCAGGAGGCGTTCAGCGAGGTTTCCGCTTCTCAGCAGAGCTCGGACCGCGGCTCCCGAAAATCACCGTGAGGAACGTCTGAGGTTGACGCACCGAGGGTACGAAGAAAGGCAAAAAGAAAAAAAAAGAAAACAACAAGCGAGGCAACCGAGCAGCAAAAAAAAAATAAAAAAAAAAATGTCTGAATCCAAGTACCGCGAGTGGATCCTGGACACTATCGACTCGCTGCGGTCTCGAAAAGCCCGGCCGGACTTGGAGAGGATTTGCCGAATGGTCCGGAGACGACACGGGTCCGAGCCCGACCGAACCTGCGCAGAACTGGAGAAACTGATTCAGGAGCAAACCGTGCTGAAAGTTAACTACAAGGGCTCTATCTCGTACCGAAACGCCGCCAAGGTTCAGCGGAGGAGCAGAAAAAAGGACGATGTGTCGTTAACGACGGCTGCGAGAAGGAGCGCGGTGGAAGAAGCCAGTCATTCCGACTTGAGCAACGGGGACAGCGCTTTCGGTGCCGTTGACCAGGACGAGGAGGATTTGGAGGTACGTGGAGGCTGAACGGGCACGTTTAACGAGCTCACGTGTCGTTGTCACATCACATCATGGTAAATTAACAGGTGGAGGTGAGGAAAAAAAATAACGAGCCGGTAATAAGCGTGGTTGTTTTTTTTTTTTTTTTTTTTTTTTTTTTGGGAGTGGTGAGGGGAGTGATTTTGCAAGTGCACCCGAAACTGCCGCAGACGGGGAGCGGCGTTTGGACCTCGCTCGAGCGCTGCCGAGGTGGAGGAGAAAAAAAAAAAAAAAACAACAGAAGGTGCGCGTGTAGTCAGAGTGTGTTGTGTTCTACGTTGCGCCGCTTGTGAAGCACTTTAAACGGACGATGCGGACGGACAAAAGCGAAGACGTGAAAAGTTGCACCGTCCTGTCCGTCCGCAACAACCCGAGCCTCCATTATCGGCAGCAGAAAGCGCTTTTCAAGCCCCAAACTCGGCGTTGAGCGAAAGGGGAGGAGGGGCCGTCAAGTTAACAGAAAAGAAGTAGTGCTAGCCCGGAAGTTGAGTGGTGAGGCTTTCAAAATAAGAGCGTCGAAAGCTTCACTCACCAGTGACTGCTTTAATAATAAGTTACATTAATCATGTTTATTTGTTTGTAGTTGTCCATTTCAAAATACTAGTTACAAAGTGATTCACAATGCAGCAAAATAAAACAAACGAGTCAGAAAATTATTAAATAAAAACACATGGTGTATAAAAACCAACACGGTTACAAGAAAGTTAGAAATATGATGATTCAAAGGAATCTATAGAAGAAAGTCAGGAAGGGCTCTGTGATAGAAGCCTGTTTTGATATGAATAGATGTAATATTAACTTGTATAAGACTTTTTGAAAACAGTGATGCAAAGTGCTTTACAACGTTGCAAATTAGACAAATCATGAAAACAAATTCAAACAAATAAATACGATCCTAAGCATACAATATAACAAGATAAAATAGTTAAATCAAGTCATATTTAGAACATAGCATATTTAAGGCAACAGCCATTGCGTAACGGCACCCTCCAGTAAAAAGGATTATGATTGGTGGCACGCTAAAGTGTAAATATTGGGGTCAAGACCCTCCAGCGTTATTTCTGGTGTGATTTTATCAAAGTAATTTACATATTTGGGATTAAAATCCTACAAAAACAGTGTGAAATACTACTTTATGTAAAAATAATACTTACGAAGGCTGAGACCCTCCAGTGTTATTAATTATGGTGACTAATCTAATTGGTAATATAGCTAAGACCCTTCGATATCAGATGTTATAGAGTTTAACCAAAGTAACATAAAAACAGATATTTGTTGGAGATCACAGCTGACCTGGTTTCCTCAGGCACATTGTTTCATAGCCTTGGGGCCCCTGACTGCAAATGTTGGCCCCCTGGAACAAACAAAAGACCTCTGCCCCAGGATCTCACAGTGCTTCAGTATAACTTGGCCATTAAAGGACTTAAAAGTAATCAGTAAAATCTAATCCTAAACATACTGGGAGGCGACAACAGGAGTGATGTGTTCTTGTGTCTTCGATCTGGATAAAAGTGTGTAAAATTGTCCCTAAAAGTAAATGTTTTTGAAAACCTTATAAGATGATAAAACAGAATTGTGTAGGCTTTGTCATGTGCTGCTTTAAAGTTATTACTATAAAGTTATTCACGACAGAGATTTGACATGATTTCAAAGAGCTGATATGCCGCGAGCCAATAACGAGCATCTTCTGTTTTATCTTGAAAGCCAGGGCAGGAAACGTGTTTCCTCGTTATCGCTGACTTGTCGATGTGGGAGTGGGTGAAGGAAAAAAAAGTCTTAAACACCGCGGATGTAGGAGCCTGATGGGGGACGATGGGACATTGTTGGGTTGTTGTGTTTGTATCGCTGAAAAAACGAGAACAGGCGTCTCAGGCGGTGCCACGACAAGCCATGTCCACACATGCGTTTTTGTCTGCACATGACGACATTTCACCCGTTACGTCTAGACTTCAAAATATGCCCATCACTATGTGTTGTCCCCTAAAACAGCCACCAAATCGATGGTCAACGCTGATAAAGTACTTCTATTAAATCTATAATCAGTTCACGGGTGCAAACTGCGTCTATTTTTCGAGCGATGGGCGATTACCGACGCAGTGCATAAAGTGGAACCCCTAGATCCATTATCGGACACGCTGCCAACCTCGGTCACGTCCGACGCTCGGCTGCTGTTTCGGCCCCGCTCGTCCCGCATCTCCTCTCTTGTGTCCGTCAACTATTTGTTGACAGCATTTCGGGACGAGCCGCGGCACTGCAAAGTAATGAAATATGCAGGAGCCGGTAACACTGGAAGACCTGAACTAAAGCGACCGCAAACTGTTCGCCCGGCGCTAGATGGCGGATGCGCCTGTCCGATTTGGGTTAAGCTGAGATCAAATTGACTTTGTTCTCTGAAAGGCGTGTGTCGCTGCAAAAAAAAAAAAAAAAAATGCACACGCGTAATTACTTTGAATGGACGCATCTCGGAGGGGGGGTCGTTGTGCAGCTTTTTAAAACCACAATACGAGGGTCAAGCGGAGACAGTGACGTGTCCGACTGGTTTGCGTTCTGCTCAGTCGCTTTTACTGTAAATCGTTGACCCGATGCAAAGTCAAAGTAGGCTGGCAGCCGAGGCGACTGGTGCTCAGCGAGCTCCGAGTGCCGCCTCGGTCTGCCCCGTCGACTTAAAGCTCGGGTTTTGTCTTCGGGTTTGTGCTGCGCCGCGGCTCGGCCCTTTAGGAAGCGCTCGGTTAAAGAGCACAGACACAATGGCGAGAACTCCATGCGCACTTTAGAGGAAATTTGAGGAAAAACCTAAAAAAAAAAGAAAAAGAAAAAAAAAACCCGCCTCCCATCGGCCCCCCCTCCTTTTTTTTTGGTGCTCTCGTGTGTTAAAAGCACCCGTGAAGGAGGCCTCTGAACACCGAGTGGTTTGAGACGCACCGAGCACATCGCCGGTGTTTGTGAGCGGAGGTGATGTTGGGTAGAGACGGTGTGTTTGTGACCGTGTTCTCGGTGAAAGTTATGAGAAACGCAGCGCGATGCGTGAACGCCGTCCACAGGAGCGGGGCGGGCTTTAGTGCGCTCTGGTGCTCCGCTGCTGGGTCTTGGACACGCAGTCGCACACAAGGTAATTTTTCACTCGGGGCGCCGTCGACAAAACCCTCCTCCCCCTCTCCCTCGCTCTCCCTCTCTCCTCCAACGAGTGCGTATGTCACAACTAGTTCCACACAATAAGACAACACTGTATTCACACGTTTAATTGCATGGAGACGCGCCGCTGATGGCAGGGCTCGCTGTCTGTCTGCGGAGCAACGCTGCACCGCGCAGAGGGACGGAGGCATTCAAAGGCAATAATTTACCACCACAGCGGTCAAATTGCGACATCTGTATGAGCGTGTTTTCATGTGACACCCTTTAGCCTGCAATTAGTCCCACTTGGTCATGACAACAACCCCTCTGCAGCCCTGCAGACTTCACCAGTAAGTTGTTGTCAAGAAAATAACTCAATTGTTTCACTGAATTAAATGTGTCTCCACTAATCCAAAAAAAGATTTGTTTTTACAAAACACATAATCGGTGCAATGTGTGTGTGTGTGTGTGTCTTGCAGGCTGACACCTCCATGGCTATGGACACAGACAGCAATGCTGATGAGGAGGGGGCAGATGAGAGCCGTGACGGCCAGGACAGACCCTCTCCCGGTCGCACGCACGAAGACGCTGCCGTGCGTTGCGCCCCCGTGCGAGCAGCCTCTGCCCCCTGCTCCCCCTCTGGCGCTCGGCCTGGCCCCGGCACCGGTCCCGGCCCCGGCTGCAGCCCTGGCTCGGGTCTGGACTGTGCCTCTCTCCAGAAGGCTGGTGAGAGGCCCAACTCCTTACCCTCCTCCAGCCCCAGGGCCCTCGCACACAATGACTGGGCTTATGATCCTGCTCACTGCCCAGCAGAGCGCCAGCACCCAGGAATGCAGCGAGACAAAGGTATTCACACTGCCAGACGCAGGGTAATGTGTGCACCCGGCATTACAGAGCACTCTAATATTGTTTTATGTGCACGCTTATGCTTAGCCTTGCATTAGATATGAAGTCAGGATTGGAGCTTTTAACCACCTAGGTGATTAATTGTTGGGTATTGACAGTATAAATGTCCTAATGTAGGCTAAATACAGAGTTGCCGGTGAAAATCATACATTTGCATGGCTTAGCGATGTCTTCTGCACTCATGCATTGGCTTGTTTGCACCAGTTATTCAGGTTTAATGAGCAGCATTAAAAACACTTTCAGCAGCATCACTTTGTTAAACAAATCCTTTCGGTGAATTTAGTCTGTTTAGCACTGGCAGGAATAGAGTCCATCGTATGATCTCAGTGTGTAATTGCTTCATTCTGTGTCAGCAGTAGCCACAAAGCCAGCAGTCCACTCTGAAACTAGCAGCCCCTGTGTTTTAAACAACGTAAAGAAAGAAGATGGAGGCAAGGTGGAGGACAGCAGCCTCCAGTCCGACCAGCTGGTACCAGACTATGCAGCACGACTGGTAATTGGCCTGTATTCCTGTTGCGACAAACAACATCTGTATGTCTCCCGCTTCTTTGATCTCGCTGCTTCCTACCTGACATGTCATGTTGAATTTGTTTTGTTCTTCTTTTGTTTGGCCAACAGGATGAGACCAAGAATGTATCTGATGGAAGATCACAAACACTGTCCTCCCCATCTGACAACTGTGAGTTACTTAGTTTGCCTTTTTATGTTTTTCATACCTGCTGTGTAGCTTCCATCTGTTTTGCAGAGAACAGATTGATTATTGGACTGCTCCCTTATTTTGAGAAAGGGTTGTAATAACACGCACGCATGTTATTGGAATTTACTAGTGGCAGCTTATGTTTAAAAACCCATCCTGGTTGTTATTTGGCCCTACTTACCGGTGCTTGCCTTGAGGGGTTATTGAAGATTTTTTGAATGCTTCACAAGCCTGTCCTGCTACCTTTCATCCAGGTGCTGCCTGTTTTAACTGTTAGAAGTCGTTGCTCAGTCCTGTCCTTGAAGAATACTGCGCTGATCATTCCACTTGCTTGTAGAGATTGTATTCTACAGACATGACCACTATAATAACAGAAGTGTTCAAGTGTTTCAGAAGGTTGTCAGTCTCAAATGATGTTTGGTAGAAATCATTTCAGCCTACAGATCGCTTATAGTTGTTCTGAAAAGGTCTTGTTCTTGTTTTGTAGTATGAATGTGTTTGCAGATAAACACAGCAACCGTCATTTTACAGATTTTGGTTTGGAAGTGATGAACAGTGTCAAGGCTCACGGTCACCTTTGTGACATTGAAAACTCTGGCCTTAGGCTCAGACCAGCCCTCTGTATGAACCTCCATCCAGAATGTGACTGTCTTTTTATCAGGCTACATCACCATTTTAGCTCATGCTGCAGCTAACCTGCTCAGGAGGAGGTTATGTGCAGAGTTTGGGGCTTGAAGTGGCTGTAAGACACACTGCTAGTTCTTTACCTTGTGATGTTCTCTATGAGCGATACATTATATCTGCAAACCTGTTGAATCATATGTTGCTCGTGCCATTGATAGAAGCCTTGAAGTTACAGTAGACAAACTGTTTACATCATGCTGCCACGAGAACCTACACGCATTTGGTTGGTGATGCAGAAAATGCATAAATCTCTTTTATGCTCAATTTGTTGCCAAGTCTCTTTTACACTGCTAGTACTGCAGCTAATAGAACACAGATTAGAACGTTGATTGGTGTATTGGTGTTTCTCACACAGAATATTTAATCAACAACATTAACTTCACTTGGAGTCGCCAAAAAGTAAAGTGAATCCAACGCATTCTTTATTATGGGATGTCGTCACACTTAAATACACTTCTAGACTAACATGTTTAAGGGATGAAGTTAAACAGCTCTAATGTGCAGCTGTCGCTTTACAACTAAGCAGCTGTGTTGAGAGTGCACTTAGTAGTAAAACAAATACATTAACTTATAAAATAAACAATTTTCTACCAGCATTAATGTCTTGCAACATTTGCAGTTACAGCTATTTTTACAGAAATATTATATTATATTATATTATATTATATTATATTATATTATATATTTCATAGCTCTTTACTATAAAAACTGTTCCTCTTGACTGAAGACAGTGACATACAATCACTCATTTGTGCAAAAGCAGAGTCACAAAAACTGGTTAACAAAGGAAATTGATAAGCACCGTCATGGTACTGCTATTATCTCAGATTGGGGTTTAGGTTTTGTTAAACCAGCTTACACAAGGAAAGCCTGGATATGTTAAATGTGCTTCATAGTACCCTGCTCTGGTATTTAATGTATACCAATAACCAGTATTTGTTGTGTTTGTCGTGTAAAACCTACAAGTAAAAACATAGCGAGTAGTTAGTTTTTAACGTAACATATGTGGTTATAAAATATCCCTCCTTGATGAGACATGGCTGAAAGATCGCCTGCAAATGACAAACATGGTATAACAGAAACAACACTAAAGTATGTTTACCTCTGCATCTACCACGCCACCTTATACAGCACTTGTGCTGGGTCTGGGTGGAGTTGGAACAGGAGGAGCTGTATTTATTGAAAATTGGGGCTTGGGTCCCTGTCATGTGTCACACGCATGACAACAGTCCTGCCGGTATCCCGTTAAAGTGGGCTGGTGGAAAGTGAGGCTGTATCAACACTGAGCCCTCCCTGTACTGAACCATGAACCAACTCTAATAGAAAAACATACTGTACCGTGACAGTCAGTGCAGAATACTAGAGCTGTGGATAAAGCATCTTTTTCATTTATTTTGAACTCTGCTGCTGTTGGTTCAACATCACACCACTAAATATCAGTGGTGTGAGGCTGCACAGTCAAAACTCCAGCAAAAGTCACTACTGTTAAGTCAATTTTTATTGAATTTCGTTTTACACATTGATGCAGAAATAGGACAAAAGTTAGAACCATGACTGGCTCCTGTGGTGAGTCATAAGAACTGAGCTCCCTTTAAAGTTCCCCCTTCAAGTTTTGATTCATACCAGAGTTGCAATACTCAGGTCAGATTATATGAATTGTTTTAAGCCAAAGGTTTGTGGAGCCACACAGCAGCTATTTATTGCATGTTGCTGTTGATTTAAGAAGAAGTATGACGCATGCATGATTTTGATTCTGGGACAATGTTCAAGTTTTGTTCTCATTTTATAGAAGAAGGAAAAATAATGAAATGTTTTGCCTTTATGTTGTCAAACCATCACAAAGCAGTGAACTGGAGCACATTTATTATAGTGTCACTTCCCATTTGTCTGCAGGCACATTTAAGAAGATAGACATATCATCCTTCACGGTAACTGAAGACACTCTTCTGAATGGTGGAAAAGGTGATGAAGTGTAAGTATCCTGCTGGTGAACAGACCATTACATTCACCACTAGAAAGGCATTTGGGTGAATTGTTTTTGTCCCTCTACACAAAAGTTTGATAGACCTTTATCAACCTTTATCTGTCAGTTCCTCTCTTAGATTATAGTACATCTACATATTTCAGATCTACAGGGATGAACTGAGACATAGAAGTCGTGGAGTTTGATCTGGAGTTCATGTCAGCTGCCTGCTGTTTGTCATATTGGATGTACAGCATGCAATGAAAGCAGCTCTTAATAATACACAAGGTTAAAAGCACAACAGTAGTAATAATAAACTGGAAAAACCAAATGTTTTCGAATGCAGATGGCAGGATCTGAGCATTTAAGCATAATTGACTCCAACTGCCAGCCAGTTAATCAGCCTGCCTCCATTCAGCGGGTCAGCTGGCCCTTTGGTTTACCTGCCGTTCTGGACTCTGGCCCAATGTCCAGATTATCAGTTCACCTCTGTACTTTAAATAATGAGAGTGAACTACACAGTAGGAAAAGTAAAAGCTTGAAAATACATCAAAGTGAGACATCACCTGCTGAAGAGAAGCCAGTCTGGGGTCGTGACTCTTTATTTCGTCTGATCTTCCTCCAGCTCGGTGAAGAAGGAGACGATGAGCCAGAACCTGTTGCAGTGGACTGTGGCAGATGTGGCCAGTTACTTCTCAGCTGCAGGATTTCCAGAGCAGGCTGTGGCATTCAGAACGCAGGTTAGTTACTGCCACATGCACCTCATAAGCCAGACAATGCATTTTTTTTGAGACAGTATACTTACAACCTGCTTTACAAAATACCTCTTCTCTCTTCAACAGGAAATTGATGGGAAGTCCCTTCTCCTAATGCAGCGAAGTGACGTCTTGACCGGTTTGTCAATCCGACTCGGCCCTGCCCTCAAAATCTATGAGCGCCATGTAAAAGTGCTGCAGAGGACCCACTTCCTGGAGTACGAGGACCTCTGAAGTGGAGATTCCAGTGACAGACAATGCTGCATTGACTCAAACATGCATGCAGAGGCCTCCCCCATCTGGATCCTACCGCCAACCTCCAAATACAGCGTATGTCGAGGGGTGCGTGGAGTCGGGGGGGACGGCTGTGATGGAATTCACTTTCACTGTGAGAATGACCAGAAACTGAAAGACAGTTGTCCTACCTCTCATCGTGGTTTTAGTTTTCAAATGGATTTCATTTCATGTGGGCCCATCGCGGAGGGAACAGACGGCTACATTCGGAGGATGTTTGTAAGCAGAGCGGCAGTGACCGTTCGTCATTACGTCGGGTAATGCAGCCACTGAAGAGGACCAAGGGGACCACCTATGGGCGACTGTATCCACACAGACTGTCCTGTGGCTACACTGTTGCCATAGGTTTGGATGTCCTCCCTGTGTCTGATATGGTACCATCTGTTGGACCAGAAACTATTTCTCAGTCACAGACAAACATAAAGCACATCTATTGTGCGTCTTCCTTTTCTTGTATGATGAGTCAGTTTAAATGTAATCAAAGTGCTGGGGAAGTCAGACTGTCTACGTATCTGCATCAAAACTTAAGAGTCTGATTCCTGACTTGTCATGCCACCAAAAGCTGCTGTTTTGGATTGTGTCTTAGCGTCCTTTCAACGCCGAGATATAACCAATATAATATACTACTACCTGATGTTGTTTTTTAAATTTTTTTTATTTTTGTTCTGTCTTAATTCAAAATGATTGTGGTCCAAAAACACAGTTACATTTTGGGGAACAATTGCAGATTGATGTGACCAGAAAATATGCATCCTGATGAAATTTGCTTTTATACATTAGCAACGTAAAGTAATGAACTTGTATGAAATGTTCTTGTAATACTGATTATATTATTCTAAATTCAGTACAGCTGCTCAGCATCTGTTCACAGAGCAGATATCTTGATGAAATGCAATATTTTATGTTATCATCCATTTATAATTTGTCTGGTGTCGCTTTGTGTTTCGATCTAAGCCAGCCACTTGAATTGTAACATTCCATATGATGTAGTCTTCATCTCAAGTGTATCCCCTCCTCTCTTTATCTGTAACACGGACATTTCTTCCAGAGTCACAAATAAAGCTCATGTCTCTGTTTACTTATTTGTTTTGGGAGAGTTTATTACCCTTGAATCAACAGTTCATCAAAAAGCTATTGTTTCAGAGGTGCAGTGACTAAAATATTGTAAACAAACTTTCCATCACAGTTAAAATTCCTGCTCAACACTGAATATTTTTCCTCACTCACAAAAAAAGTTCCTCATTTGATCTCAGGTTCAGTCAATGCAGCAGTGAGTGAAAGGCACATTGAACGGAAACGGAATAGCAGTGAGTACACTTAGTAAAAGCACTACCACAGTGTAAAGGTCACCTCAGGATCAGCAGAATACTGCATGAGCTGCACGATACCACAAAGTTGTCAGCTCCAGGCTGCATACTAGTTTGACAACGCAGATTAGCCTCTTGGTATTCCAGCTCTGAGAGAAACTTCACTGATTAGGCTGCCAAAAGCTATGAAAATAATGTGATTTTTTTTTCTTCAAAAACTAAACAGCACTCGCCACTGAATATTTTACAACTCACAAAAGTAGCAAAATAAAAAGGACATACTGTTCTATATTCTCTCTCTTCTAGACCACATACAACAACATTAAAGTAAGACTTTGGAGCTTCCTTTGCTTCTGACAGTCCTGCATTCACCACTCCGACACTCAGAGTGACGGCGACTGTCACTCCTCATTGGGGATCAAAGTGACACATGGAGTCCATATGACCAAAATGCATCTACACTGTTAACGTCAGCACACACTCCCTGACATCCAAATGGATCGAAGGGGCCCTCAAAAAGGGGCCCAATCAGTGAGGAGCTGGATGCATGGAGCGACAGTTGCGTTGCTGTCTACGTCCAGGCTCTACAGGATGAAGGGCAGTATGGAGGAGCGCAGGGTGGGATAATCTCTGAACTCCTTTAAGTAGCTGCGGTGTTTGCCTTTTGCCCACACGGTCATCTGGATGAAGGCCACAATAGTGAAGAAAGCCACGGGCACACACTGGGTCATCACGGTGAAGCCGATCCAGGAGCCGAGCTGTGGGCGAGAAGTTAAAACACAGTGTGTCCAGGCTGATGGTACAAGGACAGAATGCAACCAGCAGATGGCAGCAGCAGTGTGAGGATGAGATATCATATTGGCTCCTCTACTGAAATGTTAAAGTATTTCAGTGCAGACACACAAACTTATTAACAACCAAACTAATAAGTAACAAAAAATCCCTTCAAAAGCACTTATCTTATAGATTCTTATCTTTTAACATCTATTTTACTGACTTTATAATCTATCTTATATAATTTTCTTTTTATGTTTTGCCTTTTTAATCTTTTTGATGTATTCCTTTTTAATTAAACCCTCTTCTTGTTCTGTTGTATTGGCGTATCAGTCATCTGTGAAGCACTTTGTACTGCACCAGGCTGTATGTTAGGTGCTGTACCAATCAAGTTTCATTGATGGATTGATTCTGCTACATAGATTTTTCTATGTTAACAAAAAGGTTGGAAAACTTACAAAACAAAAAAAGCATGAACATAAAGAAACATTAATGTGAAAACCTAATCAATTAGAGGAACCTTTTTTTAACTTGTGTTTTATTAAAACACATTTTAAAGTATGTGTCTGAGCAGATTTGTACTTACTTCGTACGTGTAGTTCGGACAAGAGACCAGCCAAAAAATCCATGTGAAGGGATTTTTCGTTGGGTAAGGAATCTTCTTGGTTTTTGAACCTGAAATAATGTGTAAACTCAAATTAAAAAGGGCAGCATTCTCTACATTTTGGCTCATTTAAAAATAATAATAATTAAATATTAAAAAACACAAATCCTTAAAATGCTAATTTAAATCACATGCATTGTTACAATATATAGATTACCTGGTGATTTGAGGTTTCGGAGTGCAACGTGGATGGAAAAATTTCCTACTTGACAGAACTGCAAGACATCCAAAAATGAACGTCGACACAACAAAATAACTGTGGCTTCACCATGTGTCAGATGACTTCCACAGATATCAAACTTACCAAGAAAATGTAAAGACCTGTGTTCACCTGCTGCTGCCCGTAATCTGTCGAGGTGTCACAGACGAAACGGATTAAGATGGAAGTCAACTTTGACTGATGAGCTAAAGTGAGAACTGCAGTCATCAGCACTTACATGGTGGGGTGTAGAGGGGGTGGTTGATGTAGTATGCCATCCAAGCTGCAGTGCACCAGTAATAGCCACAGTTCTGGAATAGAAAGCGTGACTATAATAAGTCAACCTGCCGAGATAGGGCTCCACATGCCGCAGGTTTTAGAATTTTTAGAACAACATGATAAATATAATGTTCGCAGCTTTAAGCGTGCAGCACAGTCACCTTGAATATGTTTCTGAGAGGCATGGTCCCATGGGAGATACGATGGACAAACAGTGTCTCCAGAATCCTCTTGATGTAGTGGAAGGAGTGACATATGCAGGCCAAGCTGCAACAGGACACAAACACACACTTACATATTTAGCTGTGATTAATACATTGCCCCGCTGCAGTCCATTACACTTGGCCCTGACTCAGTGTCAACATTGCAATGTGCTTCACAACTGTTTGTCATGTTGGGGGGGCCTCTGTGCAAAGCCTGGGATTGTGTGATATGGGGGAGTGACATCACAACGGATCCCTAAAAGCAGGAGGAAGCCAACACTCACTGTACGATCCAGTGCTTGCTGCTGGTGAAGTCATATTTTGGAGAGTAGATGAAGGGAAGGCGGAAATAGAACATTAAGTAGATGATCAGTGGACCAGCACACTCTGTTAGGAACACCTGAAGAGAGTGAAGAAACAGGAACGCTGTAAACTTTGCTGTTCTCAAATTGTAGCCAGATGCATGAGAAGAAATGCACAAAAAAAGCAGAAAAGGGCAACACAAAACACTCCTAATAACTACAATTAACATCTCCGACAATTCACTTGTTGAATAAAAAAATACACCGACCAGTAAAATGAAAACATTTTTATCTATGTTGGATTGGCACTTTGTCAGTCTAAACTAGCTGTCAAAGGGAGAACATGCAACTGACACCAGCTTGACTTTTTGAACTGACACCAGTGTGGTTCTGGCTTCTTGAAACCAAGTCAATCTATCTACTTCTGCCCAGCAGTGACAGCCATTCAGTGTAACAATAGCAGTGTTTAACATGTGCCCATGGAGCAAATAAGACACTGAGGCAGCTTGTAATACCAGCTTTCCACAAACGATATGATCAAGTGAAGCAGCACAGCTGACAGTGAAATAGATCCCTGAATCAGCACCTCGAGCAGAGCCCCGGCTCAGCGTGCCCCACCAGTAGCTACTGGCGATCCCTGCCGGGGCGCTTCATGCTTTCTCCACCCACACTGGCATCAGTCTAAAGCCTGGCAGGGTGCTGGGGGTTGTGCCAGGGTTGGTAAGGACAGGGAATGTAGAGACTGAGTGGGCAAGGGTGAGTAAAGAGGCGCAGTGAAAGGCAAGTGAGAGGTCGGGGGGATAAACACCTTTGGTAGAAATGGGGCCATGAGATTATATGTCCTAGGACAGAGGACAAGCAGCGCAGGAGGTGGGGGAAATGAACCACAGCAAATCACCTCTAACTGTCACTGTGGGGTTGATATTTATATTCAAGAGTTATTGAGTGGGTGAAAGGGTGTCTGCTCATATTTAAAGTACAAGAATTTCAAAAGACCGTGCCAGGGCTTCCGCGTGTTTTAGCATATTAAGTGCAAATCGTGTGTAATTTGCAGACCGTTTTGCAAAGCGGGCCTCTTATGAAAAACAGTGAATGGATCACATCCAAAAGCTAATCACACAAACCTAGACTTAATAAAGACAATGCAGATTTCAAAATGTTTAGTTACAAGGTGTTTTCTGGTCAGAGGATCTCACCTTGAATGTTGCAGCAACAGGCAGTTTATAAAAAACAATACTTAAAACTGAATGAAAGTGGATTTTCATAACAAGATACAGGTTTAAACACTTAATACAGAAGGTTCTAACAAAAATAGCTCACTGTAAAGTAAAGTATGTGTGACATGACATGAGTTGGCTAAAACGTGCAGTACCACTGTATGGTGTGACATGTGGTGTGTCTGTGCACACGTCAACTCACGGTTCCCCATGTGAGCTGTGGTCCCAGGTCACTGAAGTAAAAGCTGGCTGTGGTTCCGACAGGAAGTGTCTGGAGAACTTCTTCATCCCTGAGACACTTGGCCTCTGAGAAACATGACAGTCGAGTCAAGACCCAACAACATCCCATTACATCACCGCAACAACACACAACTGTCAATCAGCTGATCTGGATGAACGCAGAATTCATTGAAATGCATGGCAGACGTACTTGGATCCAGACGCAGGGACTGTCTGGCTGGATACCACTTTGGATCTGTCAGAATAAGGAGGAACTTTACTCTGGGCTTCTTGAAGAGATTACTCATTAACAAGAGCAACTTCAGCCACCCTAAAACACTGAATGCCATCAGATTCAGAAACATTTGGCTGTAAACCAAAGTATTGAATGTCTGTGCCAAATTTAATTTTACTGTTGAGATGTTTCACTAAAAGGTCAAAATGCCAACCAAACTGCCAGAGATCACCAAGGTCATTTGGATTCATTTTTAGGGATCAGTACAAAGTTTCATGGTGATCCATCTCATAGTTACCATACATTAGTCTGGACCAACATGGTGGACGGAACACCACACCAAAACTATTATTTCTAAAAAGAAAATAAAACACAAATTCCTCTCCTTTTCATAAATTTACTTACATGCTTTATGAAACAAAGCCTTAATATCCAACACAGTAGCAGTTGGCTCCACCTACAATCAAACGTGAAAAATAAAAATATATTTAAGATTGTATTATCACCAAAAGCATGGGTTTACAGACTGCCATGTTGACATTTACACCAAGTACTAAAAATACACCAGAAACCATGTGTTACTACCTTTACTGATGCTTTTATTTCTTTATTCATCAGACTTGTATTTTTCCATTTTCACCCTGCAATATGATCTCTCATGTTAAGTACACAACTCTGCCCATTTATCCAAGCTGCTAATCATGTCTGTCTTTCTGTCTGCCCTGCCTGTTGGCCAAGTGTGGCGCAGGCATGTACTGTAGCTGGAACAGAAAATTCCTGTCAGATGAAGAGAGAATTCTCACCTCCTAACTGCAACCCTCGCTCAATAGAAGCATAACTGATAATAGCTGCACTTGACCGGGCACCCTGTAAAGTAGATGATTATCTGTAAATTTACCCATGTGCTCAAAGTGAGGACTCTGTAGAGCTAAAACAAACAGGCTTCCTCTGACTTCACTGCAACTCAGTCACAGTCATTGCTACTTTTAGAACAGACACCAGATCTTTAAATCGTAAAACTGTAAGTAAAATCTACAATATGCAAAATGTACAAAATAACCTTTCTGTGTCTTTTGTTTGAAGATAATATCTGTAATCACAATTGTGCACGAGGTATTATCTGTCTTCTAAAATCATTATGGCTAATATAAAAGGTGAGTGTAATGAAACCCTCTCCGACATCTTGACACTCACCTTGTCCAGCAGCAGTAGTTTCTCTCTAGTCTTTAAGTCCACAATCTCCACTTCAAAGTAAACAATCCTTTTAGCCTTTTTGGGGGCTTTTGGCTTTGGCCTCGGTGCAGACTTCTTCTCGGCTTCTGCTCCATTCACATTCTTTGCCTCTAAGGCAAGTACATCCATGACAATGTTTGATCCCGAACCTCAACTGCCCGGTGAAATAACGGTGTGATATGTCCAGTGGCTCTGGTTGTCCTCTGCTGGTATGTGCAACAGCTCCCAGCTCTCCCCCAGGGAACTGTCAGTCCTTCTCCGGAGTATCTTCAGTGGCGTCTTTTGGACTCACTGAATACCCCTCCAGTTTGAAAATAAAAGTGACCATAAACAACTTTCCTCCCCAGACGTGTTGTTTGTGTGTGAGAGAGTGGAGTTACGTGAGAAGAAAAGAAAATCAAAGGAGAGCTGGTCTCAGAGCGTAAAGTAGACCTGTTCCTCACCTGAATAGCAAATCCACAACCCCCCCTTCACGCAGCAAAACGCACTGAAGACGAAACTGGAGAGCCCCAAGACATAATCCATAGCGCGCCATTTGCAAGGCTAAATATAAGTCGCCTGATTTGCTCTGCACCAGCTAGCTAACCTTGGGAAGCCACATGCAGCCATACCCAGTGACAGATGCCAATATGCTCTGATTAGACCTATAAGACACATCTCCTGTCCACTCTGCTCTTCACTTGTTTGCTGTTGGGCCCCATTGAAAGCCTGATCCATAGGATGGAAGATCCCTACATGCCAACACATCCCCCCCTCGCTCAGACCACCTGTGTGGCCAGTATCCTTTTCTTTCTCTGAACTCGGAAGACAAACGTGTCTATTTCGGGGCCAGTGTGGTTCAAGGTTTGTGTGCTAAATCACTTCTAAAATACTTCAAGGAGGTTTGTGTTGGGGGGAGGGTGAAGAAAATGCTGATTGGGAGAAGATCAGAGATGCCTTTCAGCGCACAGGGTCAACTCATCATCGCACACAGCCAACTGCATATCTATATTCTATGGTCTATTTATAGCAAGTAGGAGCAACACAAGCCACCAGTAAGAAGCAGTAGCATGCATGCATTCCAAGACCACTTTTGAGTCCTGGATTAGAAACATTCTTCTGTTAAACAGACAACACTTTATGGGAAAATAATGATCTAAAATATGCTGAACTCATATATGGTGACACTTAGATCTGACATCTGATTTGCCATACCATGAGATCACTGTGGTTAGAGGAAGTGTCTTTATTGCTCTCTGGTAGATACAGTATGTCACAGTATATATATTTAGGCTGTCTAAGGAATCTTCATAATCCTCCCTAATTCCTAATGTAGTGTGAAGCAAAAAGAGAAGTGTAAAGTAATACGTTTTGGGTGGATATTTGTATTATTATTTATAAGACACAATAGTAATATCTCCTACAACTATTATTGTGGCTTTCGATATGGATAAAACTTTATTTTGTTATTGTTTGTACACAGATTGACATACTGTAACTTCATCAGTTTAGCTGAGCCTTTGTTTAGCTTCGGGTAAGGTAAAGCTACGGTGGATGCAGTAACAGTGATATTTATAATGAAATCATAAACAAAGCTATCTTACGAAACATGCTACTTCATTGAAGCTTGTTGTTGTTATTCAAACTGTGCCAGAAAGGTTTTTATTTAACTGTGCAAATATCTGTGCCTGTAGTCCTGAGTAATAAGCTCATTAGTGGCAAACTACCCAACACCCAGCATGTACACACCTCCGGAGTCTGGCAGTGGGCAGGAAAATCATTGCTGACCGCTCCTGATTTAGGAGTAACTTGTGTCAACTTGTCCCCTCTAGTGGGCTCTACAGAGAACTGTACAATCAGAGAAACCACCTCAACAACCTCACTCAGGGAGAGTTTCTTTCCATACACCTTCAAACATGTACCGCTAGTTGAGCCACATCTGTACAGTTTGCACCTTTCAGCAGCAAATCACCTTATTGTACTTACAAATTATGCAAACATGCTGTGCATTGATATGTAACATGTCAGCATTAGTTTATCAGCTACACTGTGCAGTCTGCACATCCATCAACAGATGCATGCAAACTACCTCTTTAGGTATAGTAACTATCAGTATATTTATTCCAGCAAACTCTGCACTGTTACACACTCCTGTAGCTATATGAAAAATAGAACAATATGATTTAGACTTCTAACTTTACATACAATGCTGTTACGCTGTTGTCCATTGCTGTAATAATTTCCACACCTACTGCTTGCCTGCACATATTAGTTGTGCATTTTTGGACATCTTAGTTGTCATAAATCGGTTATTCCACCTTAAAGTTTTTTTTTCTTGTTACCACATAAAAGTACAAGGAATTACTGGAAATAATTGTCAAATTACTTGTGTCAACATGCAAACATTTGCCAGGTGTGTTTGCAGGACTTTACTCAGGGAGGACTGAATAACAACATAACTCTGCTAGAGCTGCAACAATTCATCAATAAGCCGACTATTAAATTAATTATTTTTTAAAAGATCGGTGTGAGTCATTTTTAAAGAAAAAAAATCTACATTTTCTGATTCTAGCTTCTAAAATATAAGTATTTATTTATTTATTTATTTAAATCTTTTAAGACAAAAAACAGAATATCTTAAGGTCTTGGACAAAAGCTTTGGGAAATACTGATTGACAATTGTTATAATTTTCTGATATTTTGTAGAACAAACAATTTAAAAAAAGGAATCTAGAAAATAAATAGATAGAGAGACAGAATACATGTTGGTGACAGCCATAAAACCCTCCAGACTTCTAGTATTAGACTGAATTATTTTAGCCAAAATAAAATGACAACGAAGTAGCATGCAAGTTGCTTTTTCATATCTTAGTGAAATGCATTTTAATGTAAATATTAAAAATAAAAACACTAATATACATATATTGTTTGTATGTATGTATTTATTTAAACATATTTTTTAAACATCTACATCTTTATGTACAGGATGAGAAGTGAAGCCAAATGGGAATCCGCAAGAACCCAAGCGTCTGCGCATGCGTACTCAATTTCAAATACTACTGAAATGCTCGGTAAAAAAAAAACAAAAACAACTCATTTACTCTGGAAATTCAATAAGAGAGAACAAATTCATTCAGAGGAGGGAACCTGGTTTGCGTATTTAGTTTAAAGATAGCTCTGACCTACTTGTGGATGTTGACGGTGGTTCAGACGAACCCGGCAGGAGCAGGGAGGGAGTCCTCTCGGCCCGGTGATGACCCACATCAGCAGCTCCAGCTTCTTCCAGAAGTTTCCCCGCAGGGTTTCCAGTGCGGCTCCCACGCTCAGACGCCCTCAGACGAACACGTTGCTTCACGCTGCGCCGCTACACTGAAGGGACATTTTTTTTTATTTCCTCTTCTCGTCTTGGTGCAGAGCATAAAGTTGTCCACGGACTGTGACAGCTGAGGACGGACAACCTTGACAGCTAGCTAACCCGGCCGGCTAGTGTCCACAGCGGTGACAGCTGCGGCGGCGGCGGCGGCGGCGGCGGGGACCGTTAACCTGAACCGCAGCGGACGCAGTACATGCTGGATGCGTTGCTGAACAGAACCCGAAGCCGCTGACAATGTTTTTATGAAGTGGGGGGAGAACTGACCGGTCATTGTAATGGGTAAAGATTACTACAAAGTGCTGGGTATAGCTAAAGGTGCCTCCGAGGAGGAGATAAAGAAGGCGTACAGAAAGCAGGCCCTGCGCTATCACCCGGACAAGAACAAGGCTGCCGGAGCGGAAGACAAATTCAAGGAGATCGCTGAAGCCTACGATGTCCTCAGCGATGCCAAGAAGAAGGACATCTACGATCGCTTTGGTGAAGAAGGTAACTGAAGTCCTCTCTCAGCTCGCATTACGGTTTTGTGCTGTTAGTTTGTATAATCATCATCCAACCATGCATTTGTCACTTTCTGCTCCTGTTTGGTCTCATGCACATACAGATGCATCCTCCTAATTATTGACAGTCATCGGTGTCTCTGGCGTCTTTCTGCACCAGTAATCAGACAATGAATGCATGCGTGCTCACAATAGGTGTAGCTGGAGAACTTGCTGGAAACTGCGAGTTGTAGCCTGTCCTGTCAGTCTGCCATGAGATGATGATTCTGGTTTAACCAGGTCAGAAATGCACAGATTTGTGCCTTTAGGCTTTCATGTACCTGCATATGTTCTTAAAGGCAGAAACAGTGACATAGATCTGAATTTTAGGTGTTTTAGCAAGTCAAAAAAACCCATTTAATTACTACATGAAGGTTCAATTTTAACAGTGTGATCATGACTAGTCTTGCAAGTGATGGATATTTACATGATCAATTTATTGCATTTTTAGTGAAGATTTATTTATTAGATTCTAGTAAAATGACACATAAGTGAGTGTGTTATTAGCCAGAAACCTGTATTCTTACTTGACAAATGACATACGATGAATTAAAAGTTGTTGAGTTGGAATTAAGGTATCACTGTTCTGCAAAACTGACATGTTCAAAAAAATATTTCACTATATTTCATTGGTTTGAATTCCTATGATTTATAGAATGAACACTGTTTTTGGTTTACATTTGTCTGTTGTTAATTTTTTAATGCAGTCAACACTTTAGGAATAAATCCCTAATTTCCTAGTTATTAGTCAAATTAGCCAATCAATGGTGCTGATATATAATAACCTAAAACTTGCCAATAATGGCTTCCATGCTCACATTTCAGCCACCTTTTCCTGCAGAGGTTTCCCCACAGAGCTCTGATGTTTGTCCATGTCTTCATTAGGATTAAAGGGTTCATCTGATGGAGGAGGTGGAGGACACAGCGGTACAAGCTACAACTACACCTTCCACGGGGACCCCCACGCAATGTTTGCGGAGTTCTTCGGTGGCCGCAGCCCATTCGATCATTTCTTCACGCAGAATGGGGAGGACGATATGGATATCAACGACCCATTCACAGCGTTTGGTATGGGAGGAATGGGTGGCATGGGTGGGTTTCACAGGTCCTTTAAGTCCCACCCAGGAGGCCCTCATAGAGCACACGAGAAAAAGAAGGACCCACCTGTGGTGCACGAGCTGAAGGTGAGCCTGGAAGAGGTCTTCTCAGGCTGCACAAAAAAGATGAAGATCTCTCGCAAGAGACTGAATCCCGACGGCTACACCATGCGCAGCGAAGACAAGATTTTAACAGTCGACATCAAACGTGGCTGGAAGGAGGGGACTAAGATCACCTTTCCCAGGGAGGGTGATGAAACTCCCACCAACATTCCTGCAGATGTGGTGTTTGTGGTCAAGGACAAACCACACCCGCTTTTCAGAAGAGAGGGTTCCGATATAGTGTATCCAGCAAAAATATCACTTAGAGAGGTTAGTGAGCACTAATGTCAGAAAATATCACTTAGACATTAATTCTTCAAGGAAAAAAAAAGCCTGTTGCTAATATTAAAAACCTAACCCCACATTTTGTGCACTCTTTCTCTCTCTGTCTGCAGGCGTTGTGTGGATGCACAGTCAGTGCTCCCACGCTGGACGGCCGGACCATCACTGTGACCTCCAGAGACGTTGTCAAACCTGGAATGAAAAAGCGCATTACTGGAGAAGGGCTGCCGCTGTCCAAGTTCCCTGAGAAGAGAGGTGACATGATTTTGGACTTCACTGTTAAATTTCCTGACAAACTGGGCCAAAGCACACGCGATGCACTCAAGCAGATTCTTCCCCCGTGACTCCAAAGGACTGAAGTTTGCCTCAAAGCCTGACCAGTTAACATTTCCAGTGACGCTCTTCTTTGTGCCGTCACATTTTGGCCTGGACAATAAGGGGCACATATGGTTCCAGCTGAGTGTAAGTTTCATGTCTGACCACAAAAACCATATACTTACCCAGTATCCAGTCAGTTTAATGAGTGTCCAGGAAAAGTTTGCTGTGTTCAAAGAACGCAGTCAAACCACAGAAACAAAGGGGTTCATAAAAGTTCATTGAATTGCACCACTTGGAAATTAAATTAGGTAACTGAGGATTCGGATTCACCGCAGACTTTTGTGAGTGTGCTTTAAGGTAACACGCAGCCAGCTGCTTAACTATACCTCAGGAGGACTGACGCATGCTAGAATGTAGCCAGAACTACGATACTCAACAGGACATGGTGTTGGTTGGCGTTAGATTAAATCGAGGCTTAAAAATACTGTGTGGATCCTAAGTATCGGCACCAATACTGACCTTTATTAAGATTATCAGCATTAAATAGAGTTTTCATTTTCAGTGTTGTACATTTACACTCATTTTTTTGTGTCTCATATTCCTGGAAAAAAAAAACTTAGTGTTCTGAAGGCTGAAAATAGTGCCGATGTATGGACATCTCCTGTTATGATTAGAAGTGAAGATTCAGTGATGTACGGCTACATATGAATGATCCCAGATAGTTCCATGCTGCAAGATCCATTCATACATGAAATTGTTGAGACTGGTTGAGAGGTGGTACATAGATTATAAATGCAGGAAACAGAAAGCACTTCTATCAGATTGTTACTCTGCACTGGCAGAAACTGGACTGACGGATCTGTAGTTTTAAATATTGCACATGTTGCAAAATGTTTACGACAAGAGTGCACACATATTTAAAATATTTATAGGAAGAATTCATGTGCCAAACTATTGTCCCTGTGTAATTATAATATGTATGTATGTGTCTCGAAGTATGTCGAAGGCACGTGTGTAACCTGTCGTGTGATCGACTGAAATCTTAGACTTAATTTCTACCCTGTTAAGATGAACAAAGCATTAATGATATTTTATAAGAATATCATATGTATTTATGTTTTAGTTGCTCCTCATCTGTTATAACTCTGTCTGTTTGACTTCTTATTGAATCAAAAGCCAGTGTGTTTGTTGTTTTTGTTTAGCAAGCATAAAAGAAACCTGATGCATCAGGTTAAATCTTACAGACGAGGTTGTGAAAAAAAAAGGTTTAAGCCCCGGATTTAAAGGCCTGCAGAATCACATTTGGTTTGATCATTCTGTCTTATAATACCATGACTTCTCTTATACCTCACAGCATTCACTCCAAAATACAAATGTATCTGGACGTATGTGTTTTTACAGTACAGCAGCAATCTGTGGTGATGATGGAGGTGAGTAAATCAGTTGATTAATTTTGCACTTTCAAAATAATTTTAGTGTAGATGTGACTGTCATAGGAGGAAAAAAACTCCACGACAGTCGTTATTTGCCGCTTCATGTAGCCTCAGCTGAGGTTTTAAGTTTCTGGCACAAACATGTGGTTTAACATGAATGTAGAGATGTGTAATCTCTGTAATTTTTTATTTTAATTATTTTTTTGTTTCCCTAAAGGGTGTTTGCTTTTTTTTTTTCCTTTCTAAGGGAAAAATGTAAAAAGCGGTGTTTTCTTTACCTCTTGTTTATGTTTTGAAATTCCTCAGGTTGGGATCCAAAATGCTTTGACTTTTAACAACAAAGCTTTTATGAGTAGATAGTAGCATGGAAATTTTTAATAGTCCTTTCCTATGCTGTGATGATTTGCATTTCCACATTAAAGAGACTGGCAAACAAAACAAAAAAAAAAATGCATCAGTTGTGGCCTGGTGTTTTAATTATTTAGGATGTTTTAACAATTATACCCTTCTCCCAGATTCCACCTCATACTTTATGTAATGGGCCTTGTGCAATACAGTTTTGTCTTTATGAATCATCAAAGTTTAACAGGCCTGACAGCAGTACCTAAAGGCTGAAATGGTAATATAAAAGATCTGCACAGGCAGACATACTGGTAATTTTACAACTGGCAGCACTAAAACAAAATTTGTGGTGTAATTGAAACAAAAAAAGCTTATTCTCTTGATGTAAATGTGCTTAGTAAGCTTCATGGTAGTTTACTCAGTCGGCTACGATATCACGTGCACATGTTTGACAGCGTAGTCTGATAGGGCTTTTGCGAGGCGTGTCCAGTAGAGATAAAAAAAAAAAGAAGTTTATCAGCGGAGGAGTATAACACACTTCAGATCTTAAAAACATCTTGGGGGCGCCCAGACAGCTCAACAGATTGGGCGGACGAACCATGAACAGGGGCGGTAGCCCCCTAGGTAGAGGTCGTCGGTTTGAGTCTGGTCCATGAACATTTACTGCAGGTCCTTCCCCCCATAGTTTCCTCTCTCTCTCTCTCTCTCTCTCTCTCTCTCTCTCTCTCTCTCTCTCTCTNCTTATTCTCTTGATGTAAATGTGCTTAGTAAGCTTCATGGTAGTTTACTCAGTCGGCTACGATATCACGTGTACACGTTTGACAGCGTAGTCTGATAGGGTTTTTGCGAGGCGTGTCCAGTATAGATAAAAAAAAAAAAAGAAGTTTATCAGTGGAGGAGTATAACACACTTCAGATCTTAAAAACATCTCGGGGGCGCCCAGACAGCTCAACAGATTGGGCGGACGACCCATGAACAGGGGCGGTGGCCCCCTAGGCAGAGGTCGTCGGTTTGAGTCTGGTCCATGAACATTTACTGCAGGTCCTTCCCCCCATATTTTCCTCTCTCTCTCTCTCTCTCTCTCTCTCTCTCTCTCTACTGTCAACTATAATAAAGGCTAAAAAAGCCCAAACAAACAAAACATCATGGTACACTGGGGATTTGAACTTTATATTGGAGCTAGAAAGTTACAGTTACCACGTCACTGATCCTCTGGGGGACATGAATATCCAAAATCATTTTTTTCTCCAAACTGGGCTTTGGTTGCGGAGATCTTAAAGTCCTGAGGAAGCTTAAGTGCGAAACTGGCAACATGAGTCCACAGTGCTTTCACAAAATATAAATCAAGCTATCAGAAATAACAGTATCTGTAATTATTGCATTTTCTTATTTAATTGATGGTTTACTGAGGTCCATAAGTGTCAAGGTGAGACTGAGCCTTGTAGTTATTCACTGTAAGCTTCTTTAACATATATCATCAGTTATATTTGTGATTAATTATTTCAGGTGGAGGTGATTAAAAAAATTATTCTGTTTCATATTTCCCCTTCACATAACAGCATTCACTTCAACAATCTGGAAACATGCACACTGAACAAGAATATAAATGCAACACTTTTGTTTTTGCTCCTATTTTTCATGAGATGAACTCAAAGATCTGAGACGTTTTCTATGTACACAAAAGGCCTACTTCTCTCAAATATTGTTCACAAATTTGTCTAAATCTGGGTTAGTGAGTGACACATCTACTTCTGCAAGGATCTGTACACAATTCCTGGAAGCTGAAAACATCCCAGTTCTTGCACAGCCAGCATACTCACCGGACATGTCACCTGTTGAGGATGTTTGAGATGCTCTGGATCAGCGTATAGGACAGCGTGCTCCAGTTCCTGCCAATATCCAGCAGCTATGCACAGCCATTAACATTCCACAATCAACAACCTGATCAACTCTATGCCATACCTGTTCTAATCTGTTTGCATTAAAATACATTAATAAAAGAATTGCACAAATAGAATAGAATAGTTTTACAATTTAGAAACTATGCTTTGAAGAATTTTTTGCCTCTGGGAAATTTTAATGCAGATTTTGACCTGTCCAAATATAATGCTTTTAGATCTAATATGGTCTACACGTGGAAAAACAACAACAAACACAACAAAAACAACAACTGTGAATTATCCCTTTATTGTATTTTCACAGGTAGAATATAGATTTCACATATCAGGAAATGAACGTGGTTTAGTGTGAGCCACATGTAAACAACAAACAAACAAAAAAATAGTGAAAGCTACTTTTTTTTTTTCCTTAAGAGCTTGATGCAAAAAAAAGGCAGACAGCCAGAAGTTCAGGCTCGTGTCCACCAGGGGGAGCTGTGTCCTTACTGCTACAACAACAAACGGTACGTTGAGGGAAACACTAAACTGCGCCTTTACAAAGTCACGTCCGGTTGTGTTTACACTAAACAATGAGACGTTTTACATTAAGTTTATGCACAGCCTCTAAGTACATGTTATTTAGAGACACACCCGTTTTTTTTGGTTTTGTTTTGTTTTTTTAAACCATAAATAGCATACTTATGATTCATATTTCCCCCTCTTTGAAGTTAATATAACACGACATCCAGCAAACGACTGCTTTAAACCTTTCCCACAGTTGTCTCTTATTTCTTCTACTTGTTAATCTTCAAAACAGCCGCTCCAATGGGGGAGTTGGTGTTTACGAGGGAACCTGAAGGCGTCAGCGTTCCTCCCCTGCTGGGCTGCCTGGCACAAAGCTAACCCTCCAGCAGCATACCGAAACACGCACACCGGACTTACCTGCCCATCTGACCGCAGCCTGCCAGGGGCGGAGGGCTGAGGAGGCATCGGGCTTTCCATACAGGCGTAACCTTCTGTTTTGACAGTCGACATCAACACCGTTGGCAGGCTAAGCTAGCAGGAAGAGCTAACGATAGTTGGCTAAAACTCCTGCTCCGGTAAGAATGACTGGCCTGCCATGTTTACTCGTTTCTGATCTTGGTTAAGCTAGCTAGCGAAGTAACCTCAGCACTTCAGAAATAGTAAGGTGATAACTCACCAACGACGGGGATTAACAGTCACTGATTAAGCTCCCGGTTTTATTAGCTAGCTGTACGCCGAGCTGCTGGCTACTGGAGAGCTGTCAGTGTTTGTGCTGCTGGAAGTGAAAGATGTGGGAAATGTGTCTTGGGGCTAGCAGTTAGCATTAGCTGTTTAATGTGCTGTCTGTCCAAGCTACAGCGTGTGGTTAATGGTAAACACGAGCACTGCTAATTGTAATATTTCTTCAATGTTAGCACTTTGTAGAAGATTGTAGAAGCACTGACTGTTCAAACTGCCCTGTTATACCAGAGAAGGTATTCCTATAATAAATAAATGGACATGAAGGAGTTTGTGTCTGTGTTACAGCTGAGGACGTCCTACTGCAGCCTGCTGGACTCCACAGATCCAGCTATGTGAGCTGCTCTGATGTGTGGATTTCTAAATCCATACAGTGCCTGGTTAAGACAGCTTTTGAGCTGGTCTGGAGGACAATACCATTGCTGTGACTTGGACATCCAACAGACCTGAAGCTGATTTGGCTGAACAGGTGTATGTTGGTCTGGACTGTAGCGTAACTCCCCCGAGCAGACTCCTGCCCTCCACTCCCTCTGCTCTCACCGTAGGACTACTATGCCTCTGGGATTGGGAAGAAGGAAGAAGGCCTCCCCGCTAGTTGAGAACGAGGAAGCGGAGCCCATCCGCGCAGGCCTCAATGTGGCAGGTATGGAAGGCCTAGATGGAGGCGTTGTTGGCCTGGGAGAAGGTGCCACCTCTGATGGTCTGCATCCTCCACCTAACAGCATGCGACCTCGCCTCATTTTCCATACCCAACTTGCTCACGGCAGCCCCACAGGCCGCATCGAGGGCTTCAGTAACGTGCGGGAGCTCTATGCCAAGATTGGTGAGGCCTTTGGGATACCACCGTCTGAGGTGAGTCCTTCTGCTGATAGTGATGGGCGTGAGGAGGACATATGGGTTATAGTTTGGGGTTCATTACCATAAATGGTGTTTGTGTCTGTTCACAGGTTATGTTTTGCACACTGAACACTCACAAGGTGGACATGGATAAACTGCTGGGAGGTCAGATTGGGCTAGAGGACTTTATTTTTGCCCACATTAAAGGCCAACGCAAGGAAATAGAGGTGTACAAAGGGGAGGATGCACTAGGGTTGACGATCACTGATAATGGAGCCGGCTACGCTTTCATCAAGGTGAGGAATATTGAAAGGGCCAAGAAAACGTACTTCTGTTGACTCAAGTATCCACAGGAAAAAGCATGACCCAGGGCTATATTGGGTTGTAATTACTGCCCATGGAGTGAAATTACTCGTGGTAGGGAGAAAGCAATGAGATGGATAATGTATTCACCTAACTGTTGGAGATTTTCTGTTTTTCAGAGGATCCGAGAGGGGAGCATTATCCACCAGATCCAGGTCATCAACGTGGGTGATATGATCGAGTCGATCAATGGCCATCGCCTTATTGGCTGTCGACACTATGAAGTGGCCAAGATGCTGAAGGAGCTCCCAAAGGGAAAGGATTTCACCATTAAGCTAGTGGAGCCTCTCAAAGCCTTTGGTAGGTGTGGGAGGAAGGTGCATGATGTGAAGTTTCAGTTCCACAATCAGTCTGCTCAGTCTTATCTGCACTTCCTGGACAATAACTCTGCACACTTTCTGTACTCGTGTAACAATCCAGTAATAGCATATCATGTTGGCAGCTGTGTAAATGCCCTTTACATCTTCTATTTGCTCTCAGTGTGGCTTTGAGAATTAAAGTTGGTAATCTAAGATCTTATTGCAATGAATACAAACAAGCTTGGCTTAGTTAGTACATGAAGCAGCCTGAATAGGATCATACAGGACCAAACAAACAAAATAAAGACGAAAAAGTACATTTTTTCTTATAACTGTGCAAAGCGTTAAAGAATATCTGAACTTGTTTAAATGTGTTCCACAGATATGATCGGCCAGAGGTCAGGAGGGTCAAGGTCCTCATCGGGGGTTCAGCTGGGGACCGGCAGAGGGACCCTTCGGCTGCGCTCCAAAGGTCCTGCCACTGTGGAGGAACTGGTAAGCGTGCCTACAACTTCTGTTGATTACTAACTGGTCTTTGTGCTATTTAGAAAATATAATTCTGTTCAATTTTGCCCTGTCAGCCGTCTGCATTTGAGGAAAAGGCCATTGAGAAGGTGGATGACCTGCTTGAGAGCTACATGGGAATCAGAGACAGCGAACTGGGTGTGTGTCTCTGTGTCTCGGCTCTACAGGTGTCATATTTACTGTGTAACTTTCCGTTTTATGTTCGCTAAATATTGCCTCTGTCTCCTCAGCGGCTACCATGGTGGAGCTGGGAAAAGACAAGAAGAACCCAGATGAATTCGCTGAGGCTTTAGACGAAACCTTGGGAGACTTTGCCTTCCCTGATGAGTTTGTTTTCGACGTCTGGGGTGCCATTGGCGATGCTAAAGTTGGCCGGGTGTAACCACAGAAACTAACGGAGCAGAGTGACCTGCGTGTCCGCTACACCCATGACATTCAGCACTACTAGAAAACACCACTACCGTCATGAGTTTGATTTTATTCCAGTGTATACTCCTTCTATTTTTGTGAGTTCGCACCCATTTGGGAGACTCTGTCTAGACGAGAAGGATGATCGTTTAGTTGGAGAGGAAGGTGACTGTGATGACTTCCCAAGTGCTTTTATTTGTCTTCCAGCTTTTTCCAGAAACTACAAGCACGCCGATGAGCATTTCCTTTGACCGCGTCACATGAACCTGCATGTCATTGTTGTAGTTGCTGGCAGTGGAACATGTACAGCACAGGTTTCTAAAATGGGAGAAAATGAAAGACAACGGCTAACACAAAGTAGATCTTTGACATTTAGCGAAAATGTTTTTTCCCACATTGCACTGTGTTGCACTGCGCTGTAAACCAACAACAGAAGTGAACATAGATTGCACTGTACCTCACCCGGTGAGTTATTGCACAGTTACAAGGTGTCGGCCTCCCCGAAGTACAGTGTTTTCCTGAACCACTTGATGTTACTGTCATGGATCAGTTTTACAAGCATGTGCTGTTACATTTTTATCTTCAAAATGAATTCTGCTGATTTTTTTTGTTTATTTTTTAGGTAAAAGTAAAAAAAAAAAAGAAGCAAAGCGTGGTTGCAGAGGGGGTCCTAGTAAATTGTAGCTCCTGACTAAAAAGATGAATGGTGTTTGTTCACCGTTAACACACTCCATGCTGTAATGAACTTAACTGTGCAAACGGCTGCATATTCCTGTCTTTCATGCATTTGACAGTGTTGAAGAAAATCAGTGTTAGTTTTCTTTTTATTGAAGGTTATTATGTGAGAAGGAGAAGCTGATTGCTTTCCAGGTTTGTGGATTGTGTCGACTTGTTTTTTTTTTGTTTTTGTTTTTTTATATAGCTAGTGTTTTTTATATGAGGTGATGTGACGTCTATTTTAAAAACAAGGGTTGTGTAACAGACATAATTTGATCTTGTGTTGCAACTACTTTATCACAGAGCAGTATTAAAGAATAGAAAGTGAAGAGATGGAGTAGTTGTGTTTAAAAAAAAAAAAGAAAGAAAGTGGATCTGTTTAGAACAAAATGCCTTCATTTCTTTTTATTTTGTACATTTTGTTAGAGGTCTGCATTCTGGTGTGTTTTGTAGAAAAACAAATATACTGTCATTGGAGCAGAGTGAGACCAAATGACTTCCGTCTCTTGTTCATGGAAAGCAAAAAAAAAAACCAGGCACCAACTACTCAGTTTAGGTAAACACACGTCTTAAAAAAAGCTGTGGGTGATGACCTTTTCCATTGTATCCAAATGTATGAAGCTATTTTGTAGTTTTGTTTCAGAGATGATGAATATCTAAATGTAATGAAACTGATGCTAGAACACTGTAACACTAAGATGAATACATTATTTTGATGGCTTTGTATTACACTGATGTCAATGTCCAAATATAATGCAATAATAACATCCACATAGCAGTTTTTCTTTTTGTTTTGTGTACCGCAATCGGAAAGTGTTTATTTAGATTGGGTTCTTTCAGCTGGAATGTTTTCCAACGTTCACAGAAACCATCCCCGAGGGTGTTTGTGTTTCTTCTCACCCCTGTGTACTCCTGAAATATAGATGACATTTAACTAGACAGTGAAATCACTTCGAGAGGTAATGTAATCAGATCTACCTTGGGTGAACCCGATAGTGCTGGTCAAACTCGGCGGGGTCACTTACAGGCCTCGATCTAAAGCAGGTGGCAAACTGAAGAGATCCATCCCAGTTCAACTCAAAATACAGCTGGTATTTTATACATCTGTATAAGCAACATTTTAGGCTGTGAGTTCTTTACCATCTTGAATCTGTTGACTCACTCAGCGCCCTGCTTTGGCTTTGAGGGATGATGACATGTCCCTTATTTACTATAAGTGAAGTAAACCAGTTCTTCAAGTCCCTGTTGATATATAGGCCCAGTTGCTCATGACATGTGTCCAGATGACTGTGGACTTGATGCAGTGTCTTTCTAACAGACTTTAATTTCTGTACAACACAACCCCAGCTCCCCTCAACAGGAACCTGCCATGGCGTCGCGCCCACGAGCTTCCTCTCAGCCCGGGAAACTGTCCTTCCTCCAGACCTCCAAGGCAAATTCTCTCCTCCGACCGCGGGCTGTTTCCTCGCGCTCCGGCTCCATGCTGGAAGAGGAGCTGTCTTGTCCTGTCTGCTGTGAGATTTTCAAGGATCCTGTGGTGCTCAAGTGCAGCCACAGCTTCTGCCGGGCCTGCCTTCAGCAGTTCTGGAACAAGAAGAAGGCCAGGCGGGAGTGTCCCATCTGCAGGAGGAAGTGCTCCCTGACGGAGCCCACGGTCAGCCTGGCTCTGAAGAATGTGGCCGACACCTTCCTGAGGGAGAAGGAGCGCAGGACGGCCACGGATGGGACGGGGGCTGGCGGTGCAGGGGAGGAGGCGGGGATGGTGGAGGAGAAGTGTGACACACATGGGGAAGTTCTCAAACTCTTCTGTCTGGATGACTTTGAAGTCCTGTGCTTAGTGTGTCACACGTCCAAGAAGCACCAGGGACACAAAGTCTGTCCCCTGGATGAAGGAGCTCAGGATCTCAAGGTAAAGTACTCATTTTAGACTGACAACATGTTCACAGTCATTGATGGGGTTAGGCATTCTAATTACTGCTGTGACATTTAGAAACGTGGTTATTCGTGACATATTCATCAGTTGTGCTCAGCAAAGAAATCAGCAGCATTAGTCTGAATATGACCACAGGATGTCTGACGGTTCCTCTACTCTCACCCCTCAGGCAGAGCTGAAGACAGAACTGATTCCTCTAAAGAAAAACCTGCGTCGCCTGTATGAAGCCAAGCAGGAGTGTGATGACACAACTGTGCACATCAAGGTATCAATAAACACAGAGATCCATGAAACACAAGAGGACCAGCATGGCCTCTGACGTGACTCTGCCATGCTTTGTTGGTGTGTAAACATGTCAGTTCAGGTGTGAGGAAAGCCACGTACCTTGTTATTCAAGCTGTTTCTAAGTACTCACATTGGGTGGAGGTGTTTTTTTGACAGAGCATTAAGCGCTATGTAGATGGGTGATTGCATCTCAAAGAATCACCGGCCTTCTGCTCGACCATCTCTGAGTTGCCTTGAACTTTATTATGGTAAATGGACTGCACTTACATCGCGCTTTTCTGCCTGAGCAGCACTCAAAGCGCTTTACAATGTTTTCTCATTCGCCCATTCACACACACATTCACGCACCAACTATTATTAAATTATTATCATAAAATATGGATGTTTAAAACGGTATCTGGCGGTCAAATGGTATTTATAATGGAGGGCTGGTGCTCAAGTGAAAGAGAAGGTTGTCCACTAATTGCAAGGTGAGCACTTTTCTTTCTGCAGACCACTTATCTGTGAAATTTTAAATTGATATATTAAGTACTTTTTGAGATAAATTTGACAACATTTTTTTTTTAATATATGACATTATCTCAGAAACTATCAAAGATAAAAATAGGTCTGGAATTTTCCCTTCGATTTTCATTTTTTCTCATTGATTCAGAATCTACAATCATATCCATTTCTTGTTGAAGTGTGCTCAAAGATGGGACTTTTCATGACGGCTCCAGTTTTTTAAATATATATATATATATTTATCACCCATAATCAGAGACTATTGGATCTACTTGTCTAATATTACAGATTCAAACTCTCAATCAATTGCAAAAAAAAACTCTTCTGATATATTGATGTTTAAACATCGTCTGAATTTGTGGTGTGGATGAGACATTTTCAGAATCAAGCTAAAACTTCACAAATATCTTTATAAATATCCATTTCATTGCTCTAAAGTCCTCAAGCAAATCAGAGATGACTGAGCAGAAATCTTTCTAGAGCTGACGATTTGAGATAGAATGACTCGCGTATAATATATTTTAGATGGATGTGAAAAGATGCTTTAGGGAAAAAAAGGGGAAAAGGGAGGTATATAAACCACAGCGAATGAGGAAATAACAGGGTCATAATGAAGTCATAATATGGTATGATGGGAATTTTTTTGTTTGTTTTATGGCCACAAAATACATTTAAATCTAAATAAGGATAAATATTACATATTTGATTATGGCTAGGGGCTAGATGTAGAAAAACAGACGCTGACATAAATAAGGCAGGATTAGTAGACTACAGTATCAGTGTATTCAAATCAAATCAAAATCAAATAAGTTTATTGTCATTTTGCTGTACATACAAGATGAAAGAGCGTTTCTTCAGGATCCAATAACTTAGAGCAATTTAAATAAACAAGTGTTTGCATATCTAGATCAGCAGTTGAGCATTCTGACAGCTTGTGGAATGAAGCTGTTGATCATTCTGGAGGTTCTTCCTTTAATGAAAACGTTGGCCTGATGGCAGCAGTTCAAACATTCATTCAAAAGTTCATTGTATTTCTGTGTGGATCTGTATTTCCATGTGTGCTAGAACCAGACTCAGGCCACAGAGAAGCAGATCAGAGAAGAGTTTGAGCAGCTGAGGGAGTTTCTCCAGAAGGAGGAGGCAGCACGGCTGGCCGTCCTGCAGAAGGAGGACGAGGAGAGGAAAGACCTGGTAAAGAGGAAGTCTGACAGCATCACCAGAGACATCCTCACCTTCTCTCACGCTGTCATTGCCATCGAGAATGAGATTGCATCCAGCGATGCTCTTTTCCTTCAGGTTAGTAAGTTTTAAACGCTTCCTTCTCTTGATCCATGTGATTGTGCGACACGCTGTAATTCTCTGTCTTGTTATTGCAGAATTATGTCAACACAAAGAAAAGGTAGGAGGTTTTTTTTGTGTAGTCTCAAACCAGCTTCATCTTGCTGGTTATTTAGTGTTGGTTGAGTGCTGTTTGTTGTTTCGCTTTCACAGAGCACAGATCCCGCAGAAGGATCCCGAAAAAGTGTCAGGAGCTCTTATAAATGTGGCCAAGCATGTCAGTTCCCTAAAGTACCGTGTGTGGGAGAAGATGATGGAGCTGGTTCAGTACAGTAAGCGCTCACTTCACTCTGTGTGTGGAATTTATGCGTGAAACCAACTCAGCTTTGTTGCTTTGGAGCAGGTTTTACTAAATCAGTAGTTTGACCTGCATTTACTAAATTACCATCTGCATCGTCTCTTTTCCTTTTAGCTCCCATCACCCTGGACCCCAACACCGCCTACTCCTGGCTGTCCCTCTCTGCAGACCTGACCAGTGTGGCCAACAGAGGCTCCCTGCTGAAGCTCCCAGACAATCCTGAACGCTTTGGCCACTTTGTGTTCGTGCTGGGCTCCGAGGGCTTTACTTCAGGTCGCCACGCCTGGGAGGTGGAGGTGGGCGACAAGGTGGACTGGATGCTGGGGGTGGTCAAGGAGTCCATCGACAGGAAAGGCCGCATCTCGGGCTGTCCCGAGGGTGGCTTCTGGATGATCTCTCACTACGAGGGCGAGTACTCGGCAATGACAAGGCCCAGCACCCCGCTGCACCTGGAGGGGGAGCTGACGCGAGTGAGGGTGCAGCTGGACTACGACGCTGGAGAGGTGACCTTCTCCAACCCCATCAGCATGACGCCCATCTACGCCTTTACTGACTTCTTCACTGAGAAGATGTACCCCTTCTTCTGCCCCGGAGCCAACATCAATGGCAACAATCCCAGCCCTCTTAAAATCTGCCCCGCCAAGGTGGCGGCGTGGAACAGTGCGACGTGGTGATTTAAGAACACCTTACACAGGATGTGAGGGTATTTAAAATGTAGAAATTCCCCGGGGTGAATAATTGAGCAGATGATGTGTGTAACATGAGCACGATACAAACAGAGTAATTACAACAATAATTGGTTTATTTCACTTGGGTTCATTTCCTGACTGACTGCAGTTTATGAAACTCAAAGTGACGCTTTAAAGCTACCAGCGGATGGACTTGCCATCTTAATCCAGGAAACCTCCATTCTGCTTCTCAGTCAGGGAGGTCACAAGTTATCTTGAGCATCAATCTCCCCCTGGTGGCCACAGACACACAGTTAGTACATCTCACATAAGTATGCAATTATTTTCACTCTTAGTTAACTAAAACACACAATCCCATGTATATTGTAACTGAAGACCAGCTACATGATGCTCCACATTTGCCTTTTCCCTCAAATGTGACGCTCCAGTCACTGATTTAACCCCTAAAAACCTCATCTTTATGTGCCAAAACTCCCCATTTAGATGTTTTTTTTTTTCTAAGAAAATAATCCCTTCCTGCCTTAAAGTGGCTTGGATGTAACTCCAAATTGCTGCATCTTCTAGAATTCGTGCACCTATGCAGTTCCTGCCTCTCTCTGTATCCACCACCTCCCACCTGTTGCAGTTGGAGCACACCAGCTCGCCTACTGCTCTGCTCAAACAATGTAAAACTACTATTTGTACATAACAGCAAGTTGTAATGTTGGAGTAATTCAGCCATACAAGCTTGAACTGGAAACTGATTCTGTGGAATGATAACAATATTGAAATCTCCACCCTACAAGGTGACAGGATGGTTTCTTAGGTTTCTTACATATGGCATCCCAGAAATCTGAATCTGTTTGAAACTGTTGTCAGTACGCTGCAGTTTCAAGGCAGTAGTGCTCCATCATGTTGTTAACTTCTTTTTTTGTTTAATAATTTGTCTTCTAGCGTGTAAAAAACACCACAAGGACACTTTAACAAGATAGAGGAAGTCGAAAAGATTGATGTTTTAATATACAAGCCAATGCTGCATTACATGTTGGAGGATCTCCAGCAGATTAAACAAGCAGATTAAAATCAAAGTGGCCTCGCTTTCATGTGAAACATTCTTCAGGTGTATTTAATAATCCTGAACAAGAAAGTCAGGAAGTATGGTGTAGCTATGGCACTTGTCATGCTATAGCCTGATAAACCAAATTGAATTTTTTTTTAGTTTTATACATGTGATTCTGACATATTGTTAATTACTAATAATGTAAAATTGTATGTTTTTCATGAACTTTGTCTAACTTGATAATCCTGTGTAACCCCATGGATGTTGTTTTGAATATCTACAAATGGTCAAATATTTCAAGCACAAGGTGTGAACACGACAGGATAAAAATCAGTTCAGAGCAAAACATGCCAATTGAAAATCAACATCAGGCACATACCTTTTTCTGTGGTTTGTGTTGACTGAACATGAACCACTCTAGCTGGTTTGTTATTTTCAGAAAGCACACAGTGATTGCATTAACACTCAACCTCTGTGTCTAGATCGTGAAATCAGACACTGTGACGTTAACACTGTTTCTCCAGCAATAAAGTGAAATTTCACTCAGAGCCAACTCTGGTTCCTCCTACATTGTTTCATTGTGTCTTTTATGGAGGGACCGTGGAGGTCAGAGGAAACTTGCTGACTCGCCTCTTCTCCACCCATGTCAGCTGGGATGCAGCACAGAAAACAGGATCTCATCCTTCTTCAACCCCTCACTGTGTCTGCATTTTGAAATCTGCCCAAGAGGCGAGGAGTGGTAGGAAAAGGAGGAAAAGGAACAGTATCAGTAGTTCTATAAATGGAAGATGAAGCCTTTGAGTAGCAGGTTATAATGTTAGCAGGCTCTAAGTCAGGGGTGTCGACATCTGGTCCTCGAGGGCCGCAATCCTGTATGTTTTAGATGTGTCCTTCTTCCAACACACCTGATTCAAATGTTCAGGATCGTTATCAGACTTCTGCAGAGCTTGATGATGAGCTGATCATTTGAATCAGGTGTGCTGGAAGAGGGAAACATCTGAAACATGCAGGACTGTGGCCCTCGAGGACCACAGTTCGACACCCCTGCTCTAAGTTAACTTATCGATGCAATAGGAGGTGGAGGGAAGGTGACGTAGGAGGAAATTTGCGGCTTCCAGTGGAGGTAAGGCGGGGTTTAACAAAGATGAAAGAGAGACAGTTGGCAAGAGCACTTTTTTAATTTAAAAAAATGTCGTATTGAAGTTCTGTTTTTCAGATATGATACTTACTCTGTGCTTCTCTGCTGTTGCTTTATTATTCAGGGGTTCCGTGCTGCTGTAGGTGTCCTCTGTGCCCTCGGAAATGATGTCCCACAGGGTGCCTTTGGCCAGAAACCCTGTGTTGTTAATCAACAGGTTGAGAGCCCCCAATTCCCACCAGAGAGCCCAACTGCTGGGCGCACTTTTTTTTATGCCACGAAAGGTCAGCAGCGTCTGACAGAGAGAAAAAGAAAGCTGTCAGCAGTGGACAGTCGGATAAATATCAGAACACTGGGATGCTCATAGAGGTGAGTCCTGCGTGTGCTCAGGCATGGTCATAAGGGCAGGATGGATGGTTTAGTAGATGGTAACAGAAGAACATAAAGCTCTTACCCAGACAGATGACAGAGATGATGTTATCATGTTTCCTCCCAGTGTCTGCAGTGTCTGCAATTACAGAAGAAGCATTTTAATTCCACACACTGTCCATCACTTGCACTTACTTTTTTGCCTTATTTAGGATTTTTGCTTTTTCTCTGTCCGGTCAGTTACCACAACTTTGCAATTTTCTCTCTGAAGTCCACAATTTAGAGAGCTGAAATACAGATCCTCTTATTTGATTCAAAAAAAGCTAAGAGTCTCACCTCAACCGTGGATCCATCTGCAAGTTTTGGTGTCACCATCTCCAGGCTTAGGCCTCTGTTGGCTCCTGCGAGGTATTATTTCCTCTGCCTCATTCTGCTTAGAGTTTTGAGTTCTTATGTTCCACCTTAGTTGATTGTTTATTCTTTAGCCTGGCCACACCCATGTTCTCATATTGCTGTATGTGTGTGTGTGCCTCAAGTACATATCAGGCATGTGTAAACTACGCTCTTGTTGAGGACTTTCCATCAAAGAAAGTACAAAAAAAACAAAAACAAAAAAACTCCCAGCTGGCAAAGTCACATTCATGACAGAAAATAATAAAAGCAAGCACGATAATGGTGATGATGTGTAAACATGCAAAATGAAGAGGAGGAGAGTGATTCATGTTGCCTTTTTCAAGCCCTGAGAACAACAATGCAGAGCAAAACAAAGCAAAGGACTTCCTGAACATAAAGGAATTGTCCGGTGAGCTAAAAACACACTCCCTCTTTAGTCCACACAATCTTAACAGCGCACACATGAAGGCTCATGATAGACTTTTGCTTATTTAAGTCATATGGGAGCACAGAAGTAACTGATGTAACACACATAGCAGTGTTGTGTGGTCCTTTGTGTGCTTGGGGACGGCACAGTGGATGAATTAGAGCCATTTAGTATGAGTCATAGACAGTGTTGATGCATCAAAGCAAAAATAGCTTGGGAATGTGATCTCAGAAAACCACAAAAGACATACTGTGTCAGACAATTAGGTGATTCATTTAGATATGAAAATAAAGTGACTGCACTGATGTCAAGTGGTTCTATGTTTAGCTAAAATACTAACCCAGAGGGTGAAATCCTCTGAAGAGATTCCTCTTATAGCTGCACAGACTGACACCAGTAACAAAGCAATGACAAGCTATATGGACTGACTTTAATATGTACATATTTTCATTTGTCATAATGGCACTGAAGCTACAGCAGTTGTGTTGGCAGAGATGCCGGCTTGCATTCCCGCCACATGGCTGCACAGTTTCCATGTGCAACAGCAACTTCTGAATGTCTGGCAAAAGATTTACAGAAGTTTGCAAATCCTTGATAAACAGACAGCAAAAATCTCCACAGTAACAAAAAGTTTACTTTAATGTAACAGAATAAAATCTCACATTTCTAAGAAATAAAGCTCAACTGGGCAGAATGATCAAAATGGCACATTTTTCATAGAAATAAGACATTTTTCTGACTGAAAAACAAATTGGAATATAGATTTAAAGTCTAAATCTGCAAACTAATTACTTATTAAAGTGGATAATTATAGCAGTGTGCAATAAATACAGCAAATATTTAATTGTAAAGCTTATAACTCAGCTTCAAACTGGAGAATTCAATCAACACCTTTGTGAAACTCCCTCAAAAGTGTTACATTATAAGCTTCACAAAGGTAGTATTTATTGCAGGGCTATTGTACTGGATGGTCGTATGTTACAGTGTATGTTCTTGTTATTTTGTCCATCCCCTGCATCTCTAACATGCATGTCAGTAAAAGCAAGCTGGAGGCAGAATGGCTAACACTGACCGACAGAAGCAGAGAGAGAGCGGGACTTTAAGGAAAAAAAAAAAATCCGGCAAACAATAAACTCAGGTCCGGTTTGTTCACCTTCAGACAGCGATGTGACTGAATGCCCTGCAGTGACAATGTAAGCTCACCGTCTACTTATGTCCATTACTGAGACTGGTGCTCTTTGGATTCCTCTGCTGCTGGTGAGCGTAAAATGAATGTGTGCGTCGTAACGGTGGGAGCAACAGGTAAAAAGTTTTAAAAAGGTTTTCTGTTGTGAAGACAAAAAAACCCCCCCAAAACAAAACAGGATGTGTAGACTGTAGTGCCACTTTCAAATACGCCAAACGACATTAAGTGTGACAAAACACACCTACAAGACAGAAAAGGACACAACAATACATCCCTTGACTTGCATTTGGCAGCAGGTTCCTTTGGCTGTCCAAATAAAATTGGCAGTGTCTTGCTCTGTATCCATAAGCACACACACATATCCATTCACACACTTGCACATACACACATACACACATACACACACACACAGTGCACATACAGTACATGATGCAGTACATAACATGCACATACACAGATATAGTTACATACAGTTTTTCATTAAATGCACTTCTGTGTCCGCAGCTCTCCGCTTTGAAAATAGGTGCATAAATAAAACATTCCCGTAGTTATAGAAAAGGTCCATGCATGTGTGGCACCTCTGAGTTCACCGAGACTGAATGTGGAGAAAATACGAAGGCTGTGTGCCACCTGGCTGTATCCGTTTCTATCTCACCATGTTTGCTTCTCCTTCACGGTTGTGTTGTTGTTGTTGTTGTTTCACCTCTCTCTGGCAGTGTTTTTGACAGTGTATTAGTCTTTTTTTTTTTTGTCTCTCACAGATGGGTGCTGTCCTGTGTATCGAACCTGTGGCTCTCTGAGAGCCCGGCGCTGCACTTCCTGCTACTCCCCTGATTGGGTACCAGGGACAGGGGGTCCGGTCTGATCAGGTACCTGCACATATGGAGCACAGATGGAGACAGCGAATATAATGATGTAATATTTGTAGCTTTCATGCTGTTTTCATTTATTTATTTCTGCAGTGCTCTTAATTACACGTGGTGGTGTGTACTCACACAACATCATGCAGCTCCAGTCTGGTGTCTGGAGAAGGGTTGATGAGGATGTACGACAGTCTGTTCCCTTGGTCTGTCATCCCATCTGACACAGGAAGAAAAGAGGTGAGTGAGGCAGGAAATAAAATACGCACAGGATATACAGCAAGCTGTGCTGCATCCGTATACACAGAATAGAAGCAATGCTACAGTAAGTCACCTGACAGGAAGACAAATTTAGATAAAAATGGACACCACTTAAATACAAACAGCATTACAGGCAGTAAACAATAGCAGTGAGTGAGTTACTCAGATCCTTCACTTGAGTAAAACTGTTATCAGCTTAGTGCACTAAGAGGGCTCCCTCTGCAGACTCCTATAAGGAGATGTGACGTTATTAAATTGTTCCTACTGATGCATGAATGTGTTTGGCCGCCCTCTGTAGATATCTCAGGGGGCTTATGTGAGGCTTAATGAGGGAGGGAAAGCACATTTCTGTTGCACAAATTTGTATATTTATTCTTGCAATGTTCCCTAATGCTTTTCTTAAATATTAAATAATCTTCTATTATTCAGTAGATATCTGAAATGTGCCAAGGGGATCCGAGTTAATTCAGTTAATGTGTAAAAAGATAATTTGTAAAAACACTGTATTATTCAAGTTTTAACCCTCATCACACCAGCATGTTTAACATATACCAACTAACTGCCAATAAACTGCTCTGAGACACATCACACCAGAATATAAAGTAATTTCTTCTTGAAACATTATTTAATGTCATCTGAAAAAACAAGAATAATATTTTAGGTAGGCTACAATGAAATTAGCATTTTGTATAAAATGAAAAAGAGATACTTTTCTTTAATACAAATATTAGCTCTAATCCACATTTGTATTTATTTGCCATCCTTTCATTGTGAAATCATTTCATTTTCAGAAACTTCAAGTAAACATTATTTGTCTTTTATTTATCTTGATATCTTCACCTGCTTGCCACTGTTGCCGATAAAACTAACCCTGATGTAATCCAAATCTATATTATAGAGATATATTCTAGATTTCTTGCACCTAAACCTATCTGGAGCCGTGGGAAACAGAGCAAATCTCCTCAGATCTTTTCCCTTGCATATCCCTTCTTCTCACTCTCTCCATCTGCAGCCTCAAAAATGGCTACATACGTGCACAATCACAACATGCCCTGACCACGCACCGACTGAATGTCAGTCATGTGCACGGCACACTATTTTAGTCTCATCTCCTAAAATAGAACATAAACATTAAATGCGATAGCAGTAACACATTTAATCATGAATACCTGTACTGCATTTCGGACTTTGAACATCATCTTATTTTAGGAAGAGCAGAATTTAGGGTCGTCGACAGAGTACATGAGGAAATCTACACCTGTCTTATTCAAACTGACTGACAGAGTTTCTGATATTTTAAAGTAGGACTTAAGGCAAATGTGAACTCAATAAATTGCTCCATATGATGCCAATACAGGGATATTTTTAAAAATCACTAATTAAAACTGAAACAGAAAACACTGCTATTACGTCATTAGGAATTAAATGACTGATAATGTCATGAAAAATTGGAAAGACAGAACAAAGCACCTGTGAGATATAACAAAAAGATTAGCTTGGGCACCACAGGCACCCCAGTTGGTGAGGGGGTGAGGGTTACCATGCATCATGTGTTTGTCATGTGTTTATTTGTGTAGCTATATATCAGTTTGTAAAGTCACTATAGTGATTATAGCTGTCGAATAAATGTGGAGAAAAGAGTACAATATGAACCTCTGAAATATAAAGTAGCTTGAATGGAAATAAATAAGTAAAGCAAGTACACATAGAATTGTACATGGATATTTGTAGTTTGTTGCATCCCTCCACTGTAAAAAAAAAAAAAAAAATACAGCTGAATCAGGATCAGAATCAACTGCTGCAGACTTACTGAATCCAGTTGGAGAAAGGCCCAAATGCTTCATCCTTGTTCGCACCAGGGCGTTGAGTTCCTGCCTCTCTGAGCGCCTGAACAGGGTCAGTCTCTGCTGGCTGATCCTCTCTGCCGCGCTGCCCGGACCCCCTTTGGCCCCACTGGAGCTCCGACCCCCCTTCCTGCTCAGCCGCCGTGCCCACTGCATGCTCTTCCTCCTCAGCAGCGGGTGGTCTGACGAGTGGGAAGAGGTGGAGATGGGCTCCGAGGAGGTGGAGTTACGATGGGTGCTGGTCCGGGACAGAAGGGGCTCTCTGGGTTCTCTGGTGTCCTCGTAGTCTTCAACTGTGATGGATACCTGGGACTGAGACACACATAACCACATGCTGTCATTTTTATGTGGCGCAATCAACCTGCTATCATACAGATTATATTAAATCTAAAGTTCTTCCACAGTGCCGTTTGAAGATAAAAAGGAATGAATACTTTCTTGTCATAGTAGACATGAGTGATGAATGAAAGAAGCCCTATTTAGGTACAAAAATCAATCTGAAGTATCTTTTGTGTAACTATCCATCCTGCCTTGATGTTTTCTTATCAGTACCACATTAGCAAAGCTGTCAGTTCCCACTGCAGCATGTCTAATATATGTAGATTTCATTCAACTATGCAAGTGGTTTTTCTCTTATTTTTATAAATCTGTCTCACATAATGAATGAACATGTCAAAACTGAGATGACTGACTGTCTCCACATCTCTCGGTGTCTTCCAAACTCTGCATCTATTTGTTGCAAAACATGGACAAATTGAATTAGAATGAAAGATGCCTCCATTAAAATTTATCTTAGGGGAAATGCTACGCTGCTTGTATTTAATTCCAGTTATATTTGTGGAAAGCAAGACAGTGAGAGTTTTTACAGTCAATATATAGGTAAATCCAAGATCTTTATGAAGAGAGAGAGCTTAGAAAAAAATCATCTGAATGTATCGTCTCTCATAATCCTTTACATTAACACTGGGGGATTTAGTGAAGCTTGTAGCTGCTCTAAGTGCGAAACAAAGGTCACTAGACTTACATGGGCTTCTCAAAGATATTTAATCTGAAAGGCTTCTTTAGTTTTAACAAACTGGAGGGGAGTACCAGGCTTTTAAACCCACCAATCATGTGAGTCGTTAGGATCCCAGCGAGCACAGCTGTCTGAGGAAGGATCTCAGAACTGCATTGCAAGAGGCTGATAAGTGGCGCTGTAGACCACATCCTCAGTTTAGTGATGGTTGTTCCAGTTATTCATAGAAGGCTTCATTCAGTCATTTTTTGAATCATCAGTCTTCAAATGTGTACATTGTTGTCCTCCAGTAAATGTTCCCTGTCCTCCAGATGAGGATGGGAAGATGTGAGTGGTAACCCTAATGGCTGGAACTCCCCACTAGTCTGTTAGAACTGAAGCAGCCTTTTTGGATGGGACGCAGTAGTATCTTTAGGAAACCAAAGCAAGCCCAGTTGTCTTAGTTTTAGCACTTAGATATACCATGACCTGGATGACTGAACACCACAACATTTTTAGCCAATAAACTGAGAACTAGGCAAGAGAAGTGACTAACCTCAGAGACTGGAAGCTTGTGGGCTTCTGTACGGTAGATGCCTATGGGGATGTCTCCAGTGGAGGAGCATAATTTCTGGTAGAGCCTGCCATAGGTGCGGATCCACAAGTCATCTTCTGTGATTCTCATCTAGAAAACAAACAATAATCACTCTAAGAGGCACTTCGCAATCCCAACAGGCTGAATCCAAGCCGCAAGTGTTTGGCTACTTACAGCACAGAGGAAACCTGAGCCGGGCATGGAGTCCAAACCAAGCAGCAGCCTGGTGATGGAGATCATGTAGTCCTTCACAAATGACTGGCAGGATGACACAACAAACAAATCAAAACAAGTAGATCACACTTTGCACTTTAGCAAATGCTAAGGATGAGGGATCTTTGTTATTAAGTGAGAGTGTGTTTGGCAAACCTGGTAGAGGAGAGTATCCAGCATGCTAACGCTGAAAACCTTCCCAGCAGCGAAGGGCAGGCGGAACATAAAGACCAGGTTGGACCCCTTTTCCCTTTCCTTCTGCAGATCAAACACAGACACAGACACACACACACATACACACACACACATACACGCACACAAAGGAGATCAGATGAAGAGATAGCGAAAACCTATCATCTTTTTAAAAAACAATTTCTTTGAACTGTTACAGCATCAAGCCTCCCTCAGCATGCACCGGGATGAAGGCAACATGACACTCAAGAAGTTAATGCTAAAAAAATGACATTCATTCTCACAGTCAAATTACAGTTTCGCACTGCATCTGATTTGCATGTTTTTGCAAAGTGGGATTAAACCAGAAAACCCCCCAACATGCATCGAGATAAGACTGGAAATCCACAAAAGGTCGCTCCTACCGTGAGGCAATATCTTTTTCATAATAATGTTACTCCCATATTGAAATTCATTTTAAGATGTGATGTCAAGCAGTGACTAATTTACTGCTTTGTTGATGAATGTTATTGATGCCCAAGGGGGAATTCATTAGCTGCCACACAGAGAACAACATGAACAGCAATAAGAGATATTAAAAAAAGGCAAGCTGAAATGGGGGAAAGAATAAAAAACCACAAGGCTCTGATCTATTATACATTTTCCGATACTGTAAAAAATATATATATAATGGCTAGGACAAAAGATCTTTGCGATTTTTCATTAAAACAAAGCATCATTTACAGTGTTTTGATTTTTTTTGTTTCTACATCAACTGATAATGTGAAACAAAGACCTGCTGGTATTTTTTTCCTCTTACTTTTTTCATTACGATCACAAGAAAACAGAAGTTTTGAAGTTGTGAAGCTGTTACCTTTTCCAGTTTGGACAGAGCTAGGGAGTAGTGGTCTTTGACTTTGAACTGCATGAAGCGCATGTTGGCTGGATGTGTGAGCTCTGTGATGATACTAAGAGCTGGAAACAGTCTGGAAGGAATAGACAGAGACAGAATGAAGAAAAAAAAAAGCACCTTAAGCTAGTGTGAGAGAGAAAAACTACGGGCAAAGCAGACCTGAACAAGGTCTGGACGTTGACGATGGTCTTTGCATCAGCCATATAGTCCTCCTCCGCAATCATGGAGCTCTCCTTGTCAACCACCACCATGGTGCCAGCGAATGTGACTCCACATCGCAGCAAACTGTCCAGACTGTGGAGAGAGTTAAAAGAGACGGATGTGGGAAAGGGATCAGGAAGTATAAGATCAGTTTTGAAGAAGAGGAAATTAAGTCCTATGAAAGTGAAAGAAATGAATGAAAGAATAATATTTAAGGACATAATAAAAGACGAAAATAAAGAAGTAAATCAGTTGGGGGATTTGTTCTGCCTTACTTGTCGATGGAGCCCACTGTGTAGAACACCATGGGGAACCAACAAATTGCCTCCAGGAAGTCTGCTTCAGGTCTGATCCAATCAAAAACACAAATAGACTTGAGAGTCCCACCAGTAGAGATTTACACAAACCATGATGAAGCCAGCGTTCTCACAGTGACAGACCCCTCTCACTCAGTCTTGAAAATACAACACAGCCAAACTGCCTGCAGAGAAAGCTGAACATAACAGCACTACACTGAAGTGACTCAGCATTTTATTGCCTTTTTATTGGATTCCACTCTCATTTGGCCGACTGTGTTTGTGTACCAGCCACAAAACACGACACAGGATTGTGGAGCACATTGTCCTGAAAGCATTCAACATTTCACAAATCATGTTTACTGTGACCTTAAATAGCCACATTTTTCTTCTCCACTTGCTATTTACGGAGGAACTCATTTTACTATACTGTGCAACCTAGATTTGTAGCGCTACCGTCACGCTCACAGCAACGATTCTGGATAACACACTACCATGTAAATCTGTTTCTGTTTGAAGCTGAGTGTACAATAATAGCTACTGCATCACGACAAATAATACACATGTCCTCACATGCTCTCCAGCAGCAGCACGATGGGGTTGAGCTCCTTCCTTGGTCGGTAGTAGGCCCGTAGAGGCACGATGAAGTTGTAAAGACCGTTCCCTGCACTCTCCGCAGACACAATGATCAGTTTGTTTTTGAAGCCATAGGAGCGGGCATCCTCAAAAGGAATGTGGTGACAAGCCTAGGAGAGACACAACAATGTCACTAGATGATGGCTGTGGCAGCTTGTAAAGCAAAGACAGCAAAGCCATCTATTTTCCTCACCTTGTCCATGCGCAGGCAGCAGAAAGGCATCTTTTCTTGTAGAAGGTGGCACAGTGCGGGTGAGCTACCGATGTATGGAGAATTTAGCGGGTAACCCTTCACCCACCTGCAGCACAAGCCCACATTTACATCTGAGCATACATATTTATTTCAGCACACCCATGTGCACAAATGCAAACAGTGCACTTACTCGCAGTGTCGACCCCACCAGTGGGCGCTCTCATCTTTGTCGCTGTCCTCCTTGCCCTCCTCTCCTCCCTCGTCCTCTGACTGGTCTCCCAGCAGGTCAAATGTGGGGTTGTTGACACCGTCCACCAGCTCCAGGACGGGGGCAATGCTGTGCCGTCTCTCTTCTGCTGAGTCTCCCATGGCAGGCAGAGCCAAGGTGTTGGCACCTCCCATCTCTGTCCTGGAGCTGCTCCTGCTTCCTCTCCCACTGCCCAGCCCTGTGCCTCCTGGATCCTGGCCTTCTGGGCTGCTGTCGCTGGAATCCTGCAGGTCGATGGCAACTGTGCCTGAAACACACACACACTCGCAGTGATGCTCGAACTCTGAATTCAGTTGTAGAAAGGAACACAGATATCTGAGAACACACACAGTAATGAGAGCATTGAAAACCAGTGAGCTGGTCATTTTCTCCACTAGGTGGTGTGTTTGTAGAGCCACAGTATCTGACATTTCAGCTCACTTGGCAGTTGCTCTTATCAAGTGTGACTTATTATCAGATACATGTTAATTCTTCTGCAAAGCAAAGATTTTTTTTTTTTATCTTCCACATAGATTTCCAATGCAAAAACTGTATAATTTGACAGCTGTGACCGTGCTGCTGTCTAAGATAGTTTAATGACAGGTTTGCATATTTGACCAACACAGAAACTGCAAGCAGAAGGTCAGTGTGTAAATGTTACACAGTCTTTGTGCTGTGCCCATCTGACTGACCCATGCTGGCGATGATACTGTGGACTGGCAGGCGGGTGAGTCCGTGGTAGATGGTTTGGTGCACTCCCCTGGCATTTCCGCCTGTGCCGCCCCACGACGGTTCCCTCTGGCCCCTGACAAATGCTGAGTTCTCCTCTTTCGAGATATTGATGTAAAAGCATGTGTCAGAGGCCCCCATGATGTGGCATGGACCAGGGTTCAGCAGGATGTTGGTGGTGTCCAGTCTGCGCACTCCAATCAAACATACTCCATACCTGCAGCCGCACAAACAAGGTTAGCTTTGCACAGTGCAGCTTAGTATCTTAGGCTTTCTGACATCATGACTTACTTTTTGTGAGCATGAAAGGAGGCAAACGTGAAACTCTTGCCCTGGTATTCCCCAAAGAATTTACTTTCTTCCAGTCGAATGTGATGCACCTCGTTGGCTGAGCAGCGCCGGTAGGTCCGGTGCCATTGGTCCGCTGAACACGCGCCGCCCTCCCTGAGACATAAAAAGAGGATTGATTGGCCATGTGAGGAAAGCGTGACCTTTAAAACATGTTCTACAAACCCTCCAGCTCAGCACCAACGCCACATCAGAAGATTTTCCATCAAGGTTGCAAAGGTAACATCTTCCATCTCTGTCAGAGCTGCTGATCGATACTTCAATCAGCACATGGATGTAGACAAGGACACACAGCCCGCGTGAACAATAGGCCCCAGACACACACATTCATACAGTTAAGAGGACAACACTTCTCTCTTAGGGATATGGCTTTCGACGTGAAGGCTAAAGAGGTGATAACAGTAAGCAGGGGTAGTGTGGGGGCAGTGTGAATGTGGGTGGCCTGCAACAAAGACGGCATTATATAAACAAGTGTTATAGCAAATTTGCAGTTTACACGAACTAAGTGCAAGGCAAGGGAGGAGGAGGACAAATCCTAGTCATGTAGCATTGTCACAGCCAATAAACCAAATGGCATCAAGTCCAGATATAGAAGCATACTTACGAAACACGCTGCTTTTAAATGTTGAACTCATTCGTCGGTCTGTTAGCTCTGAAGAAACTTCTTTCGTATCACTCGTAAATACATAGATTTTCATATGTAATTAAAGAGTTAGTCATATTTGTGTTTTCTGCCATTCATATGTGAAAAAGTTCTATTTATTGTATGGGTTTGTGTACAAGTATGACTGAAACAAAGCCTTATTCCAACCCATGGAAGCTTTGAACAAGTTAAAAAAAATTAGGAATTTGGAGGCTGTCCTTACAAATTTGAGTTAGACCTAATTTATTTTGAGTCATTTTTGTGTGGGTGCTCTATTTTTATTTATTTATTTTCTTGTTTGTTATACTTATGGAATGTGGCTTTAAAATGAAAGTCATATCAAAGTTATCGTAAAAATATGCATTTAGTCCAGCATCAAAATATCATGTTTAAATTGGAATATTTTTCAACTATCACTGCATATTTCCATAATTATGAAGAGCTGCTATTGTGTACAAATACTCCTGAACACTCTTTCAGAACACGTTGCCCAAGTAACAGTCTGGTGCTGGTTACAGTCACTTATTGTAAGTGATAAACCGAAAACTAAAAGAGCGTAATATTGGTCACTTTAAGCAGCAAGTGAAACTTGTTAATAAACAAAACATGGACGCACTCAAATACTCAAATGTCATCTTCTGCCATTTTAATGTTCTTTTTTTTTTTTTTCTTTTACAGATTTGATTAAAGCTTCACAAACATCAGAATATGCACATTCCCTGATTTCTGGGTATTTTAAATGAGAGTGTTCAAACCTATACTGCCCTTCTGAACAGTGATTATATTGATCATAAATGACTAGTGGGCTGCAAGGAGGCTCGGTGGTTAGCACCATTGCCTCGCAGCAAGAAGGTCGCTGGTTTGCGTCCCGGTGAGGACACCCGGGATCTTTCTGTGTGGAGTTTGCATGTTCTCCCTGTGCAGCGTGGGTTCTCTCTGGGTTCCCCGGGTTCCTCCCACAGTCCAAAAACATGTTGAGGTTAATTGGTGATTCTAAATTGTCCGTAGGTGTGAATGTGAGTGTGCTTGGTTGTCTGTCTCTAAGGGTAGCCCTGTGATGGACTGGTGACCTGTCCAGGGTGTCCCCTGCCTTCACCCTGAGTCAGCTGGGATAGACTACAGCCCCCCACGACCTTATTGAAGATTAACCGGTGTATAGAAAATGGATGGATAAATTACTAGATCGTTTTTTGTTTTACAAAATCACCACAGATTGCAGGACTTCAGTGGAAAGTGAGCACAAGTATGGAAATAGAAAAAAATGCATCCTACCTATTGAGGGCTTGAAATGCTCCTACACGCTGCTTAAAGGCCTCTTGGGGTGCCGTTCTGAGAAGAAGAAGAAAAAAAAGAAGATGAATGACAGTGAGGAGGTATGGAGCAGCTGGGTTCACTTGGTTATAGCTACTGTACAGTGTCTGTGACTGTCGAGACGGTGGGAAGTTAAATAGAATGAATGATAGGGAGAAAGAAAGCAAGTGAACTTACTGTCCTCTAGAGGAGTGGATCAATAGAGTGATGAGAGTTGAGGTACCAGGGCACACACAGTTTAAGGCCAGCATAGCATACTTAAACTCTTCTTCACACACCACATGATCTGCAGATACAGAGACAAGACAAGAGGGACAAAGTGACTGAGGTCATACAAGCCTCAGAAAGGCATCAGTCTTAGTAAACGATAATATGTCAATATGTTACATACATCAATAGGTTAGGACCAAGGACTAATTAAGCTTCTCAACGGGCCAATAAGAGCACGCAAATCCATTAAAAAAGAGCTATATATAGTTAAACTGTGGTGCTTAAAGTAGGACTTCAATGATTATTTTCATCATAATGTTAGTGTTTTGTTTTAAATCATTTATTTTATAAACTGAATAAAAAAATATCACAACATATTCCATCTTGTTTAATTTGTTTAAGTAGCAGCGCAAAACCCAAATATATTCAAGAAACAATGACATTAAGCAGTGAAAAACAGGACATTGCCCTTTAAAAAATAAAAAATAAATGGAATATACACACACACACACACACACACACACACACACACACATATTTGGGCTGTGTGCCTTTATTCAGAGCAGTAGAGATCAACAAGAAAGGGGGAAGAAGAGTGGGGAAAGACCTGCAGCAAAGGGTCATGAGCGGGAGTCAAACTCACGAGCGCTGCGTTGGGGAACTATAGCCCCTGTTTATGGGACTTAGCCAGTTGAGCTCCGGGGTGCCTGACATTGCCCCCTTTTGAGAATCTGCAGCAGCAACTAATTGGGAATGTTTGCTTCCTATATTTCTACATTAAAATGATCATTTTGCAATCTTCTGTAAACCAGTGATAATTAAATGAATTAGGTTAACAAACCAAATGTTTCATCGCAACTGCAAAGCATTAAAAAAAACATTTGAAAAACTAAGTAAGCAGCATATCTTTCCATCATAAATGTGTCAGTTAATAATGTGGAGAGCTTAACTGGAGCTTTGCACTGAAGAAATATTTCCAATGAAAACTGTTTGCTGCGACTCTTGCAAACAGTGGCATGCATTTCACTGTGTTAACATGCCTCTATTCTTGACAATAAAAGGCACGAGCCCACACTCAATCAAATGTCACCATCTTATGTTGGAAAACGACTAAATGCCACTTGATGTTTGGCGAATACAGCTGTTTCAAACGGGCAGCGCTGTCAGAAATCCTCTCGCCCCTGTTTAGACACATTGGCTGTTGACTCAAATGGGATCAATGTTATGTCACCGCTCAGGTTTTTTCGGGGGAAACGGACAGACCAAGCAACAGGCCAGTGATTCACTGCCAGCCCTTCGGAACCACCTTTCATTCACATCATTGATCATTTAACATAACCCTGCTCATGAACCAACCAAAACCAAACTGAACAAACACAGATGACAGCCTCTCAATTACCTGTTGCCACACAGCCTCCTCTTTGAAAGGAAAAACCAACAGAGCGATTATTGTTTGTAGTAAGCCAATCAGTGGATCGGGCCCAGGGAGCATCCATTTCCCCTGCTGTGTAATTCTTGATTGCATTATCTTCAGTAATGAGTGCACAGGCGTATTAAGGCGGCCTTGTTTAGCGACAATGTTGAGTTTGGTCCTAAAAGCACAATATGCGCTCTGTATGACAAGATAATTGGTGAAAAACGTCAGAGCTTGACGTGAAATATCAAACTGGATCACCTGCCTGTTTGAGAGAGGGAAGGCCAGCTGGAATGTAAATGCAGCTTGTGCTAAATTAATGAAGTATGCGTGTGTGTGCCTGCGGCCAGGCAGGTGAGTGATATGACAATTAAAACTACTGATTGTGAATCTTCCATTGGAGTACCAATGTTCTTTTGGCTGAGAGCAGCACATCATGATGCAGCTCACACACAAACACACACTCTTGCTATTCAGGCTGTGAACTTATTTCAAAGCGGAAGCTTTTATAGAGCAATGGGCTTCTGAAGCCTGCAGCAGATAGACAAAAACCTTACCGTTACAATCCACCCTCTCTGACCACCTCTTACACACAAACATGTGCCTGCTCCCACAGCACACAGCCACTGGTAGTCACACATCAAATTGAATTGTCACCAATATTCAATTTCCAATGTCCTTCTTGCACCTCTCTTCACCACTTTGATCCTTTCCCTTTCCATCTTCTTCTCTGCTTGTCCTTCACCACAGCCCTCCATCTTAAACTCTGTCCTTCAGGTCAGAAACCAGGAGAGAAACCAGTTACCGACCTCAACACACTGTTCACACAAACACATTCCCTTTCTGTCGTTCTCGATTAGAAGACGTTGTTTTTTTGACCCATCTCCTCATGCTGCGTGTTGTTTTCTGTTCCAGATATTAGCTAAAGGTGGAATCCTGTATGTGCAAATATGTATGAGTGTGCAAATGGGGTTATTCACAACCTCTGCAAGAGAGCAATTCAGCCTGACCACAGGGCCACAGGTTGAGCTAATTAATTCAGTAGGATGTTATTTTTTTTGCATCAACACCGTGCAGCTACAGTACATTGAGCTCAGAGGGTGAACAGCTATTGTTGTTCAAAACTGGGACAACAATCAATGGACGCTCTCTTCTGTTTGGTTACTCAGACACCTTAGGGTTTCCTGCCTTGCTGCTGCATCATACCGACAGATCTTTTCTAATGAGTGTCGAGCTGTTATTAAGCTATTTTTTGCCCATCAAATTAAATCTTGTATCTCTTGCTCATTAATGCCTCCCACACCATCACTTAGTGAGTATATTTCAAGTGGTGTCAAAATATGACATTTGTAGTCACAGTAATGCCCATGTGACTGCACGCTGGTTTGTTCTCTGACTCTATCTGTTGTGACTTTGGGTTTAGGGGACATTAAACTCAGCTTATTATGAAGTTTGCTTTGCTCAAAGAGTTTGAAGGGGGGGACTTCAGATATCACTACAGTCCAGTAGGCATTATGCATTCAGCACTGAATAGCAATGAGTGCATAGCTAGTGGAGATTTCATAAGAAACAATATCAACATCGACTAATGCTAAGCTAATATATTCAAATGAATGACGAGGATATCTCAACATGTCAACCACTATGTTAGTGTGAGATAACACATGAGCGCAGCTCTCATACATGTTACAGCTGCCAAATTCCCAGCAGAGGATATTCACCCCACTGAGCTTGCTGCTAATCACATGCAGCAGAAATGGGTGAGATAATGGAAGAACATGAATTTATCTTTCCTCCTAACAATTCCCTCCTTGTTATTAACAAAAGGCCACAGTCTGACTGAAGCAGTGCGGTGTTTAAACAGCACTGCAGGAGGATTGCCTGCGGGGAGAGCTCGTCTGCCAGGTTAGTGCAACGGCAGAACTCATCAAAAGAAGGGGATTTTCTTTGCCAAGGTAGCAAAGTAAAACGTTAATCATTGATAGAGACAGCTGGGATGAGGGCGGCGAGCTAGAACTGAGTTTGACGTTCTCCAGGGCTGTAGGCAGAGAGATGTGTGAGAGAGAGAAAAGGGTGAGATAGAGTTTGGGTCCTCTTCTTTCACTCGCAGATGATTGACTGGCATCTTCTGTTGAGCAAGAGACGAAGGGATGCTCTCCAAAAGGGGATGTAAAAACTCACAGAAACCCTCAGACGGCTTAGAGCCAAGCCAAGCCAATCTGTTGAGCACTTCTTCAGAGCTGGGAGGAGCGAGAGCTCTGCTGGTGCACAAGCCCCTGACAAAAAACTTGTTTCTGTCTTACAATTCAGGCAGACAAACTCAGGTAGAAAATGGAACGGCTGATGTCACACACTATAGTGTAGACATGACAGCTCAGTTTCCAATGTGAACATAACGCAACCCTGCTGTAGCAAAAAAGAAATGCTTGCGTAATCTTCCATATTTTACGGTGCTACGTACTATCACTGGTAACAAAACTCTGGGATCAAGCCAAGCAAAACATCCTGTCAAATTGGACCAGGTAGATGTATATTTTAGTAGGTGTCATCCAGTTTTTTCCAACATCCAGATGTGATCAAATAACAGTAGCTGGATCCAACCAACACACACACACACACACACACACACAAACACACACCTTGAGAGGACATCTCAAATCACTTCCAACTTGTTTGATTTCACACTCACTGCCCACCTGCAAATTTCACATGAAACTTGTTCTCTGGCTTGAGAATCTGGACGTACAGGGGGCAGTTTGGAGCAAAGTCTTTCACTGCCCAAGCTCTGAGGATTGTCTGATGATCCTGAGAAAATTGGAGACAGAGTGGAGCGAGATAGACAGAGTGACAGCAGGGGGGAGAGAGATAGAGGGAGAGACAGAGGCAGAAACCCATCAGCGGCAGCATCAGATTGGAGCTCTGCTATTATAATCCCCTTAAACCACTGATTACATATACCGACTGAATGGTCCTTGCAACATTTCAGAGTAATACAATTCTGACATTTCACGACAGGCCGCGGCAAGACCACGGAGAGTGAAGCGAGCAAGACTGGTCCTCGCAGCTCTGTGAGACACTGCAGTGCTTTGAGCTAAAGGGTGAGCAGACTAAAATGTGCTAATTAGCACTAAACACAAAGTACAGCTGAGGCCGACAGGAATATTTAAACTGTTGACCTCACAGATCAGGGAATATAAGGCTTCACCACTGTCTTGTCCCTTTATCTGATGAGAAACATAAAGGCATTGCCATTTTTTTGGCAATCCATTCAATATGAGACATAGTATTTTACAAAACAATGTAATTAGAATGTGCAGAATTATAGAACGAGACTGTCCAGAGGATTTATTCTCTGGGGACGTTGAATGTTTAAGTTTTAGACTGAGCCACCCAGTCACTGCTGGGACATTTAAGTCTAAGAAATAAAGAGGCTACATGACCAATTGACTGCACCAAACGTTAGTCAAAAGATCTCAGCCTTCCTAACAAGACAGCACCCTCACATATGTGCGATATGGGTGAATTTTCAGAGTTGAAGGTTGCTTTCATCTCTGCATACAGTTGACTTTGTGTTTCCTGTTAAGAAAACAACAGGTGAAATTTAATGTAGTTCTCATCAATTGTGGCTCGCTTCATTTCACTTCATCTCTGGTTTATTTGCTGTGACAATAAGCTGCCGTAACATTCAGTGTGAAATCCATAGTGTTACTTAAACACATTGTTATTCACTGTCATGTCATGCAGCACCATTAAACACCCCACATCTTGAGTTTCCTTTGTTGTGCCTGATTGTTGTTCCTCTGTGATGTCAAACCTATATTTTTTCACTCTGGTTTAGACGTTTTTGATGTACAATTATCATTTAAGTGGAATCTTATAATAATATAACTAAATAAGCAAAGCAAATATAAAAAGTCAGCCAGTGAAGTGGCATGAATTCCCGTACTACAAAAGCTGCTTTGCAATAGCTATTCTTCATAAAGAAAGGTCCAGAAAAACGGTTTACCACATGAGAATAAAATCTGAAAGTAAAAGTTTTTACAAAATTCTAAGACTGTTTTTTGGCTCAGTATGGATGTTTGGCATTGTGAGGAGTCACGGCGATACAGGGAAACAGTGAGGAACGTACAGCAGCAATGCGATCCACTTCAAACCGGTTACTGAGGATAAAGCAGGCCTCAGCATCGTCCATCCTGCAGGTAGTTAGTAGAGCATGTAGCCATGGGAGCGAGAGAGATAGAGTAGTAGAGAGGGAGAAAGAGAGACAAAGAGAGAGAGAGAATTGGGGAAGCAATGAGACACAGGAAGGAGGGTGTTGTCATGTTATTGAGGGAGAGGATAAAAGAGGAAGAAAGTAGGACAATAGAACAACAAATGTACCAATGTGTCTTTCAAGCCCACGCCATTTAAAGATGAGATAGGAGGCGAGGAGACGGGGAGATTAAACAAACAGGCTTTTGCTCCTTTTCTTTCTCTGTGCAGCCAGCCTAAGGTGCTGCGTCTGTATTATCAGAAGCCAGGGGGCAAACAATAAGCAATATGACTCAAACTGTAATTACAGCTGTTACTTCAAGGCTGTAGGTGCTTTAGGAATTAATTACGAGCTACAGCTTCTACAAGTGAGACCCTTTGTTTCAAAGCGTCCATACTCAGGTCTACTCTGGGGCTGGTTTGGGGCTTGACTGCTGCAGAATTATTTTTGCAATAACAATGCTTTCAAAGGATTTGTAGAGTTAGTAAGATGGTCACAGTGACTCACTTGGCCCTCATCAGGTCCTGGTCTTTGAGGGCTGAGCCCTGCAGGTAGATGACTCTCTGGGCCCACAGAGGAACATGCAGGACCCTTCTAACCTGGACATCCATCTCTGCTGGGCAAAGGATCACTACGTAGTAGTCCTACACATGTACACACATACACCCACAGTTTGTATTACGACGAAACATGCTTTAGCCAGAAACAAGAAAGATGCAGGCCCAGGTGTGTTTAGGCAGAATTTGCACTGTTATACTTGTTAAAATGTTTTCATGCTTGCAGAAGTCATAAGATGTTTTTTTTGTTTTGTTTTGTTGAATCCCAAATTTCCAAATTCACAGACCGAACTAAAAGGCAGAGAACTGACTCTACCCCAGCTTCACTCTAAACCTATACATTAGCCACCTGGAGGTGAGAACCAGTCAAGATTATTCCCAGATAAATAAGTAAACATTTGCACATGGATGGACCCTAAACCAAACACGCAGATGTGAATAAGACATCAATTTTATCCTTGCCATTATAGATTTAATCCTCTGTTTTAACCTCAGCTGCTCGGGCTCCTGGAGAGGATTACAGACAACAAACACACACCCACAGGACCCCCAAAACCCCCTCTTGTCCTATTTAAAACGATTTGGAAAGACCTGCAGCCGAGGGTGAGCGAAGAACTCATTGAGGAAGTCCATGAGGAGATCGATCTTGAGACAGCTGACACACAGCACCACGTGTTTCTCCGTCTGTGCCCTGTAACGGCTGTAGTTCCCCCCAGACTTCTGTCGCTCCATCCACAGAAAGGCCAGCTGCTCAAACTGCATTTAGGACGACATCCATCACATTCAACAGATGGAAAGTGGATTAAGTTAGCTGGAATACAGGGAGGAGCCAGGTGGTTTATGAAAAGAAAACAATGCCTTGTATTGTATAGTGTTTCCATTCGATTAGGGAGAGTGTTTGGGAGAATTAAGATAAGTGGAGATCTGAGTAAGGGTGAATGGAACGTGATAGCAGAGATTAACAGTGGAGGACAGGTAGCAGAAAGAGTAGGTTTGAAGAAAGATGCACAGATTTTAATCAGTGGGCTCAGGATGGTTGGATGGGCAGTGGGAAGTGTCAAGATTTAGCAGATAAACTGATACAACCTAAAAATCTAATTTCTTATGGATTTAAACCACCAAAAAAAAATTTTTTTTACACTTGTCATCTCAGTCATCTCAGAGAGAAACAAATAGTCTTTGTCCTGTTTGTCACTGGTGCTTTCAGCTGGTCCAGCATGAACTATCATGATGCAACTTTATCTCATCCTGTGTAAGCAAGAAAAGTGCACCTCCTCAAAAATCATACACTGTAGTTGCTACGACTTGTTGGTGGCATTTCCATTTTTTTCTCCCAAGGGTCTTACTTTGAGCGACAATGTCATGTCTATGAAGCCAGTGCCTCAGATATTGAACCCTCTACTTGCTGTTCTGCAGGTCCTCAGCAGCAACAGCAGCAATGAATGTGAATAGTGTTTTAAAACATACACAATGGCCACATAGTCAGAGTTTGATAGACACATTTCATTTGTTTTTGTGTTTTTTTCCTTGGGAGCAAATCATTTGTAAGGAAACATTCAAGCCTCCATTAAAAGGCACTGAGATTTGTCTTAATGAAAACCTTTGAATAGGCGAAAACTGAATTGTAAAGAAGAAAAATTACATTATTTTTTTAAATCAATATGTTTTAAGGCTCAAGAATAGACAAAGTGGCTCGTTAGGAGGCACATTTGTGTTGTGGACAGGTACAGGAAAACCAAGAGAGGCAGCAATTAGAAAAACACAGTAGCAGAATCCTGATGTGCTCTGTGATTCCCCTGTGCAACCTGGATGGAAACTGGTCATGGCAGGACAGAGTCAGACAGAAGGACAAAGACACACACACACACACACACACACGCAGACAGGTTGGGGCTTTGGGGTTGGGGCTAAGGGGGGCCAGTTTCTAAATGTCAAGGGGTATTTATGGATGAAAGATGGGGAGAGGGAGTGGAACGGATGACATGGTGTCCATGCCAGCGATGGATGAAGCGTTGTGTCTTTATGAGCCGACTTGTGCAACTTTGGCAAAAGTATCTTTATGCCCATGTTTTTTTTGGTTTTGTTTTTTCATCGAGGTTCTGTGAATATATTTGCAACCAACAGGCCACAGCTGATGGAACGACAAAAAAACAAAACAAGACAGTGAGATCTTGTTCAATCGCTGTTTGATCATGCATGCGTAGGATGCAGTCCTACACCTACAGCACAGTATGTGTCTGCTTGCGTGATGGCACCAAAAAAAACAAAAAAGTTACCAACGACTTGTAGCATCATTGCTTGTGACTTGCTTATCAGCTGCATGTGTGTGTGTGTGTGTGTGTGTGTGTGGGTGTGTGTGTGTGTGTGTGTGTGTGTGTGTGTAAGACAGATTTCCTGCCCAGAGAGACCTCATCTAACTGCAGTTACACAGAGGATCTTCATCCTATTAGCACCTTCACTCGTTTTGGGAGACAAACAGGTATGTCAGCTACCTCAGGGATAAAAGGCTTACACAAATATGAGGTAGCACTGTTGGGATACAGTAGAATTGCATTTGTCAAGGTGCGTTTATCAGTCCCTGTACAAATGGTTCCTCTAGTTTCTGTCATAAGGTTTCCTTTGTGGAGCAGTTAAATGACAGGAGAGGGATTTAGGGAATTGAGTGAGTATAAAAGACAGTCTTGTTGCACTCTGAATAAAAATAGTGTTGTAAATCTACGTAGGATGCAATGAGTCATCATTGGGGATGGGGGCAGGGATGGGGGGGGGATTATTAGCATTAAGAGAGAAAAGTTTGCTGTGTTCCGAGTGTACTAAAGAAAGCAAATTGGCTTTTACAAGTGGTGAAACATTCTCTGTTAGAAATATTGCAAATTTTTCTGATCACCTTAAAGGCACATCTGTGCTTAATTTAACCCAATATTTTCTACCGCCATATAAACTGGAGGACACCTTGGTGTGGCCATGTTGGCTGCTCAGGCAGTTGAACTGAGAATAAAATATGAACGGGTTGAAATGTTATTTGTCTTCAAGGGTTCCTCAGCTTATCAAATCAATGTATGCATCAGAATTTCTATCTACAACTCCCCTTTAAGCTTTCTATTTTAAGCAATACCTCAAACACCAACTACATCTTTTTTATACCTACTCGTTTATAATCATACTAAAGCTTGTTACCATTGTTTCTTACCTGGATGGGAAGCACAATAAGTGCCACAAAGATCATGATGACAACGAGGAGCTGCGAAGGCCAGATCTGAGGGGTGACATCTCCGAAACCCACGGTGGAGAAGGTGACTACGCAGAAGTAGAGCGAGTCAAACAGGGTCAGATTGTTGCCCGCTCGTTCGAGGTGTTGAATGCCGCAGATGCTGAAGGAGGTGAGCGGGAAAATTGGAGAAAGTAAGAAAAGGAAGTGAACGTCACTGAGAAAGAGACTTCGCGTTGCAAGTGAAGCACAGGTGCCCATGGAGGCCATTATCCATGGAGACCTGGTTTTCACACCTGTGCTTATATGTGTGACTTTGTATATGTGGAGGAATAGAAGCACGTTTAAAAGACTTTATCGAACATTGTGTATTTCTGCATATAAGTGTGCAAGTGCGAGATGCACGTATTATCGCTATCTTTAAGTGATAGATGCATCAACAGAAATGTCAACTCTCAAATGGTCAGAGAGCTTAACTCATGCTGTGTGTAGGATCTTCTGGATTAGCTCTGGCTTTCGCACCAGATAGGCAGCAAGCTCACACATCCTCCACTGCACTGAAGCCATCACCAGTTGTCATTTCAGAGCAGTATCTCACTCTTGCAGTTACCAATTACCGTTCGGCTTTCTGCCTTTCTCTCCCTTAGCTTTAGGAGCAGCATTTTTCCCTCTCCTATCTCTCTTTCCCCCCCTGCATTTATCAAGCTATTGCTTCTCCATCTCACCCTCTTTCTCTTCCACATTTTGTCCATTTCTGTGACGCCTTTCACTTCCCGTTCACCCATAATTTAAAAGTCTCTCCTCCCTCCACTTGTTGCCCCCTTCTGAGTGTAGTGTCAGCGGTGAGGGTACCCACCACGTAAACATGAGACAGACCAGTGTGCTGATAAGTATCACCACCTGGTTAAACATGGCTGAGTGTGTCCGCTGGATTGCCCTGTGGAGATCATTCTGCAGAGAGACAGAAAGAAGTCCATGTATGGAAATGAGCCCAAGCGCAGCATTGTTTAAGTGTAAAATGAGGGTAACATGTGACAGATGGATAGTAGGAAAGACTTTTTTTTTTTAAATAAAAAAAAGAAAATGCCAAAGGACAATCTCAAGCAGCAAGGAGGACAGTTTATTAAAAAGTGTGCAGCAGCCTTAGTTAGCCAGATATCATTGGACAGGTGGGATCAGGGAATACTAAAAGCTTTATGAGCAAGTCCAATTTGTCAGTTTAAATATTTTTTTTGACTGATTTACCTTCATGGCAGATAAAGATAAAGCTGAGGAGCTGAAATGGGAGACAGGAAGGGATAAATGCATGCCAGCAAAATAACATAACAGAAGTGTTTAGATGAAAGCAATGGGAGAAATTGAAGAGGGACATAGTGCTTCACTTACTATCATGTTCTCCAAAGCGTGCTTGGCCAGCCAGCAATTGAGAAATACAGGGATGAAGAGATTTCTGAAGGAGGGCAAAATCACCTGTCAAGAGGAAAGAGCTTCAGTCTGGCTGTCTGTCTCGTCACCGTTTTTTGATATATGTTATACAGTCATGGCATCTCTGGCAGGGTAAGGGGTTGTTAGAGCATGTGTTTCGCTGTAGTATTGCAGCAGGTATTGGAGTGCGATGTGCATGCAGGACCAAAACAAATAGGTGCATAAGATTCCCCATCCTATCAGTGCTCAGTAACGCATATGCTTTCACTCACAGTGATCATGAAGGGAACAGCGCTGATCATCTCCAGAATGAAGGGGACACGTAATACTTGCTCCCATACGTTGCCCTGGAAACACAAGCCACACACGTGGGTCAGGAATCTCCATTGTTTTGGTGACCTTAGGGGATTACCACATAACAGGCCTGACTGCCACGAGTAGACGAAGATAAATTGATGAGCTCTTGCTCCATAGATATAGATCGGGATGTATATGGGTTATACAACTCCCCTGTGTCCTTTGAAAGAAGAAGCAGCATTACTCAGTTTCCACTGAGCCTTGCCATTCAATTAAGATGTCAGCCCCGGCTGTTTTTATGTGTCTGCCTCTTGCATATGCCTGACCTGAATCTGACTAGTGTAGGTGGACAGGCACAGGCTATGTCCACAGGAATCAGTCAACTCTAAATGCTAAGGCCTCTAGCCTCCAGAGTAATCTGCAGAGTGAGCCCTTCATAGGCTTATAGTGTCAAGTACATCAAAGGCAGGGCAACCCGTTGATGGATCGGCCCCCCACTGCCTCAACACAGGGGCCTCCCCCAAAGTCTTTCTGATGTGTTCAGAACTGGACAATGCCGAGGGAGCCCTACAGGACTCTGAGCGGCTTTCCAAAAGCAGAGGAGTAGCATCGGTGGAGAGATGGAAACCAGTTTAGTGGAAAGAAGTCGACAAATGCCACTGTCAAGCGTGTCACATCCATCCACACCTCCGCACACACAAACATGCCACACATGTAGACATCACAGCCACAGACATCACAAAAGGTTTCAGATCGGCCACTGGGTGCCACGAGAAGCTCACCTTGTAGCTTAGATACACCAGCAACATAGTTTCTGAAAAGCTGATGAAAGCCACAAGCACCTGCAAAAAGGGAGAGAGAGAGAGAGAGAGAGAGAGAGAGACAGTAAGACAGTGATGCAGCGATAGAGACACAGAGGGAGTTCAGACACAGAGAGAGGAGTCGAGATAGTCAAAGAGACCAGAGCAGAGAGAAATTAGGAGTCGCAGAGATGGAGAGCGTGGGTGGAATCAGTGGGCGTGCTGATGTTTGAGCTTCAGAGGGAACAGGTTTAAGTGAAGCAAGACACAGTCTGGTGTCTGACTGAACACATGCACATGTATGTGCATATAATCATACTGTAAGTGTAAAAGCAAGCCAAGTGCAGTGATGTGAATTCTGTGTTAATGCGTCAAAATAATGAGACGTAGGTTTAATTGCCAATTAACCAGCGAAGGAGAGTTTTGTGTCTGTATGTGTACATTCATGTGTGCAGAAATGAGCGCCGTTTACTCAGGAGTGGTCTGATCTATCTGACCTGCAGTCCCCACAGCGGTAGAGGTCTATCAACCCAGATGATCAGTTTCCTAAAGGGTGGAAAAAAGAGGAAATAAGAGAAAGTAAAAAAGAGAGATATGGCAAAAAAGATTTTTTTTTATTAGATAGATGCCACTAAAATGAACGAAATGTTAAAATTCATTTCTGTCCAACGCTTAATGGGTCCATGGACACAACTCATGCCACTACATTAATGTAAGTGTGCTGTTTACAGCTGAACAACAGTGGAGTGCACATCTGCAAGTGTGCTCTTATTGTAGGAGAAACATAATATTCAAACAGTCAAATGGAAATTTACAGCCTTATTGTGGGAGAAAGGCAGTCTTTTTTCTCTCTCTCCCAAAGACACCCTGGGGCTTATCATGGCTGCTTGCCATGAGTGCTATCTCCACTGATGCTACGAGTCTGCTGCCTGGAGCAGGAGGCAGCCCATCCCTTTCCTGAGCTCACTCTGTCAGGCTCCTTATTCATTTGGAGCCAGAGCTTAGCCAGTGTCATCAGCCACCAATTAGATCAATAGGTCTCTGAGCAGGAGACATGGCATTGCCTCAGGTCCGTGTACAATTTCTGGTTTCTCTCTCTCTCTCTCTCTCTCTCTCTGTGGTTGTATATTACATACTTTATCTCCACTAGATCGCTGTTGATTAGGCTGCACAGGCACTAGGTACATATTATGTTGACAGAGAATCCATACAGTTGGATTGTGACAAATGGAGGCTGATCTGTATTGCTTAATATCAACATTGTGGATTGGGTCAGTTAAGTGAAGTTGCATTGATTGTGTTATACAACATTTCCAACTGGTGAGCCAGTGTCAAGGATACCAGGCCTCCAGGGTGTGTGGTTTCATGGTCCTCGCCTGCAGGCCGAAGCCATCACTCTTAATTAGGACCTTGCATGCTTACCAGTCAAATTCACTCCAGGGACGGGATGATGTGTTTTGTTTGGTGCAGTTAATCCCGCTCACACTGCAGGGGGCAAAAAACACCAAAAAACAGCAATGATTACGACTTCCTTGTCCAGCACCTCTCACCAAAACAGCGTATCAGTTCACTCCCCAGTTGCATTTCCACCCCTTGTATTTTTCAACCATAATCTCACACCCAGTCCTTTAACCAAATACTCTGTACACACTGTTATCTAATCTATTGAACTCCTGTTCTTGTTTCTGCTATCTGGCCTTCACACTCACAGAGACTTTGTTTCACCTCATTAAGCCCCTGTTATCGCCATTTTTCTCACCAGTCCTGTCTTTCCTCTTGCGGGTTGTCTAGCAGGACTCTGACGATGTAGAGGAGGCAGCTCAGCACTTTCAGAGCAAAGTTAAACATTCGCACTCGCAGACCTGTGGTTAAAAAAAGAAAATAATTGCTCATTAAAAACAAAAATACGAGCATTGATATGGACGCATTTTTTCCCAGTGTTGTTATTCTTCTTAATGCATGATTTAAACATGTGCCACCGAATGAACTTCTGCTTGAGGCAGTGTAAAGCTGTATGAATCTATCACAAATGAAATTACAGTGAGGACAGGTCAAAAATGAAAGAAACAAGAACCCAGTAGCAGCTTGTGAGCCATCTACAATAACTAGAAAGCTTAGAGATTGTTCTCGAAAATACGATTCATCCCATCTTTAGTTCAACATTTACAGCAATGATGGACTGATTGCTATAATGTAACAGAAAATGTATATGTATGTTATCCTGACTGCTGCTACAGTAGTGGTTAAAGCAGTGGTTAGCCTTTATAATTCACATTAAACAGATTAAGCACAAAATAAACCCAAACATGAACTGTTTCAATGACTGTACGCATACTGGGGGAAATCAATGAGTCCACTAAAAATCCAAATCACTGCACAGACATATGAAACAGAAAGTGTGAAGAAGATGAATAACTGGTGATGAAATGCAGAGCAAGAGTGACAGTACATCACACGTTAAAAAGACACACATTTCTTCACCCAAAAATAAGATCAACTTGTGTAGAAACAAAGACAGACATACAGTTCGTTCAGTTACAAGACAGAGAAGGCATGATCCTAAATGCAGGCAACTCACTGGATCTTTGGTTTTTGATGAAGAACAGCTTGAGGCGCTCCTTGAAGGTGTTCTCATTCACATAGAACTCTACCTGCACCCTAAGAGAGGGATGGAGAGATGGGCAGAGTCAGTAAGAGGGAGCGAGATAGAGATAATGAGGAGTGTCAGAGGGGGGGGAAAAAAAAGAGAAAAAGCACACAGGACACGCTTCAGGTGACTGAAGAGATAAAATACTTCTTTTATGGAGTCAAGAGACAGAAGAGAGAAAACAAGTAGGGGGCTGGAAGATAAAAGAGAACATGACAAAAGTGAAGACCAAAAAGTGTGCAATTGAGCAAATTGGAGATAGAAAGGGCGATAATGATTATTTGAACACAAAGTATGGAAATAAGACACTGTGGCTGGCTACATTAAAGACTAATGGGTTTTGGAGGAAATGGTGTTCACTGCTTGTCCGCCTGCCCATAGGCCCAGACAGCTGCAGTCAGTCTCGTTATCTCCACTGATTAAATATAGAGCAACAAATTACTTCCCTCTGATGTTTCTGCTGAACATGGGAGGCCATAATTACTGCTCTCTCTACCTTTCCATTCTGTTAGAGGGACACATATGCACGCACACACACACACACACACACACACACACACCTACTGTACACACATGCAGCCCTAAACTGCTCACCTGCAACCAGGTCATTAGTATTATTAGACCATTCACATGCCCGTCTGACACCGATTCTCATGAGGAGATAAGACGAAAACGACAAAGAGCTGCTCTTGAGACAGCTCTTAATGTGTACAGACACATAATCAGACAGGCTGTAGGTGACTGTATTTCCTGCCTGACCACCTCAGGGGAGAATTCTCAGTAGCTCTCCTTTCATCCTATAGAGGGTAGAGTGGATGACTCAGGTTGAGGATGAAAAATGCCAGGCCTGGCACGCCGGTGGTCTTCTCACAACACACAGACAGATGAAAGAGAGGCAGAACAACTGCAATCTGTTCTCCTGTCTGCAGGAAGAGGAAGAGGTGGCTGTGGGGGGGGGGTCTTCCCAGGGTTCCAGAGTGGCACTATACCAGCACCCCACATGGCCAGACACACAGAAACAGAACAGAACCACCACACCCTCCCAGCAACATTTGGGGGTAGGGGGTGGAGGGTGAGGGGGGGGTTTGGGTGGAAATGGGTAAGTAAAAGGGGGGTGGGGGGGTAACGTTCCTCTCTGTTACTATGGTAACACAGAATTCATTGTCGTTTCCCTCCCTTTCACATGAACAGATGTGAGCAAACATGCACTTGTGAAGTGTGCCCAGGCATCAGAGCTGATAGCCCCGTTGCAACTTGTTGACGGCTCCCCTTCGCTCTGAGCAGATTGCTGACAATAATGCTTTTGCACACATGATGAAAAAAGAAAGAAGGTGCAGATGTGCACAGCTCCCCGGGCTCACAAAAGCCCAAGGGTGTGTAATTGCACCTTTTGATTAGAAAATAAACAGCATTTCTCATTCAGATTTAAAAAAACAAACAAACAAATAAACAAAAAAATCACTATAGCAACAAGAACTGATAACCTCATTTCTATTACATGAAGCATCATCAATCTAATGATGGCAGCAACAGACTCACTTGGCACTTCTTCCTCTTTTTAAAAGCCACTATCAGAAATTACAGTGAACTGTTTTGTTTCAGGTGCATATACAGTGTTTCTATTAATACTTTGCTTAGAAAATAATCAAAAAGCATCAAATGGAGCTTTATAACCAAAATGTATTTAAAAAGTAACCTCCAAATCCTCTATAAAGCAATCAGGTTATAAAACAAACATCCAAAGAGATGATAATATAAGCAGAAACTCGCATTGAATTCGGCTTCCCACACTTCTACTGCCACTGACAAGATTGTTGCACTTCAGAAAAGCTCAACAGCAGCAGGTCATCGCCTTCAAAAAAAACAAAAAAGCAAAAATGGTAACTGCTTAGAATTTTGTTTTCCATTGAGTGAATGCTGTCTTTTACTACCAGATACATCAAGCACTGATCTCAGCATCTAACCGTGACAGTGTTTTTTCATCCTGTGCCACATCTCCACTTTCTAACTGCCTTAAGACACTTTAGGTGACATATGTTCTCAAACCCAGCCAACCGTTCATTTCCTCATTCACCAAAGTCTTAAAAGTCCTTTCAAAGTCTGTGAGAAAAAGCTGTGATAACTTCTCAGGAGAAGAGGATCATTTCAGAGGTCATTTTGCCCTTGATGTGTTTCTCTAAGCAGGAGCTGTTCCACTTGAGTGTTCAACAGAGGATGAAAAGCAAAGTGGAAATATAGCTCAGTAACGATTTTAGCTGTAGAATAGATTGAGGGTCGGGATCTTTAATCTAAGGGCAGGATGGTGGCAAAAAAACACATTAAAAACTCATAAAGAGCATTATTTCAAAACAAAAGATACACCAGCACATCACGATGGCACCTCTGGGCAACAGCCTTATATCGGACACTCAAGGCCCTCCAAAGAGCAAAATAAATGATTAGATAACTGTTGAGAAAAACTGCTTTGGGCCACTGATGTGCAGAAAATAACGTATGTCACCGATTTAGGAACAACTGTTTTGGAGCATCACGTAAGATCCACCATTAAGGGGAAACTTCCAGAAAGGTCCCCCACCTCCTTTTCTGCTGCTCATTCAAAACATTATGAAATGGATTATTTAGAGTATTATTTAAAGGATTATCTCACAGGCGTCAATAAAACAAAACTGGTAGCTTTTACAGTGTGAAACAAGACAATATAAAGAAAGGGGCATGACAGAACATTTCAGACATGAGCCTGGAGTGAATTCAAATATGCATGTAGAAGTGTCAAAGGTAGAGAGAGAGAGAGGGAGAGGGAGAGAAAGGACAAATATAGAGGACAGATAAATGCAGATAAAGAGACGCAGACAGATGGACAGACAGACAGAAGGGGACATGCGGAGGAGGATCTTTGAGAGAATGAGAGAGAGAGAGAGCTAAACCTCGTTCTCCTGCTGCTTCCACCCATGCCTGCGCTCCATAATGACACAGCACTGGCCATCTAATGACACAGTGGAAGAGACCAAAGAAACCCAAATCTTTGCGTGCACAGCAGCACAGCATTCGCTCATCACAACCTCCACACTAAACTCAGAAATAGCAGGCATACCAGTAAAGTAGAAAAAAAAACAAAACCCCCCAAAAATAAGGTGATTAGGAGAGAAATTCCATCAACGATATGAAGCCTTGTTCTGCTTAATTATCAAAACAAACAAATCTGAAAAAAAAGTAAATTCATGCATGGATCGTGCTTTTGAAACAAATCCATAATAAACACGATTTAAGAAAATACATGAAAGGGATTTAAAAGCCCACAGAGATGCAAATTAGTCTCTAAATTAGACTGGCTGCTTGCTATCAGTTTAATTTTTGATATACGAAAAATCCATAACTCTGAAAAACTGAATTCAGTATTTTGAACTTACACTCAATACATACAGAATACAATAAAAGTGAGTATACCCCAAGCAATATCGTTTAAATGGCAAATTATTCAAGATTTGTGCCGCTTTAAAAGAACTTTTTTGAATACACCAGTAGGGCATTTGTTTTAAGATAAAAGTAAATACTGTTTAAATGTATTATAGGCTATCAAAAAACAAAAGTCAACAAACCAATAGTTACTGAGATTCAAATCAATCAAAATCAATTCTGCTCCTTGCTGGAGGGGTTGTGTTGTGCTCTATATGTGTTCTGTTGGATTCAAGTCAGGCGACATACTTGACCACAGTTTTCACCTTTTTCTGCTTCTCTTGAGTGATTTTGACAGTGTGCTTCGGACTGTTATCAGGCTGGAACGCTTCTCTTCTGCTAGGCTTCTGAAGACTGAGAGTCATCTTGTCACCCAGTATTTTGGTGCATCTGCAGTCTTTCATGGTACCGTCTATAAATGCCATCTTCCAAACACCTTTTGCATCCATGCAGCCCTACATCATCACACCCCCATCCCTGTGCTTTACTGTCAGGACTATGCCTGCTCACTCCAAGCATGCTAAACTGAACAAGATTATATTGTGCTCATCTGACCAGAGAATTGACTCTTAATGTTTATCCTTTTCATGCATTTTAGCAAAATTTAATGTTGCAGTTTAGTGCCAAAGAGCAAGCAAAGAAGTTTTTTATTTTTTTTTTAATGCTGTTTACAGAGGTTCAGGTTATGCAAATTGTCCAAGCTATCATGGAAACTCCATTGATAAGCACTGTACCAAATATGAAGCACTTGTCAGTCTGTTTTTTGGAAGTAGATTGTACAAGTAGTGCACTGTCTGTGTTGCATTTTATGAAGACAGCCACTGTAGTATTATGGCTCATTCAAAACCCCCTGAATAGTGCTGCGATGGTGTTTCGAATGATTTTTAGATCTGGTCTTCCTGTGTTTTCAATCTTTGATAAGCCCCAGTTTGTTTGTTTTTTAGCTCCTCTGGCCATTCTATGGCTATACGGCTGTGGCTCAGGTGATAGAGATGTTGTCCTCTAATCGCAAGCTTGGTGGTTCAATTCCACAACCCTCCATAGTCGAAATGTCTTTGGGCAAGCCACTGAACCCGAAGTTGCTTCCAGCGCACCTTGCATGACAGCTATGAATGTACCTGTGAATGGGTGAATGAGAAAACATTGTAAAGTGCTTTGACTACCGCTAAGGTAGAAAAGTGTTATATAAGTGCAGACCATTTATCTTTTCTATGTGAAACCACATATCAAATATGAAGATTATTTGCTGATAATACTTATTTTCTTAGTATGTTATTATACTAAGAGATACACTTCTCAGAAATCCAACTTTTCACTCTGGTGATAAATTGTTAAATCAAACTGTTAAACTGATGTTAACATTTGTAAGAAATACTTTCCTTACGCCCTCTTTAAGCGATTACCACCAGTCTCCTGATAAGGGATGTTCATAATTAAAAAATTAATAAGTGAATTGTCACCAATAATTTAACCAATTAAAAATATATGCACCTATATGGCAGAAGACCGCGGGCATGTATGTCAGAAAATGTAATGATTATGCAGATTAGCTGTAGTA